TTTTGCTCACCGCGTCGGGCAGCATTTCTGCCGCCCAGCTGGGAAATTGTTCATTCAATAACTTTAATTCCTGCCTAAAACTAGCTTAAAAAATATAGAAGTGTCGGCAGAAGTAGCAGAAAGATAAAATATAAACAAACACACCGCCCCCGTGGGGGTATCCAGCTTGCTGGTGAGGTAGAGTTCAACTCTCTAGGCGGTGACCGTTCCTTCGGGCACTGGGAGGTTGAGATGCGACGCACCTTGATCTCCCGTGAGGCCGTAAGGCCGTTGAGGCGGGTTAACTTGCCGGGGTTTGGAGACAAGCCAGAAGGACAAGGAAACTCGCACCGTGAAGCGGAGCCTCCGGACTGATGCAGAAGAGTCCTTTGGGATCTTCGTCGTGACAGACAACATGGGTCAGTAGGAGGTGTCGAAGCACGGAGTTTGAAAGGCGAAAACGAGGGATGGACTTGGTCTTGCGGGGCAGCAGAGCTGGTGCGGCGGCATCTGGGCTCGTATGTCACCGTGAGCGAAAGGCTTGATCTCAGGAAGTAGCAGCGGGGACACCTTGGGTAGGAAGTGAAATCTTGTGAACATGGGCTGGCAGGCCCGAGGGCGCTTGAGAGTAGCGGACTCAATGGTCAACCGAAAGCGAGGGAAGCGTGCCATCGGCGGTATCGGCAAACGGAAAGCCCTGGGGACGGGAGTAGTACGGATGTCGATGGCGAAGATGAAACGCGACCTTCAATTTCACCTTTGCGTAGTTGGAAGCAGGGACGAGGGGACCATCCATCCTTAAGCCTTGTGAAAGACGACGTAAAGACTTTCAGGCGTGTTTGCCGCCCAGCTGGGCCGGGACACAACACTCACGAAGCCAACAGGAGGTTCTTGGGCAGGGCCTGTGGCGAAGGAAGCCGGTAGGCACGCCTGCGTACCCGGATGCTGGTCGTATTCACCCAGGGAGCCGTCGCCTTGAGCGTGGTCATGTTGGACCCGGTCGGGCAGCACGCCTGCCGCCCTGCCGGGTCGATCAAACAAACAAACGAGGCCAACAGGCGCGCCTACAGCCGAAGAAGACCTCACGAAGCTGGTAGAGTCCGCCAACGGGCGTGCTTGATCAACAGCAGGAGCCAAACGGCGTGCTTGGTCGCCCGGCGGGGAGGCTCACGCCCGAGCCGGGGTCTGCAATAGCCACATCATCGCTATGCGAGCCGAGGGGGGCGGGGGAAGGGGGTTGCAGCCCCCCTATACTTAGACCAAGTATAGGGGGTGCAGGCGAGCCAAAAGGCAAGGCAGAAGACGCCAAATCCGGCTTTGCCTGATCCAAAACGGGGGTAAAAATAAGAGGCCCCGAAATATCCCCATATTGAGTAACCAGGTCCACCAAAGGTTCAGAAGGTGGATCTGATTCGCCAGAAAGAGCAACGACTGTTCTAACTGGGAATCTGGACACCCGACAAAAGAGTCAGTTGGAGCCAGTTGGTCCATCACTCCGCCTGTCTCTGTCTCAGCAGCTGCACTATAAAAAACGCATCACTGCCGAGACTGGACTGGCTATCGGTAGAACGCTCGATGTCCGAAGACGGCGAGCGTACCCGAGGTTCCCAATCCGGTCACCAAAATTGCATACTAAATACGAATAGTGATAATCGAGTGGTTTCGGATCAAATGAAAGATACCACACTTGATCTTAGCTAAAAAGCCGAGAAGGTATGAGTAGATGTGGTAGTGGCAGGAAGAAGATAATTGTAGAAAAGAACCAAGTATAAGGTTGGCCTCACGAGAGAAGGGTGAAAGCTCTCGGAGACCGTTTCTAGATATCTAGCAAGCTAGATATGCAGAAACGTGCAAAAATAGATGTGAAAAGATTCCAACTTAAAGTCGGAAAACCAGACCTAAAGAACAGAATAGTTCTTTTTATTAACAGTTAGTAACCTCTCCTCGACTAATGAATTGGGCTAATGTGCATGTCACTAAAATGGAGGGTATGAATATCTACCTGGGTTTGTAAGGGCGGTTCCCTACCTGGGTAGTGAGTGCCCTATCGGTCAAAAAGACCAGCTTATCCCCGTGTCTGTGGGTGCTCTCGCCGTCGTGGGGTCCTCCCAGACCCACGAAATGCACCCAACCCGCACCACTCCGTTGCCGCTCCCGATGTTGCCTGCAGTGCCAGTTTCAAATACGGAAACTGGAACGAATGCAGTGACTCGACAGCTGCAAATCCAGCCGTCGAGACTCGTCCTTGAGAAGTCCTAGCATCTCAGTGTAGGCCTTAAAATTGCTGGGCTGCACCGAGCCCAGCGAGTCATACACGATCGCAGTAGCCGGCACCCGCTACTCTTTTTGCCGCAGCTCGGCCACAATTGGCTAATATTTCAGCACCTTATGGTCTTAACTGAGCTGCAGCGAGGAGTGACGGGCACCGGACGACTGATCTTCAAAGGTGATTGCCAAATCGGCAATTACCACCGTTTTAGCAGCCACATCCCGCGACACAATATCCAGCCGAAGAGCCGCGCCAGTATACTCAGGTACAGTCTGATTCAGGCGCAGCTCGGCACTGGATTTATCACGGGTGAGCGCTGTCCGGATCTGCGTACCAATCTTCTCGAGCGCGTCATCATGACGCTGGCGGATTGAAACCATGTTAGGGGTACAATGGTTTAAAACGTGCGCCAGCGTCTCGGCGCTCGAGCAAGTCGGTGCCCGGCAGTGGTGATTCGACCAAAGTCGATGTCGCTTGAGCACCGAATCTGTATCGACCTGGTTGAGGCGGGCTTGAATACCGAACCGATGTTCAGCATCAGAGAGACCCGCCCCATTCGTCACGAACTTGGACCCCGATCCACCATGGACCCGAACAGTTTTGCCCTGGTCCACCAGACCCTTCCACCGAGTCTGGTGACGGATCTTCATATGCAGATTAACGTTTTGCAACACAGTCTTGTCGGGTGATCCACTGACCGTGATGCGGTAAACAAAGCGCAAGGGTGTCTTCGGTGTCAATATCGACACGATCGACCAAGCTGATATGGTAGACGCCCATAATACGTTGGACGTCCGTCCACAGCGAGGCGATATCACCAGACCGTCGAAGGGCGGTGACATAAGGTGAGGCAGCAAGCTCCGAATTCAAAAATACTCGGATAAGCTCGTCCTCACGCCCCTTCCAGTAGTCCTCAAGCAACCGGTAGCGCTTGCGCGCTATCTGGCATACTTGGGCCTTGGCCACCGCCGCAATCGCTGGGTCCTTGGAGTGCAGCATCTGCCATGCATGCGCCACCTGCAGTGCATAGTGCATTTCCACCAGCGACTGCAGTTTTCCCAGGCCACCACCAGATGTAAGAGAATAGAAGAACTCCGTGGTGGCAGACTGGGGTACGCAGCAGATACCGCAACCCCCGCTTCACGGCACAATCGAATCCATGCAGCTGGGACTGAAGCGGGCGGAGGTGGCGAAGCACATACTCCACCTTGGGGTAGATATAAGTCTTGAACTCCTTCAACACCTTCCACGCTGCCAGCCCTGACTGCATTAACGCCACCGCCTCCCTCTTGATCTCCTGAAGTTTGGGCTCCAGCTGGAGGCGGTGGCGAACATGATCGAAGCCATCGCCCACCCCTAAATAACGATACCTTTCGTTAAGGGAAAGTGGGACGATGGCATCACCGTTAATTTCCAGTCGCACGCTGTTATCACGAGCCAAGGTTGCCACGAGCGTTTTGTGTCACGGCCAAGCTAGCATACTTGGCCGGATTCGCTCGTAGCCCGTTCCATGCCAAGAAGCGCATGACCACGCCATGACAGCGGCGGATTCCGTCAGCACTATCACAGAAGACCTTAAAGGTCATCCGCCTATGCAGTGGTGCATGGTCGTACACCATCAGTCAGATGCACCCCGACTCCATCCAGCCGCTCCAGACGGCAGACACAAGTGGAACCAGTGCGGCAATGAAAAGGAGTGGGCTAAGGGGGAATTCCTGATAGAACCCCACCTCCTGCCGCACCGGGTCCGTCGCACTGTCATGGGCGTTAGCCACCACAACAGCTGAGCATTGGTAGATGTCCTGGCACCGGTCAATAAACCGGGACTCAACGCCGAGATGGCGGAGTACACGCCACATCAAACTTTAAAGCAAGGAACCAAACGCGTTACGCAAGTCATACCAAACTTAGTAGAGCTTGTGATGATAACGCTGCGTCTGGTCCAACAGCGTGGTGGCCAGAAAATTGTGCTCATGGCACCCATTGTAGGCCTGAACCCCTTCTGTGCCATAGGCAACATGTTGTTGCCTTCCAGCCAGCGCGATAGCCTGCGAGCCAGCAACCCACTATAAAACTTGTAGATGGTGGGCTGCAGGCATATCGGCCGCCAGTTCTCTGGCCGCATCGGGTCGCCCTTTTTGTGGATAAGGCGCACAATGCCAACCTTCCACGAATCCGGTGCCCGCCGATGCAGCCAGCAGAACTGGAACGCAGCGTGAAGAAGGGGAACCTTCTGGGTGGCGAAGCATCGGTATATATCATACCCAATGCCATCGTGGCCGGAGCTGGATGCCTTGGCAGCGCGGAGGAGCTGGTCTTCAACTTCATCCATTGCCAGCTCCCCATCCAGAGCATCCGCCTCCATCACGGCCGGACCAAAGCTGGCCAGGACTGCACAAAATTCCTGGCCACGCGCAGCGTCATAGTCGAACACTGCCCGCGCCGAGCTGGTTCCCGTGTTTAGGCTCGCCTGGATGAAGCCTGGATGATATGCAGGCTAACCAGGGTGCAGCCCTGGAAGATCAACGTCCGTGAGTAATCACGCCGACGGTTTGGAAGGGTGCGGGCGTCCATGGCCCAACACACCTTGCGCCAAGAGTTCTCTAAGGATGAGCCAAGTGTGTTCGAAGAACCTGGCTGGCGCTTCGGTGGGCACGGCTGGGAGGAACACCTAACACGTGTCCCATCACCCCCGAGTTGTTAAAATATTTAGTTGGTTAGCTACATTATGGGAGGTTCTTTAAAATTTGAAACACCTTTATTGTTTATTATTTTGTCTAGGTGTTCCTCCCCAGCCGTGCCCACCGAAGCGCCAGCCAGGATCTTCGACACACACTTGGCCTTATCCTTAGAGAACTCTTGGCGCAAGGTGTGTTGGGCCATGGACGCCCGCACCCTTCCAAACCGTCGGCGTGCTTTACGCACGGCACGTTGATCTGCCGGGGCTGCACCCTGGTTAGCCTGCATATCATCCAAGGCTTCATCCAGGCGAGCCTCGCGGGCGTATTGGGTCACACGGGGCGGGCATCGGCGCCGCCGCGCGTCTCGAGCTGTCCTTGACGCCGATGAAACTGTCGGCACAGCAGAGAACGGCAGCAGCACCGCACAAATCCGGTCTGGGATCGAGATGACTTACCCTTCGCCCATCCCCCAACTGCTCGCGTCGACGATTCGGCTGGCCACACCCTCCACAACTGCTTGGAAAGCATCAGCCGCGGTCTCCTGCTCCTCCTCGCTCAACGGTCGCAATCGGAGCCGAGGTTGACGTGCAGGAGCCGAGCCAGGCCCTATGGGCAAAGTCGGGTAGACTTCACCCCAGCACGTGCAGCAATGTCAGCGGTGACGGCAGCCTCATCGTGGTCGACCTCTATAACGTCATCAGCAGCCAATGCACCAGAACCTGCGGGGGTAGGCGAGGCAGAAGGTACCGAAGGCGTAGGAGGAAGCGGCCGGGAACAGCCAAGCACGTCGTCGGAATGCGGACCACACTCAACGACGGTGTGGCCGAGATCCAGCGCGCGGTTGGCGAGACGGTCAGCTTGGGCGTTAGCTTGGCGGCCGATGTGCGTGATCCGATGCCAGTCGAGGCGTCGCAGCTCGTCGCGCATACGACCGCGCAGCCGACAAAGCCTTCGGTTGGTGCACACAAAGGAGTCACGCACCTGTGCAAGCACGAGGTTGATGTCGTCGTCGACAAGCAGTCGCGTGGCACCATGGTGTACTGCCCCCTGCCACCCCACAAGCAGTGCTGTATACTCCGCAGTGTTATTGTTTTCACTGCTGGAGGGGAGGTAGTGTAAACATGTCCACACCACCGTGTCGCTAGGCGCAAAAAGCGCCGCACCGGCCCCACCTGACCCTGGATTGCGACGACAAGTACCGTCAAAACGCAATACCCAAGGGTCAGGTACCCCCGAGTTGATAGCGACCGTCATATGGGGTGACAGAACGCTCCCACGTGGCCCCTTTGGAGATGGTGAGGCAGGCGGGGTGGCGTCGACGGGGACAGCAGGGGCAACCGATGCAGCAGGAACACCAGCAGCAGGGACATCAGCAACAGCAGGAACATCAGCAGCAGGAACATCATCATCAGGAACATCAGTAACAGGAACAGAAGCAGTATCGGGTGCAGCACGCTCCGGTTCAGGCGCCCCACGCAACCTGGAACGGCGACCGGCAGGCGGCACCATCACCAACACGCGTGGACCCCAACACGTGCGAGCCCTACGAAGGGCGGGGGGGGGTCCAGAGGGTCTAGTCGCCGGCGTTGGGGAAGCCGTTAGACCGGTGACAAGGCGAGCTACGGCTACCGCTCCGATCGCACAGTGACATGGCCCCCAACGCGTGGCACGAGAACCAGACGCGGCAGGTGTCAGGGTCTGCGTACTGCCGGAGCAGCGACCTCCTCAGTCCTTGTCACCGATAGAACAGGGGCGGCGAGCCCACTGTGCAAGGTCGAGGTCCCCTACGAGCACGGTTGGCCGGCTCGCGTTGGGGTGGGGATACCCTCCATTTTAGTGACATGCATATTAGCCCAATTCATTAGTCGAGGAGAGGTTACTAACTGTTAATAAAAAGAACTATTCTGTTCTTTAGGTCTGGTTTTCCGACTTTAAGTTGGAATCTTTTCACATCTATTTTTGCACGTTTCTGCATATCTAGCTTGCTAGATATCTAGAAACGGTCTCCGAGAGCTTTCACCCTTCTCTCGTGAGGCCAACCTTATACTTGGTTCTTTTCTACAATTATCTTCTTCCTGCCACTACCACATCTACTCATACCTTCTCGGATTTTTAGCTAAGATCAAGTGTGGTATCTTTCATTTGATCCGAAACCACTCGATTATCACTATTCGTATTTAGTATGCAATTTTGGTGACCGGATTGGGAACCTCGGGAACGCTCGCCGTCTTCGGACATCGAGCGTTCTACCGATAGCCAGTCCAGTCTCGGCAGTGATGCGTTTTTTATAGTGCAGCTGCTGAGACAGAGACAGGCGGAGTGATGGACCAACTGGCTCCAACTGACTCTTTTGTCGGGTGTCTAGATTCCCAGTTAGAACAGTCGTTGCTCTTTCTGGCGAATCAGATCCACCTTCTGAACCTTTGGTGGACCTGGTTACTCAATATGGGGATATTTCGGGGCCTCTCATTTTTGCCCCCCGTTTTGGATCAGGCAAAGCCGGATTTGGCGTCTTCTGCCTTGCCTTTTGGCTCGCCTGCACCCCCTATACTTGGTCTAAGTATAGGGGGGCTGCAACCCCCTTCCCCCGCCCCCCTCGGCTCGCATAGCGATGATGTGGCTATTGCAGACCCCGGCTCGGGCGTGAGCTCCCCGCCGGTCGACCAAGCGCGGCCGTTGGCAAACTCTGCCAGCTTCGTGAGGTCTTTTTCGGCTGTGCGCGCCTGTTGACTTCGTTTTTTTGTTGGATCGACCCGGCAGGGCGGCAGGCATTCTGCCCGACCGGGTACAAGATGATTACGCTCAGAGCTACGGCTCCCCGTGGTCAGCACGATACCCCCGGGTCGCCCGGCGCCGTATGGCTCTTTTCGCGGCAGGGCATGCTTCTGCGGGTCCTCGCGCGCCGTTTTGCACTCCTGACGATGGTTTCGGGCCCGACAGGGTGGCAGCTGCCCGACCGGGTCCATGACCTACAAGCTCAGAGCAACAGCTCCCCTGGTGCCTACGAACAGCATTCAGGTTCTCCATCGCGCCTTTTGGCTCCTCCCTTCCCTGTCTTCGTGCTCGGCCCCGCCCACACTCCTGCCTCTCGTGTCAGACTCCTGGCAGGGTGGGTGGTAGCGCTCGGTGTTGGGGGCAGTAAGGGGAAGTGCTTGCCGCTTCTACGGCTTGCGCTCTGGGTGCCTCCCATGGCCCAAGAGACCTCGAGGACGGGTCAAGTGATGCCGACTTGTGCTCCTTGGCTGCAGACTCCACTTTGCCGGGCAATGGAAGCCTTCGAGATCCAGCTAATATTCAGTGCTCACCCGGCAGGGCGGCATGCTGCCCGCGGGCGGTGCACTTCAAGACGATGGCCAGAGCAACGAGGACGATGTCGCACAAGGTCTACGCACCCTCCCCTCTCCCCAGCCCCCCCCAGTGGCTTGCGGGACCCTGTGCTGACGGTGTTCGCACACAACGCTTCCGCATTCAGTTGCGGAGTGTGTGCGCACACTTGTCCAGACCTCGCCGCGCTCGCTGGCCATCGACGCACAGCGCATCGTGCTTCGTGGATCATTTCCACAGCGGGTGCACGTGCGGCATCGTTCCGGTCACGTGCGGCGGCAACCAAGCACGCTATGACGTGCAAGGACAGATCCTACGCCGCCGTAGCCGCTGCACGTGACACCGCCCCCCCCCGTGTTGGACTCTTGGGCGCCTCTCTTTGGTTCTGTTTGGTCTGCTCCGGGCCGTGAGGTTGACCCTCCCTCCTTCGGGTCCCTCAGCGCGGCGGCGCTTGCGGTCGTGGCAGTTGCACCAAGCGGCACCACGGCTGCAGATGCCGCCAGCCTCCAGATCTCCGTGCCTCCCCTTCCTGCGTACCTTGTCGGGATGCACAGGACGTCAAGCCAGGTCTGGCCGCCATTTCCTCGGATAGATGGCTGGGAAGAGCTTGATTCCCGTCCATGTCCATGTTAGCATCTGATTGGTGCGTATTCGGTGCCACCAAATCGGGCTCCCTGTACTGCTGCGGAGAGATAGGAGGCACCCGAGTTTAAATTGGTGCTGGTGGGAGCGCAGGACGGCCTGGATCGTCGCAAGTCTTGTCTCTCCCGTTGTCAGGGTCGGTCATGGGATGAATGCGCGGGCTGTTGCCGGAAAAACCTGTTGGGGCTGACTGTCTAATTTATACTCACGGCTGGCGGGTGCCTTCTGCTGTGCAGATTAGAAAGTACATATACACATATGCATTCATAATACTTAACCGAAGTACCATGAGCACGTACGATGTGACCCTTCGTACCTTAGGTACGGTCACATTAACCCAAAGTACAGCCGCGCCACAATGGTGTAGTAGGTGTGTATGTAAAATACGTACGATGTGTAACCCCATTACACCTAAGATGGGCCGCTTTTGGAGAGCCCTACTGACCATTTGATAGCTATACAAAGATATACACGGGTGAAGAATGATCTAGTTGTCTTCTTATAGTATCCTCAATGTACAGAGAGCGAAGTTCATTAACATATACACTTTCATGACCAACGAGTACTGAATTTCCAAGATTTAAAATTACAGAACAATGACGTTATTGATAGCAACAGCTCGTTGATGCATGTTAAGCTATATAGGAAGAAAACATCGATGTAATAGGGAGTAAGTTCAAAGCGGAAGTAGTTTTTGTATCTTTTGGTACGAGATGTTGTAACCTGAATCTGATACTACATAGTGTAAACGTTACTTAATGAATACCTGTCGAACTACTTTATTCATGCGTTCCCATAGGGTTATTGTGTGGAGGTGACATATCTTGAATTTTAAGGCGACTACTTATCTCCATACTAAATTAAAGCAAGTCATTTGTCTTTTCCATCCAGTTACGATGCAACAAGCCGTGCTTGATCCAGAATCACAAGTGGAAAAGGGTGAAAATGCTCGTATGTCATCATTTGTTGGTGCTATTGCAATTGCTGATATGGTAAAAACAACATTAGGTCCAAAAGGTATGGATAAAATATTACAATCTATGGGGGGCCCTGATAAGAGCATTTCAGTCACCAATGATGGTGCGACGATCCTTCGCAGTGTATATGTGGATAATGCAGCTGCAAAAGTACTTGTAGATATTGCTAAGACGCAAGATGAAGAGGTTGGAGATGGTACTACAAGTGTTGCTGTTCTCTGTGGCGAGCTACTGCGTGAGGCTGAGAAACTCATTGATCAGCGTATTCACCCGCAGACTGTTATCGACGGCTGGCGTATTGCTCTGACTACGGCTAATGAAGCACTTGTGGCTTCAGCCCAGGATAATTCCCATGACGCTGACAAATTCCGCGAGGACCTTATGAACATTGCGCGGACGACTCTCAGCTCGAAGCTGCTGACGTACGAAAAGGACCACTTTGCCCAATTGGCAGTGGACGCTGTACTTCGTCTGCGTGGATCGAGCAACCTTGACTATATTCAAATCATCAAGAAATCCGGTGGCTCTCTCCGTGACTCATACCTGGATGAGGGCTTTATCCTAGACAAGAAGATCGGTGTGGGACAGCCTAAGCGTGTTGAGAATGCCAAAATACTGGTAGCAAACACGGGAATGGACACGGACAAAATCAAGATCTACGGCGCGCGTGTTAAGGTGGACTCGATGGACAAGGTATCGGCAATTGAGGACGCCGAGAAGGCCAGAATGAAGGCCAAGGTGGAAAAGATTGCCCGCTTTGGCATCAACTGCTTTGTAAATCGACAGCTTATCTACAACTATCCCGAGCAGATTTTCTCGGATAAGGGTATCATGGCTATCGAGCATGCCGATTTCGACGGTATTGAGCATCTGGCTGCGGTCACCGGAGGTGAGATTGCGTCCACATTCGACAACCCAGACGAAGTGCAACTTGGTGAGTGTAAGCTGATTGAGGAAATCATTATTGGCGAGGACCGGATGCTGCGGTTTTCGGGTGTCAAGACAGGCACGGCTTGCTCTGTGGTGCTGCGCGGTGCTAGCTCGCACCTGCTGGACGAGGCCGAGCGCTCACTGCACGATGCGCTAGCCGTGCTGACGCAGACGGTCAAGCACTCGCAGACTGTAATGGGCGGCGGCTGCACGGAGGTGCTGATGGCGCAGGCCATTGACAACAAGGCTCCGTCCGTACCCGGCAAAAAGGCATTGGCGATGGAGGCGTTTGCACGCGCACTTCGCCAGATTCCGAGCATCATCGCTGACAACGGTGGGTTTGACAGCTCAGAGCTGGTGACGCAGCTTCGCGCGGCGCACCATCGTGGGGAGACAACGGCTGGTCTGGACATGCGCACTGGCTGCGTGGGCGACATGGAGTCGTTGGGCATCCGCGAGGCGCTGAAGAGCAAGACGCAAGTGCTGTTCTCAGCCGCTGAGGCTGCTGAAATGATTCTCAGAGTAGACGACATTATTAAGTGCGCGCCACGCCAGCGCAAGGGACAGTAAGCGGCCGAATTCTATTCAGACAAGGAGTAATGTTGCGGTCGGATAGCAGTGGTCTTTTGCACTAATAAACGAGACCGCGGGTTAGTACAACTATTCTATGTTCAGTCCCTGGAACAAACATGCTACCGGACGAGGTCTTGTGCCCTACGTCGATGATATGTCACGACTGCACAAGCGGAATCCAGTTATTCAAAAGAAGCTAATCGGATAAGGTAGTTCTTTTCATGTTTTGTGCATCCACTTCCGATAGCTCTGCAATCGCGGAAGTCGAAACGGCGCCTCGACGTCAAAGAACGCGGCGACACGCGGCCCATTCAACGCCTATCCATCATTCTGTTGTCTGTGCTCAGCTAGTTTGCTCTTTTGAGAATACCATTACATCACATTTCCGCCGATCATCAAGCGTAGTTCCTCGTTTTTCATACAACTTGCGAAGATGTCACCATAAAAACCACGACAACACGTGCTTATGAGACGACCACAGTACCACCAACAACAATGCCGACGTCAACTACTTCAGCATGCACACTGCCATTAACAAGTTCAGTATCTTCGGTGACAGCGACGATAGCCGATGTCAAGAGATACAAAGTCAGACGTTACAATGCCAGCAAAGGCGGCGTTGACAGCGACGCAGTCATCCATACCACGGCTTTTCCAATAGTGGCGTGTTCGCAATAACGCCACCTCCTCCGGAGACAACAGAACCGACAATTCTTAAATCTACTTCGACAGCGTTAGCGGCGTTCTTGCCAACCTAATGCCCCAGGGCAACACCGTAGCGACAGCATAGCTAATATCAATAGCAGCACCTATGATGGAGCACTTTTGTCACCTACGCTACTTCTCAGAGTGGACGTGAGTGTGCTTGGTAAATTGAGCTCGTCGCAGTGTAAATTCGGAAACGGCGCAAGATGACGGACGACACGATGTCGTACGACGGCAGCACCTTTGAATTTGGGCTGTGTGTCGTCTTCGGGTGCACTGAAGCGACGGACTCATGCGCCTCGCGAGGGCCAGAGGACTGTTTTGTCTTCCCTTATCGAAAAAAAAACACTTAGCTTTGACTTTCGCCATTTTTGTAGACAAGAAGTTCCAGGGACCTACTCGGAACGTAGCAAACACGCGCTCATTCTAAGGCTTGACATCCTATGATAGACGACACAGGTACATACTGGGGTAATGGTTCATTCTTGTCATGCAGATCCACATCAATCGCATTTTGAGTTTAAAGTCGCCATCCGCCGTAGAGGATTTGGCACTACGCTGCAAATTTATAAACTCAGCTAAAGTCCTTGATCTTAGGAATACCAGTATATATGCACATTATACCGGTATGTGTACTGCTCTTTCAAATTGCTAAAATAGCATTGCTAAATTCTGTCATTTTATGCCTTGCTAAAAGTGAGCATTTGCTGAAAGATGGATTCATGTTGGTAGAATAAATTATTACACTGCTGTTAGAATATTTGAAATTAAGGATCTTCATCGCCTTTAACATGTTTAGTTATTGCTTGTGTCAAACTGGAATTTCTATAGCATAAGACGGTAAAGAATCCCACTCGTTAAGTCTTGAAACCAATAGGATCATACCATCATTATTCTTTGCTGCTACATTTGCGCACGCAAAAGTTCTTGTCATCACGCCCAGATACCACTCGCACTCCATCGACGTATCTGCAAGCAGCAACACCTACCCAACACTGCTTTCGGCTAAATAAACCCATAGCTCGTTCCTGTCATTTCAGCCAACTTCTCCTCTGGTCTGTGGACAAATAGGAAGCTTCTCTTTCCGTAAGTCGCATGACAGCGCAGGCAGACATTCTGTAGCTATGAGACCACCCCGTGATCGCCACTATCGCACCTCGTAAGCGTAACTTGGAAAATATCTCATCGCAGCGATTTGGTCAAACTATTGCGGCCAATACCACGACTAGAGTCTTGCTCCCATTTCAAAGAAAATAACGATAGGACCTGGACTCTTTCTGATACGGCTATGGGGCAACTCATACGTTTAGTAGACCACTGATCAGTTGTGTAATGCCGGCCCCATTAAGATGAGACAGAAGCTGGTCAAATAAGGTTGCAGATTGCGTTTCGCGACCGTACCATGTCAAGGGAATACACACTGAGAAGTCCGCGTCTTTTGGTATGTCAGCGCTTTGCTCTATTTCGAAGAACGAGCACACTGCCCTCGTTTGGTCTCCATGTTAAGATTGGGTGTATAGTTTAAGTCTAATCCTCTGCTTCGATGAAAGATCATCCCTTTCTTAATGAAGAAATCAAGGAAATTGCAACTCCAACAATTAGACTTTGTATTCAAAATGCATAACAATACGTGGCCTTCAATCACTCCGTAGCAACATTCACTTTCCTTACCTGAGGCACTCACATGAGATTAAAAGCTTTTCAGGAGATTAAGGCTGGCTTCACAGGAACAAAGCAGACGCCATTGCGCTGACCAGATACTGGTCCATACATAATACAGCCTCTAATTTGCTAAAGTACGACTTGTTGTTGCACGAGATTTCTGCGCATTTCCCACGGGTTCTTTTTTCCTAGCTTGATGTTAAGAGTAGCGTACTTGGTTTAGGGTAGATGATCAAGTTGCTGGACAGAAGTGGTTCTTTTTTTTGTCGCCTTTTTTCTCCGGTGGGATCATCCTTAATCTGATTAAATACAGCTACTAAATTATACTACAGAGTATACAACAATGAACATATTGCGCCTACACTTTGCATCTTGATGATCTGCTGATTGCTCCAGCCTTATGACCTTCTTTTGTCTCCAAGACCTGTATTAGTAGGTCAAGTGCTGTAATCTGCAACGGTATTGGTTAGTTTTTTTTATCATAATCGTCGAATTGAAGCCGTGTCGGAGCAATATTAAAGATTTATGCGACAATTTAGCAGGAGATGGTTGGCTGGAAGCCATCAGCTTTGCGACAGCACAGCGTGTCGCTGATCAAGACCATCATGATAATTGACACTTAACAAATAAGATGTATCTGTTGATTCTCATTGCTAATGATTACCATGTGACATAAGCAGTTAATTCAATTGATTCTTGGCTTCATTTTCTTACAAAGAAATAATTACGATCATTTGATTTTCTTTCCAGCTACAAGCTACTTTGTTGAGGGTTGGGGGACGCTTAAAACCACTTGAAAAGAAGCTTGATGAACTTTAATTCTGACGCAACGCGATTAGTGGAGTCACCATCCGTGCTTAGACCAGTGTTCAATTTCAGGTTCAACCCAATAACGTATTACCGGTACATCACGTACATACAGTACATGTACCTCCGATCAGAAGCCATGGAGACGTGGAAGAGCGGTGTAAATACGCGGATGCTTTACCCGAGCATTGTTACATCCATCCATAGTGTAGCTTCTTAGTAATGCATGATATGTAGGTTTTCATCATGATACTTTCAAGCACATCACCATAAGATCGACAAAAAACAATCAAGTGCCAGTATTCTTTGGCTTTGTAGCAGAATGTCTCAAATAAAGGTGGCTAGATAGTAGTATAATGTACGACTCGATCATGCTTGGTCCTAAACAGAAAACATACAGTAATCACGTGTACAGTCAGATTATGATCTTGGTATTTGTATGCCCTTCAACAAAAAATCTCCAGTTGTTATTTGGTGTATCGCGTGCTTTATCTAAGTGGGACATAACAGCCTGTTGCAGATGCTTTGAGCTGCAGATCAGTGTCTGCACTCGGTTTTTGAGATGTGTAGAGCGGGTCAGTGGCTGGCTTCGTCAAGGCAAACCAGTTCCACTCGCAGTTCACTTCTGAATTTTCAATTTGCTTAACAAGCAGCTACCTTTGAGCACAATCACGGTGAATTCTGAGTACTCTTCCAACCATGAACCTTGCCGCTATTATCTCTTCTGCTGCTACTCTTATTGCTCTTACCAATGCCAACGCGTGTGATGTAACCGCGCTCCAGCCGCTCCTAGTTTCACCGAATACTACCACGTGTTCTACAAACTCTAATTATGTGATGAGCTCGATGAAAACGCCTACGGACCACCAGATGGACATTATTTGCACCGACCCTGCTTGCCAATCAGTTATATCGCAGCTCATGACGGTCGCTCCTAATGAGTGCACGCTGGGCCCCTTTTCCCTGTACGCCGACCTGATCAAACCTCTGAACGATCACTGCAAGGATATGGTTGGTTCAACCACTGGCTCATCCTCTGACGATGGCTCACAGACCACAACAAGCTCTCCAACCACTACTACCACCACTACCACTAACAATAACACCGTGCCTCCCACTCCCTCGACCCCCCAGGGTACTACAGTGAACCCGGCGGCTCCCTCAACTGCCGCTCAGACCGAAGCTAACAGTGCCAATTTGTCCAGTGACAGTGCCAATTCGCTCAGTGACAGTGCCAATTCGCTCAGTGACAGTGCCAATTCGCTCATTGACAGTGCCAATTCGCTCAGTAACAGTGCCAATTCGCCCAGTGACAGTGCCAATACGGAACCACCCAGCAGCGGTGCCACCATCGTCACTGTTTCGGCAGGTGCGGTCGTAGCCGCCGTGGTCGCCACCCTTTTCTAGACGCAGCCATACTATGATATGAATTATAGGATCGTTAAGATGAATCTATGATGTCATCATGACAAGTTTGTTGCTCTGTTTCATTTGCTTGTATCTAACTCTATGCTAGTTCTTGTGTCGAAAGGTCACGGTGTTTTTTTTCACACAACGAACCGACGGGAACGCGAGGTAGACCGGTAATTCGTTAAGTGTATATACACTTTATATCACCTGAAGAAAATGTACTAAACGACTTACGTCTATCTATAGCGTATATTGTCTTTTCATCAAACTCTCTAGTTGCCTCCTTTTGTCGTAGCTTGGACATGTATCATGTATGTATGTATGTATGAGAAGTATAAGTACTAGTATATTATGATCTAGGTGTTAAGCTCATGACGTCTCTGGTCTCGTATCCAGATTCAAAGTAGAGACTACGAAAGGATTAGCTGTAAAATTCAGTCAATTCTAGTCGGCATTTGCATCTGATCCTGGGTGCCAAATCAGGTTCATACAGCTTATTTGCAGTGTGCCGCTAAACTCACTCTGCTCCAGTCATAAGCAGTACAAGGTGCTAAAGGTGTTTGTCACCTTCTGCGCAGCGAGTTTTCTTACACAAAAGTACTAAATCTCGTACCGCAGCTCGCATGTCCAGCGACGAGCGCAGCGCTTTTGAGCAAAGGCGGCAATTTCTGACTTCGGCGAAGTCAGAGCCGTCAACTTCCCGATTCACAAAACAAAGTGTTCGTTTATGCATGAACACGATCAAATTCTCAAACTGCCGGAGTTTAGGAGAATGCCAGAGTAAACCGTTATGGTATTCACGTCGTTCTCTTTGTTCCTAAGTATCTCCTCAGTGGCACTGATAACTTGGAAGTAAACCTTCGAAAGATGTAGTCTTATACATCAAACAGTCACTTTTGCATGGAGTAAAAGTACTTAAACGAAAAGTTTGACAAGTTTACAAGAAATTCTGATTGATCTTGACCAATCACAGTCTTTATATTGTCATAAGTATCTATAATTATTGAGATTATTGAGCAAAAAATATTTTTCGTTAATGTCACCAAAGGAATCCATGGAAGACTGCCTCGGGTAAAGACAGACAGACAGACAGACAGATAAGGATTGTGTACAAGCTGTTCTAATACTATTATTATGCTTGTATTACATTTTTGTATCAAGTAGCTGTCGCTTAACCGGTTCTCTTACATTAGTAAGTGTTGGTGCTTATTTTGTCAACGAAGTACGTCACCACTTCGTCAACATTTAATCGCAATCATGTCAACTAAATGTATTCTGTTTACTATATCATACTAGCGTTCTAAACTACCACGACACGACCTAAAACAACGACGCTGGTTACTTGCTTGTGCTGGTACATTTGTTGCTGCTGGAATTTGGCGAGGGACAACGCACTTGTTCGATAGCCCGACACATTCATCACTCGATGACACGCAAGCCAATTTCAAAGCACAACCATAGTACTTTTGTGAGAAGGACTGTCGTTAAAAGACGCAAAACTATTTGTTCGGCTTCTGGGTGAGAAGAAGTCTACACAAGATCAACACCATGTTGATGATAAATAGCGCCCATGTATGCTACTTTTTATATAAGCTAATTGGTTGGTTGCTCTCTCTTCGTCAATGACCTCATCGCCACAGTCGTTGCAATGAGGCTTCGTATAGTACAGTTAAGATAAAAGCCTAAACATGCAGAGGCAGACAATAGGAGCTATACACACATCTCCACCTCACTAACTCGCCTTACGCGTAGCTGCTTCACACGATAATACACCTTTCAACGCCCGTTCCATCTTTTTTTACCACGTCTGCGCGCACTGAGAAATCGGCAGATCAAGCAGTTTGTGCAAATGACCGACCAGACCAGTAGTAAGGCCATGCCGAAATAGGAGAGCTCGCCTCAATCCGCCACAATCGATCCGTTCTAAAGTGAGAATCATGACAACGGCAGAAGGCTGCAGTGCAGATTCGCAGGGCGGTGCATACTATCATGAATCATTGACACTGACACAAACACCTAAGAGATGCAACCAGCAGCAAAAATGGTTATATGACAGAAACAAAGCTTGCAACCGAAACAACCATCGTACCTTCCTGTCGCCAGTGCTGGAGAAATGCCACATCATTTTGCTCTGCGCAGACGCCATCTCGCATGAGAGGATCTTGCTCACGAGAGTATACATTTTGGGTGCATCCATGGCCGTGCACATTGTATACAGGCTGTGTAGACGCAGCTCGTCGATGTTCTTACAGCATAGCTCCAGAAACAGCGCATTCGCCTCGACAATGGTACCGTCTAGTTTCGCTAATAGACTGGGCATACTACTATTGCCGAACACGTCACGATAAGACGCTGACGAACCCTCAATCTCGTTAACATTCGCATTTGAAGCACCGTTGGCAGCACCACCATATACATTGTCCATATCCAGTGGGTACGAAGTTTGATGCTGCATCCCTGGTATGGACAATGCTGGTACTGGAGATGGCATGCTGTCGATCATGAAGGCATGGCCTTTGCTGTCAACGTGGCTAGGTGACGGCGCCGTTATGGACAAGCGACCACCTGAATCGCTGCATGGAGATGGAAGATGACGCGGGACACTGTTCGGATGAGGTGATGAGTGCTGCATCTGGTGTTGCATCTGTGGATGGAGCGCCACACCGCCAATCTGGTTACGTTCAAGGTTGTAAATGTACTCGAGTGTAGCTTGAAGTACACTATACTTGTCCTTTTTAGAAGAAGAATATCCTGCTGCCTCGAGCTTATTACGAAGAATATCAAACTGGTTACTGATGCGCAGAATACGTCGTTGCTCACGCAAATTGTGTCGTTGTTTCTTGCTCAGATCGCCACCACTGGATGAATATCCACCAGGGGTCATAGGAGTCATGGGGTATGGACTTTCACATGATGTTGACTCACCATTGATGGAAAGATTCGAAGTCAATGGATTTTGATCAATAAGGTTCAGTTTAATGTGCATGGGATATTGTGGTTGTTCAACCTTTGGGGAAATGGTACTATAAGCAATTTCCAAAGCTGAGGCATCCTGTAAAGGAGGACGTCTACCTGATAATGAGGTAGATGTCATTGTCATGGATGTTGAGGATGAAGTGATTGAACTAGTAGTAATAGACGTGGAGGAACTAGTAGTAACACTGGATGTCTTGTCCCTAGTAGAAACAACAGATTCAAATTGTTGTTGCTGCTGCTGCTGTTGTTGTTGTTGTTGTTGCTGCTGCTGTGAGGTCATTTGGGACTGGATTAAGATAAACAACAAGACATTGTAGTAAGTTAGTGAGTGAGTTCATGAGTTTGTTTTTTCGTGTCATTCAATAAATGAGTCTATCTATTACTGCTTGTCGTAATACTGATTGATTCATATATATAATACATACATATACACACAAACTCGGTTTGTACTACAAGGGGCAGCTGCGGGGGCGGAAGGAAGCTCGTTTTGTGTGACCCTCAAGCTTCTCTCCACTGGTAGGTTACTCCATATTGTTACTTTTACGCTCCTCCTCTGCCAAAAATGGGTAATTTTGGAGATCGAACTTGTCAGAACTGATATTGAGTGCGACATAGAAAGGGTATGTTCGACGCATAAATACTCCGGACACTGGTGTTATTCATTCATTCAAGTCATTGTTAGCAAGTAGAATATCTGAGAAAATATCGACTCTCAAGTTTATGTTCAGACTCTTTCATATCAGTGATATCGTTACTTCAGACTGACCAATACGGTAAAAGAAGTGGCACAGGTCAGAACTTGCGTAGCCTCATGGCTTCATAAATGAGTGGCGATGGGACGTACCGAGTGCAAGGAAGATCGTGATGGGTCTGGAACATTATTTGTACATACAAGTCTTTGGGATAAACTAATCATGAACTTGGTATGTATAAGGACGGACGGATGTCATGCACGTATTTCGTTCCATATGTGCGTTAATATTCATAGAAACTAGGGTGTTTGCCTGCTGCTCTCAACCTCAAAAGTCCATCGCTACTTGCTCATGACTTGCAGTGTCAAACGCACTAGGAACAACTATAATTGCACTCTATTATCTGCACATCCTTTGATTCAAGCACCTGAGTTGTCACAGCAAATGCAAAGTGGCTAGCAAATGGAAAGAGCGGTGGTGTCTTCTTATACTGATCACACAACTTACATGCAACGCTTTAAAATGTCAATCACCAGGTGCAGTGTGATGCAGAAAAGGCTGCCATAAGCAGCAAAACGATGCAACAATTGTCATGTACAAAGCCAGACTTCCAGTATCTTGCCGGCGCTTTTTCCTGATGTATCGGTCAATTTGTTGTAGGAGAGAGACTCCCGAAAGCTGAAGAAAAGAGGAAGCAAGGACTTGATAAGCTAACTAAACGTATAACACTTGGAGTTGTGATAGTAAACTCTTAGCATTACCACCAGCAGCAGCAAAGGTCACGACCACATGTCCTCCTATGTGCCGCAGTTTCACATAGAAAATTGCAATTGCCTGACAAACGTATGGACAGATATCCGAGGTGATAATTGATATGCAGACCGATAAAGCATTGCTGTATATTCTTCTTTTTTCCGTGCCATCAAGGGTGAACGTAGCTATGCAGATTGAGGGTGGTGATTTGCTGAACGTTGACGTGGAGGTGGAAGTGCTAGTTGGAGTGTTAGGTGCTAGCGTTACTGGAAGAGATACAGATACGGGAAAAATTACCGACGCCAAAAGCTCTTTTGCGCACACAGTGTCTTAAGCGACATTGACATTGAAGTGTGGGAGGGTCACTGTAAAGGTGACGATACTGAATCCTGACAAGGAGCAAGACATCAGCATGTAAGGATGTGGCTATGTTCTTGCACATCGCGGGTGCGTTGTGCTGTTGATACGACGTGGTTATCTGCACAGTATGATCATAAGCATCAGTATCATTATCCGGATTTTCGTCCATAGTGTCCAAGCAAGTTCGATATGAATGCCTACGTTACTTGGTATCACACCGCTTAAGTAATATATTAAGCGATGCACTTCAAGTGCCAGCCGATTGCTGCTGATTATGCAAAACCTTGTGCCGCCTGTTACTGGACAACTTTCATACTAGAGCTCTCACGTAATCTAAAATCACACGAGTAGCCACTGTAATTGATAAACCTCGCTACCTTTTATTTTCAATTCTTCATTGGCCTTTATCACCCTAGCAAATAATGTTATTGTATGATCACGATTGAGACAGTGTTTATGTGATTATGTGTGATCATACTGTTGAAGAAGAGTGTAGGTTTTGAACCATCATTCACGGCAACTTTAACATGCGGTTGAAATGGATTTATTACGTCAGTGTTAAAGCAATGCAATTCGTCACAACAAGCTCTGCAACTGAAGTTGAAACCAGTTGAAAACTCGTCGTCATCAACAAGCGGTATGCTCTGGGCGAGGAAAAGACTTTTGATAACCTTTTCTTTTATATACAAGAAGCTGACGTTGCAACTGCTGGACAACTATCAGACACGCTCCGACGGACAAGTTTACCATCAGATGGGGTTCCACACAAGCTCATTCTTCTGCTACTCGGTACGCTTGGTACAGGTAAAGTAGCCTCACGAGGGCCGTTACGAGGTACACCAAGCGCCACTTTGTAACGATCTCGTCAGCAAGATATAGACTGACTGATCTTTGCATCGCACGCTTATGTGCTTCGAAGACTTTGTCTTCGTCATGGAAAACATCGATTGTTCTATCGTCAACGCACTCTTGTGGCATGAATGACCATAAGACACTGCTGTTGCTTCTACCTCTACAGTTGCTACTGGCTACGCTGCAGTACGGAGACGATAAAATAGTGTCTTTCGGTTTGTAGGTGATACAAGAGCAAGAAGAAGTACAACATGCACAACGACAAACAAACATGTCAGGTTTGTCGGACCGTGCTGGAGGATGTTTGTCGACTTTTAGAAACCTTCGAGTCATCAAAACAGAAGTTGCACCGAGATAAATTGAGGAGCTTTGTGCAGTGCACGACAACGTGGACACTGTGCTAGGTAGGCAACTTGCTGCGTATAACAGACTTGTAGAACCAACTTGTCATCGTCTTGTGCCGAGCTAGGCTGGATTGTATCAACTCAAATCTGACAAGTTCATTCTCCTCACACCTCACACGCGACTGTTGTGTTGTATGTTACAAAATCAACCGATTAAAAACAAAGTTGGTCCCACAACCTTGTTTTCCCATCGCAAGGCAAGCGACAAGATCTCAAGCATCCACATACGTGTATCAGCGGCTGCTGTGCTGTACACGATCCCGCCGTAGCTAAAGATCACAGCATTACCATTTTCTGGTTCATCTTCGAATAGAGTCCTGCACGTATCAAAGTTGTCAGCAAGCTGTAGATAAATGCTTCACACATCAACTAGAAAGTAGCCAACGCACCACGTGAACATATCAAGCCACGTGACCTGTGTGCCTCCCTCTTGTGTATCCCAAGTTTCAAACGAACCGTCCGGACGAATCTTTCGCAGTCGATCGCGGTCCACTGACCGAAAGAGAATAATGTATCCGTTCGTAATGTGAAAGCGCGTGACTAGAAACAGTGACTGAACAGTGGCCATTGTACTCGTGTTTGTAATGATACGATACATGATTACATTATGCTCATCGACAACCTGCAGCACCTTTATCGATAAGCGCATCGTAGACGAGTAGAGCCCCACAAGACCTCGCGGTGAAGATACGATGCACCAGGCACGAGCTGACATTTCCATTGGAGTGACGCCAGGAAAGCGCTTTTCGAGCGTGAACTTGACATGATCTGGTGCCTCACGTCGCTGTTCACGCCACCCAAATAGCTCGAGACCAGAGGTCAGGCAGCTATTGCTCTTCAAAAAAGCGCGAATCTCTTGATACGCATCCATAGCAATTTGATGGCACTCTATGACTGTTAGAGGAGGCTTCAATGTCACGTCGTGTATCTGAAATGCATAGGAGGATGATGAGTACTAAATTTGCTTAAACATTGCATCCTCCTCGTTCTCGAATGCCTTCTGAGGTGAGACCCTTTTAACCGAACGTCTAACATAAAAGGTGTCAACAAGATTTACCGTAAGTGGAGGAGGTTCTAGCATCAGCTTGGGTTTAAAGTCCAAGACGCTTTGCATCTTGAACTCGAATGAAGTGTGCTTTGCCACTAAGAGCGCCAACTCTTGGTTTGCTCGACAGAGCTGCTGTTTCTTGATTGACAATCGCATGTATTGTTCTACCAGATCGTCCGAGGATTGCTGCTGTCCGTCATGATGTAAAGTATCAGTAACAGCTTCAGACTGCTGTAGCTGTTGCTTCATTTGTATCGTGCATGAATATTCATGCTCCAATTCACAGACTTCGTGACGAAGAGCTTTCATCAGATTCTAACAAAACCCCGATGACAAAACGCAAGATATTAATAGAGATACCATCACTACTTTCTTGACAAAGTGTTCGTCTCACTTGCTGTCGGTAGTAGCTGTTTTTAACATGTTCACGCTGACGAGCACGCTTTGCTTCATCCGTTTGTACCATTAAAGGTATTTGCCCACTAGTTAGCTCCGCCATTGTTGTATTGGCACTTTGCGTCGAAGCTCAAGAGACGCTGAAATGAGCTTCTCTTGCAGGATAAACTATACAAACTTCAAGTTTGGAATTCTTCCAAGCTCATGATTTAATAGTTGACAACATCTACAGCTCTTTGTCTTTCGCTTGTTGTACCAATACTTTCGCCATAGCTCGATCCAAGATTTTCTGCACGTTTGGTTCCTTTGCTACAGCTGGATGCCACACACCATATACCTTCATTCTCTCTGCACAAGCCACAATTGCAGAAGGCTCACCAACCTCTTCTAAAACACAGAGTGATACGATGTAGGCAGCGCTATTGAGCATTAGACCATGCGAGGCGGCTAGTGCTAGTAAAGCAATCACATCCGTATGTAGACCACTTGTACGAGCACGAACAATTGCATGCTCAAATGTCCAGGCATCCCATGTAATAATGTGGCGATATCGCACTAAAAGAGCCTCATACGACAGCTTCGAGCCGTCCACGATGAAAGCAGCACCAGGTCTAGTCTCATTATTGCGCTTTCGAAGCTGCTGGATCTGCTTTGAAATGACATCGAACACGCGCTGCATCACTCGTCGACTCATCGGTGGATGACCCTGTCCCTGCCAGCGGTCCAGACACACGAACATCGTAGAGATATCTTCGTTAGCTTGACAAATATTGATAATCAACGCGTTCAAATGCGCACGCTGCTTCGGATACTGTTTGTCAAAACACCGCTCCACTTGTAAACGATCAAACACATTGGCATCGCTAAATTCATCGCCACCTCGGTGTCCACCGGCAAGCAGAGGATACAGCAGTTGAGAGTAAATCTCCGGCCGCAACTTGACACCTTCACACCACAAGGCTGTACGCATGAGCTCGAGGGCTACGGTCAGGTCTCCAGCATGCAGACTTTGAAGTATGCCTTGGGAAAGCGAGTGTGTGGTGTAAGGTATGACATTTGGAAACATCTCAAATAGCTTCAAAATTGTCGGACACTCGGTCAGTCTCTTGTCGACATTGCTTCTGATGTTTGCCCTCTGGATCTCTGCTCGGAAATGAGCAATACTTTTAAACAACTCACTAACTGTCCGATGGCTTGCTCTGTTGTTATTAAGTTGCATCTCCTGCAAGAGTTCCATCATGTGCTTAAAGTTGCCATCGAGAATAGCGTAGAGAAGAAGATAGTTGACACAACTACTGTCTGTGTCCTGAACAGTGTAAACAAGCTCGTGCTCTTTGGCGTGCATGAACAGATCTGCAATCTCTAAGCGGCTCACGTCATTTGGGGCACTCTCCACAGCATGCGCGAACGACCCTGCATCAATCGGCACGTGATATGTTGCTCCGTGCTGCAGCAGTACCTTTGCAGCGTCATACTGACCAGCTGCAGCGGCAGCACTTACTGCAATCGAAAGCCGCTTTGGATCCAGTGCGAGCGCAAACGGAAAACGATTTATGTACTCCACAATCATTTCTCCCATGGCTTTGGCTGTATACTTGGTAGCTTGATCAACCACAACACTCTCTTTGTCCGTGACAGTATTAAGAAATATCTCGGGACGATACAAAATCAACCTTACGAGCATATGAGCAGACGAATAACTCGTGTGAAATTTCAAGCGTTCCATGGCATGAAGCAACGTCTCTAGCCTTTGTCGCAGTCCTTGATCCATTTCATCCATCAATTTTGTTGTGCACTCGACTCGTAATAAGAAATTATATGGATCTGTTTCATGAATTCCAGCCACGTTACACTTGCCAATGACTTGATTTTGATAAAACTTGTTCATTTCATGGATGCGATTTGTATCCAGCATTGACCAAAGTACAAAACGATGCATTTGCATCCTTGTAATTGTAACACTTGGCCACGTTGTTAAAGCTCTTGGTTTCATCTTGACAAGACCGTTTCTTTCATCCTGTATGAATTCATGATACACTTGCCACACCCTTGGACAATGACCTTCACGTGATGCTTTATAGAGCAAAAACAAATACAGTTTCTCCTGAAGTTTCACCCGATGTGACCGTAGATGATCAAATGCCTTTAATGACACTTGAAACGATGTTTCTAGATCCGTTATCTGCTTCATTAGAACGTCGAATGTCTCAATGGATTTATCTGGCATTGTGTTTAAAGATGGTTTTACTATTGGAAAAGACGGTACTACATTCATTTGATCTCGCTCCATATGTATAGAACGTATATAAGTTAACATTAGATGATTATTGTATAGAAAAGAAGTAGATGTAGACAGAATGGAGCGTGATTTCGTAGGAGAAAATTCTCGTAGTATCAGTCGCATACACTCATTCATTGGACGCATTGTAGTGCGAAGAGGTGAAGCGTTCTTACGTTTTGGTACAGTGTACCTACAAATATAAACGTATTGTTTCTGCACTTTTTGAAAAAAGTACACCCACACAACAAGACAAGAGTGAAGGTCTCACTTCAACTTAAGACCCACTCTCACTCAGCATGACATCAACGAGGAAGAATCGACGTAATCTCATGCTGTCAAGTCCATCTTCATCTTCTACAATTCTACCACTTTTTATTCCTCCATTACCACCGTTACCTCCAATAGATAGGAATCCATTGCCTGACTTGGTAAAACAAGACACACCGGCATGTGCTGGTTGGGGGAACGAAGCATGGTGTTCAAACAAGTTTAATGTGAACCAGAGTGTTGTTAACACGATGCACAAAGTAGACATTGAGTCGATGTTGATTGCACCCAGCAATAATTTGTCACATGCAAGTGATACCGACAACAACTTGTCATCATCAACAATTGCTAGCGTCACGGAGCAGAAATACGATCATCAAGATCCGTACTTTCCGTATCCTGATGTTCACAAGTTGCGTGTTATTGACGAGACGGAAAAACGTTTCGAGTCGACTGCGAAATGTATTGGCAATGACAAAAGAGATGTCAGTGATAAAATGGGGAAAATGCGATTCAAAGATACTTGCAGCTTATTGTTGACACAGAGTCCTCCGCCGCGTAAAGTGACCCAGCCTGGACGCACAATGTGGAGCATTACACCGGACGAGCTTTCAGAATTAGCACGGGATATGGCTGAAACGAAGAAAGAGCCTGCTGAAGCAAACAAAACGGTTTCCTATTATTCCAAATCAAGCAAATGCAGATTGATTGAATCTACATTGAGTCGAGTAGCACAGACGAAAGTGGTAGCACCTGAGCAGCCGATTCGCACGTTCAAGAAATACTATGGACTGCCTAACATTCCAACCTTTACATCGCTGCACAGGCAGAATTTCCGTCCTCGCTCTATTAGGTTAACGAGTCTACACACTGACGGCTTTTGTTGTCTTCCAGTGATGCAGAAGTGCCGGAACAGAAAACAACCCCATTCAAGAAGTTTACTGAGACGGAGAACAAGCCACAAAATATGCTGGACTATCGCCAAGTGTTTGGTCTTTCAGCCATGACGCCCACATTTTATCCACGCCAGTCGACTGACACGAACGAGCTCATGCAAATGGTAGGGAAGTACTCGTGAATGTGACCACCAAAAAGGGTCAGCTAACGTCTTGAATCACTCGTAGTTGAAGGCGTCACTTGCGTCCAAGAAGGTCGCACCACACATGGATTGGTGGCCGGTAAACTGGTTTTACAGTTTGTTTCATTTTCATGCTGCGAGAATAATTTTGAGCGTGTGAGCTTTGCTTTGCAGGGAGACTGGAAGTGCACAAATTGCGGTAAGTCGAGATGTTGAGTTTTTGCATACTGGCACTTGGTAATCTCACTTCTGCCTTTGTGTCGTTCTACTTAAGGCAACCATGTACTATGTTCTAGACATTATTATCGTCTTCATTGTTGGAGCTGACCGTCCATTTCTCCGAGTAGAACTTCTCGTATAGGGACACTTGCAAGCGGTGCCGAGTCGGACGACTAGAAGACGCTGGATTTGTTTTCCCGACGTCTTCGGCTGATTCATCAGCCTGAGTTTACAGACAGCGACGAGTAAATCGCTTTGTGGCACTTTTTGATTACTCTGATCTAATATGAAACCTTGAATTTGGTGCTTCTCTAGGCTACAACGATTATATCAGAAAAAAAAAACAAGGCACCATCTATTACTTCATGAATAACAAACGCTTTCTCCATTTTTACACTCTTGGCTCCGTATGGTTCTGTTGTTGCTGCTGCTTCCTAGCACCCAATTGACCTGCTCAAGCCTTTTCATCATCATGCCAAATTATTGTAAGCACTGCTTGACCAACTGTTTTAGTCGTGGAGCGTTCACTTCGTCTACATGTGCAATATTATTCCGATCCGCACTGGCATGACAATGCTTTCTATTTCAAACCTTAAGATACAGAAAACGCAGCTTGCAACTCTTGTTTGTCTTCGACAACATCGACTTGTAGGCTTTACATTTAGCTGCATCGGACTGTACATTCGAAGCAGCAGGACAGAGGTATTGGTTTACTGTCGCAACATGAGTGCTTAATGCTTGCTGTGTTTGAGATCCTACAGTAAGCGCTTGTATGTCTACTCCTCTATCTTGCATGACGAGCACCAAGCATTGCGTGCGTCGACAACTGCCGCAGCAAGCTTAGCATAAGTCGTTTCCTTCTTCTAGCAAACGACCTCTTTTCTTACTGCTATTTCGTATACCTGCGTTCAGCACTTTGCGTCACGAACTATCGTAAATAACTCCGTTTTTGCTCGTTTCAAATTGCTTGCGGTAACACATGAATGAATACCGACACTAATATGCAAGATAGAACAAAAGTCTAGACGAATGTCTGTACGAATGGCGTCGACTGTATTAAATAACTACTATATGACTCACATGTTTGAGGCAATCGGTATCGTAATTCCTAATCTACATTCGCTTCTCGAGTCAGGTAGTAGACCTACACAAGTATGGATGCGATGGGCCTGGCCAAAGCCGTTTAATCTGCAGTAGCAATTCCTTCGATCGGAACTGCCGCAGCGTAGCTCACTTCAAGCTACCTGTAGAAAAGACGCGCACGAATTTTTAAGTACATGATGTTGGTTGAGTCACTAACGAGGAGGAGAATTTGCCCAGACGAGCAATCCGCTGAAAAAACTTGAGCAATCAAGCGCCGGTATTGATGATATCATTGTCTGATGACATCTCGAGGCAGCCGTAAAAGCTCTTTAGCAGCTTGGTGATCTTGCAACCCTTCTTCTCGCAGCAAGCCATGACCACTGGCGGACACTTGCACAGTGCTTCCTCAAGTTCCAGTAAAAAGGCATTTAAAAATAGCACACGCTCACGCACGACGTTCTTGGAGTTTTTGCCGAGGAAGCAGCCTTGCATGACAGGAAATTCAGTGTTCATGAACACGCGCTCGAGACAAGACGTGAGCAAACAACTTTTATCTCCACCACAGCACATGGTGCCCTCCTGCAATTGGCGGCGCGCGAGCTGCTGCAGCTGCAAGAAGGCTGAAAAGCGGCGGTACACGAGGTCCTCGCCACCGTAGCGGTCGGTCTGCACTCGGATGACATAGTCAGTGTGTCCCGCTACCTTGCGGGTAGCCACGATGGTGCAGCGCACATCACCCAGAACGATGGCGGAATTGGTAGGCGAGTTGGGCGAAAGCATCTTGATGAAGGTGGAAAATTGATCGAGTAAGCAATTGAAAGCAAGTTTTGAAATGGTGAAGGAGTGATGATGACAACCGACAATATCGACGAATCGTCTGGTATTCCACTCGGCCACGCGACAAGAATGGCGCCTTGGTTGGATCCAAGACGAATTCGATCGACGTTGTGCGTCATTGACCCGTCGTTGCACTGAACGCTACTTACGACACAAACGCTTGAAACGGAAGTGGCAGCAGATAGACGCTGCATCTGGCTGCAGTCTTAAGAGGACAATAACGACTCAGAGGCATACTGCATTCAGATAAATTAAAACGTCGTCATGGTTGCTGACGTCTAGTTTGTCTGACATACCACTGTAATGATGATTGCCACTAAATGGCGGACAAGATATCACGTATAAAGAAGCACTGAGGTAGTGTTGAATGTGATAAGGTTACAAGTTAATATGTAATACGGTGGTTAAGACTAGCATGACATGTATATAGTACAGTGGGTTCCATGTTTGGTTGAAACGCTACACTAGTGAGGAAGTTGATCGTGTACTGGCGACAAAATATCAAACACTGCAGAAGGCTTCCGTCCCGACGCTAAATAGAGACGCTCGAGCTTATGTGAAAGTGAAAAGGCGGAGGCATTTATGCCCAAGAATCCCATACAATATGGTATTTCAACAACCCCATATCGGAGCATCAGTCCCGACATGCTAACAACATCAGGCCTAAATGCAGAGCCCCGACTCACGGAGCTTGAAGTAGAAGAGACTTGGCCGTACCGGCTTGCTTGTGCCGGCTTTTAGGCTGAAGGTACAAAATCCGAACGGTAGTCACCGCTCCGTCTTCGCTTAAAACCAATGAATGGCTATACGGTGCCGCACAATGTCACTACGAAGCTATCAGTGCACATACACACCATTTATGAATGGTCAGATTGTACTAGTACATACGGCACAGGAAGCACTGCGATGTTGTGATACTAGCATACAAGCTTTGTATACCTGTTGCAATAGAGAGGTTGCTATTTCGGTAGCAGGTGCTACCGATATGTGCATTATGAGACGAGAGGTTGTGGCGATTGCCGAGATAATGTACGTGCTAATCGTTACAGGTGGCATCTATCGTATTGTGTGACGATATTACCAACCATTTTTCGCCGTTAAGTAATGCGACATCACTTTGTTATACCTGCCGTAGTGGCATATGGCGGAAGGTGCTGCTCACATGCACACTAGGCATTGTTTATGCTATAGGAATGTTTTCTGTCATGTGGTTTTCTTGAACAATGGTTGAAAGGCTATCGATTCTAACGCGAGTACTGCCTCAAGTCAGTTGAACTAGAAAAGCCTATCAGTCCACCAAATGGATTGATAGGCTTGCATTGTTTTTTGTGCTCATAAGTAGGCTACTTCAGTATCTAGCGTCACTAATCTGTATAAGTCAATGACGTCCTCCGAGACACTGCCTCAAACAGAATGTCTTGCTTTTGTAACTAATAAACAGTTGGGGGTGGTGCCGGAGTCTAGATGAACATTCGTTTCTAGGTAGTAACCGTTATTCATACCATTATTATCTGTTTTATTTTATGTGACAAATACCAACACCGCTATAGGTAATCTTTTTTTACTTACAAAAGTATTGTTCACCTTTAAGGCTTCTTGTTTCATACATACTGTTTTGGCATTTCTCAATCCCTTGATTTCCAGTTTGAAAGGAATGCAAAATAAAATGACCATTGAATATAGGAGGAAAGTCTGCAGCTTGTAGCTTTGACAAAAGCCATCTGATCGTCGATAAAAACACATACTGGTTTTTACTTAGAGCATAAGATATGCTGGTTTTCACTTTGAGAGAAAGCATTTACCACAAGCTATTCGTACCGAATGGTAGCGACCAAACAAGCACGTAAAAACGGCTTATAGGACGTACCTCAGCTCATAAGCAGCCGGTTGTATGAATGCCTGCTTAGTGTTTCTCTTTTGTTACAGCGTCACTGCACACGTCTCTACGATTCATAAGATGCACGCAAGAACCTGACAAGTGGAAGTAAGTTATTTTGCAGCGGACAAACTTTAGTCGATAAGTTTGACTGAAAATGTCTTGTACGGACGGACGGACAATTTAAGATTCGTGCGAACAAATTACGATGTTTGTGACTTCACGTCGTACAGTTTTGCCCCTTTCTAAACCGATTTGCAACTCTTCAATATAAAGTACGTGACTTTTACTAAATTCTTATGAATATCCATGATTGCAAAAAACGCCTAAAAAAACAAAAAGAGACAAATAATTAGTCTCATCTAATAATTCTTCCATCTCATTTTACAATTATTAATTTCATGACCTGGCTCCAATTCGCCGTATTTGCCACCTCCTGGTGCCTCTCAATAGCTGTTTCTTCTCCTACTACATTTAATCTTTTCCATGCAATAAATGATTCTTCTATACTCAGACTCCAAGATTCACCTGATCGAGAGCTTCAATGGGCTCAATACGAACGTTTTCTCCTTTCCAAGACGCGGACAATCTCTCTATTACTCTATTTTACAGCCAATTGTGACAATAATCACAATAATGGTCCACACAAAAATAATCGAGAATTTTATTCTCAATCGAAAGAAGAAAATACTACAATACAACAATTCATTTCGCCAGAATCAGAATCAGATACACATTATCATGAACAGCTCGTCAACGCAGCGATAAAGTTGGCAATTATGACGTTATTCTCTTCTAAATCTTCTCAATTTCTCATGATTTGTACTGATATTCCTCTCTATTCTCAAATGCTTCATTATGTAAGTCTGTATCCTAATTATTATTATTATATTCATCATCTCATTCTTCTTCTTACTTCTTTTTATCTGTCTGTGTATATGATGTATTTATATAAGTATAGCACTTGATATCATCAACACCATCCTTACTGTGGATTCCTGAACGTTCATCAAGTACATTCCAGCGTTATCCACATGTGGAGACTAATTATCTGGATCTTAGTATCAATGGCACGCTCTTTACTCAAAAGTTACAAGCTGAACAGACGGTGGACAAACAGAACAAGAATTTCAAGGTCTTTCAACAGAATGAGGAACTCGAGAACAATATTGCCAAGGAGATTACGACATTTGTTCGTTCGTGCCAAGAAAAAAGTGGCTATTTTGTTGACCATCGTGCGCAAGGTGGAAGGTTTTTGCCAGCTGTATCAGTGAGATCTACGGATGAAGTTTGGTCGAAGCTAGAGATGATTCCGATCGTTGCAGTCTTGGCCTTTGCTGCTTTTGTTGTGTACGAGAACCGAGATGTTGTGCATGGAGTCATTTGTACACGATGTTTCTGGTTTCTAGTTTGCTCGGGAGTTATCTTTGTTGCGTTGAGTGGACTTTTCCATTCGATCATTCACCGTCGAGCTTGGTATTATTTTGGTCAAACACACGGTTTCGTGTTTGTTTACCCGAGTCCACAACGACAGTTTGTGTTGGAAGGTTTGGTAAATGGTACATGGAGCTTCTGGTGGTCTCTCGCAGGAATGAGCATTTCAGACGTTTTACCGACATTGCGCTCGCAACTGGCAAGAGATGATCTTCTTCGATGGTCGCTATTGCTTGTGGTTATCTCGTATGCAGCGCTTAATTTTGCGTTCCTCATCAAGTACAGGTGGTTAGCTTAGCCATCAAATGCGTCTTCAAAAAAATCAGGGTCGACAACGTGAGGACTGAACTTGACAACTTTGAGGACTGAACTTGGGGGGGTCGCTTACTTAAGTGGTATACAAGCCACCTCTGCGATGGCGTACCTGTGATAGTGTGTTGTTCTTACATCCAACGGTTTTCTTTCTTTACTTCAAAAGTATATGTACCATGAAGAAGAAAATACATTGTTTATGACCGGCACATTCCTGCATGTTCGTCACAACATTAATGCTTCAGAAGGCTCAAAGGCATTCAATTGTATACCAGCAACTACAAATTGCTACTTACGTTAGTGCTACCTAACTTCTTCCCTACTTTTGCCTAATGAATATGACTGCACGTCTTGCACTTCTTGTTCCAAACCTGATGAGGGTGAGCCATGAAGACCTGACAACTACAAGCACGACACGTCCCCATCATACGAGATCTCTCAGCAAGGATATCTTTATGCTCCTGAATGCCGTGCGTGGCGCTATTCAGTGCCTCATACAGCGGCCTTGCAGCCGCAGGCTGACCAACTGCCCCGCTCAGCAGCGCACTTGGTTCCAGATCCTGTCCGTAGAACTTGCGGTTCAGGTCATTGCGCGCTGCAATCACCGAGCCTTGGAGTGAAATTCCAGCGTATAAACCCTTACTAATCGAGTAGCTGTAGTTGCTATTGAGCCCCGAGCTGCTGATCGCGGCGGCAGCAGCAGCCGATCGTCCATACGGGCCGACAGCAATGTCCAGGCCTGCGCCTAAGTTCACCTGCGGTGAATAAAATACCTCAACGGCTGCAGGAGAGCCTAAAATGATCATGACTTCTACAATCTCTCCACCAATCTGGAAACCGCCACCAAGTCCTATCGTGCCAATAGCTGAAGGTGCAGACCACGATCCATCCGACAACCGTGACAATACAATGCCTGTGCCAACCTTGCCAACTAGCAGAAACCCAGCCTTAACAATCGTCATAATGGCCAAACCGTGTGCCTTTTCAAGCATTGCAATCGGAATCGCTCGATCTCCTGATGTCCCAGAATCATTTCGAAAGAAATTACCTATAATATCTGCTGCATTCATGCACTCTTTTTCCAATGAAGGTGAAAATGGTACGTGTAGTCTCGATTTAGCTTCATGTGGTGCCGTTTCAGCATTAGCCTTAGCATATTGTGCCACTAGATTATTCTGCAGTGGACGCAATTGAGGTGCACAATGTAAACATGTACGTTGTGGAATAGATGGATCATAACCCTTCGCATCTTGAATTTGATCTCCTTCTGGAATCAAAAGCAGTAATGGCGAGCAATCACTGCAGATATAACGACCACATGTACGACTATAAACAAAACAATACAAAAACACGACACACAAACCATTAGTTTTCTCACTTTTGTATAAATATGATCACACTCATCTTACCATTGATGTCGACGTTTTGTAAGATCAAAAGCTAATCCACATGTATCACAATTTGGATAATCTGAATATCGTCCTTTTAAAAATCCAGATTTTATCTCTCGATAGCTATTATTATTGTTATTATCTGTTGTTGTAGCAGGACCTTTACCATCCACATAAATAACCGGAATTGCTGGTGGTAAATAATTCACCATTCCTTGTTCTGATTGGTACAAAAGAACTTTCTGTTCCTGTTCTTCCAACGATATTATGTCATCTTCTTCTTCTCGAAATCGCGGTGGAATTTGTGCTTGTGTTTGTGCTTTTTGTTTCTGCTCATCTTGTAATGCAATTTGTGGTATCTCTTTAATGAAAAAAGGTGTACCACATTCACAACAGAAACGTCCACTGACTGTATGTGCACTGCATAATGAACACACGGGCATAAGGAGAAGAAATACGATAGTATCAAACAAGGAGTAACAATAGAGAGGTTTTTTTCAGACGTGGATATTATCAAATGAGATGGGTATTATCTCATGCGATGGCAGAAAAAATAGTGTCGGAGAAAAACAATGAAAAAATCGATACTTGATTTTTTTCTTTTATCCGCTGGAAAGTGGATAAATCCAGGAAAACGGATTTTTCTTGTTTTCCATGAGATCAAACAACCGTTACACATAGCCCATTAATGCCATATGGTCGTTTTGATTCTCTTCAGTTGGAACTGTTCGGCACGTAATCAACGCCAAAGCGTTTAGGCCACGAAATGAATGGGTTCAGAACCAACACCACCACAATGTTGATACACGAGCTTGGCAAATTGCAACGCAAGAGCGTCAGCATCTTCTTGAGTGTCAGCTTCGGCGTATACACGCACGACATCCTCAGTGCCCGATAGACGGACAAAAGCACGTCCACGTTTGCTGGTGTATTCCTGCAAAGCCGAGTTCAAGGCAGTCGAAAGCTCCTCGGGGGCAAGCACTTGGGTGTCGTCCTCCTCGGCTGACTTGATCACATTGCGGTCTGTAACTTTTACTTTCGTCTGGCGGCTCGGCAGATCGTTGTAAATGGCGTCCCAGTCACTGATGCTCCAGTTCTTCTGAACAAGCAATGCCTCGACGAACAGCAGGTCACACATTGCATCACCCGTGGCTTGGTTTACAAGCTGCGATGCTGCAAGTAGCTGCGACAGTGCTAGCTTTTTGCGCTCATCATGCAGTGTATTCTCCCATTTATGCAACTTGTCCATCAGTGCGTCCTTGAAAATGACCGTGCCGTGGCCATTAGCCTCAAAATACACAGCCATGTCGAACTGTAATGCCTTCTCGTGGCAGTACTTCACACCAGTTTTTGCCTGCACCACGTTAATGCCTAGGGCTTGAAGGTACTGAGTGGCGGCGCCGTTGGCGTACGCAGTCAACACGCAGCCAAACGTCACGCCTTCTTGCTCAAGTTCCAGAGCGTGCAGTTTTTCCGATAGAAACTCGGCAAAGAGGCAAGCAATCTTATTGCCATCCAGCAAATGCCATGTGCCTTCCTCGTCAAAGTAGTGAAACACTACACGGTCGCCATCACCGTCCATGCTGCAATAGCGCTTACCACGGTCGTTGTCACGGGACAAGTTGGACGGTGGCTGGCGCGACTTTTCCACATGTTCAGCGCCACACTGAAAGTTTAACTCACCATCACTCGGCGTATTGACAATCTCTAGACGAAGCGAGTCACCAAGGTCCTTGGCCATTTTGGCCATCTGTAGTGCTCCGACACCATGGGCGCAATCAACATATAGTGGCTGTCGTGTCTCCAGACGCTAGGACAAGACGCAGTAACAGACAAAATATCATTTGGACATGGATTCTCACAAGCTCCAAGCTCAACAAGAGACTCGTACCTTTGAGTCATGCGTGGCTGTTAGCTGCTTAAAGGCATCACTAAGCATATTATAGTATCCGACCTCCGAAGCCCAATCACCCTTGTTATACTGCTCATAGTTCCACTACATATGATACACAGAAAGACACAAAAAACAAAACAGGTGAATCATTAATCATTCCATCCTCCTTGTCAATTTAACGTCCATCTTATAATGACGGTATATTCCCAACCTCACGTCTTACCATTCGTACAAGATGATGTAACTGCGGTGTTGTCTGGAGTCCAAAGTCCAGTACATTTCCACCAATTACAAGTGCTCCTTCTCGTGCAAGTTCAGCTAAATGTTCACTCGAAGGTCGTGTATCCTTTGCAATGAATACATTACCAGTTTGATCTAAATCAATCTTCTCCGTCATGACAATTGTATCCAATACGTCAACAAGTTTCTCTTGTGTTGCATTAACTACTTCCATTGCATACTTTTCCCACTTTTGACTCAGCATTTCACCCTTGGGATCAATAATTTTAATTCCATTCTCACTTGCCGCATTATGTGATGCCGTAATCATAATACCAACAATCTTTCCCATACTTTTAGACCGTAAAACAGCAAACATTCCCATACGATGACACGTTGAGACTAAAAGACCAGCATCGTCACGAAAACCTGCTGTACCGTAGTATAATTCACGTGATCCAAGACGTTCTGTACGTGGATATTTAAGTGATTCTTCTGCCACACGAGGTGTTTTATCTAATACACTACTAGTGCTCATTGAAACTTCTTCTGAGTCTAAATCTGATTCCAAATCTGCTGAGTCTTGGCTTATTGGCTTAATAGCTTGTCGAATTGTGAAGAGTCAAACTGAACGGGAGGTAGTGAGTCTATGATTGTAAATTTACAAAACTTGTTGAAAGATTATATATATATAATATGATTTAAAAATTACCTTGAAAGATTAAATATGATTTAAATTACATACAGGGGAAAAGAAGATACTTCATGTAGCTCGAATGTAGATAGATGTACGAACAGGACGTATAGAAATGAGTCTTACAATGACGTTGGAATTAAAGGGCGTACTGTTGACTGATAAATACTCTCCTATGCCCTTTTGATAATCGCTCTTTTCTGACTGGATGGTGCCTATTTGATTGAGTACTCACTCACTCATTCATCTCCTGCTATCGACCGTCAAAACATTTTTCTTTCATGTCATTACTGAGTGTCCTGACTGGATGATGCCTTTTGCACGGACAGCGGCAGACTGGAAAACTGGGGTGGATCGTCATCTACCTCCTCATGTGCCGACACGAGGATATCGTCGATGGTTTGAACGGCATTTTCAACGTTCTGAAAAGCACCAACGAGGTAGTGCAACTGCCGTAGCAGTACTAACAATACGGCGTCTGTCGCTTGCGCGGCTTCGAGTCGTGTTTTAAGTGCCTGCGTATGAAAAACAAGTCACAGTCCACAATAAGCTCAGTGCTTTAACGTAAGACAAAAGTGACAAAAACATCTTCAAGAACTTACCATTGTGCGCCGATACCTTGCCAAACGACTGGACCTGCAGGCGGAACAGGGTATCTGCTCACCCGTTATATCGTCAACACTTTGATCGGTGCATCCATTCCGCCCGGGAGAGCACCGACCTCCCAAATAGTACGCTTGTAGCGTATTGTACTCATCAGCGTTAAACGGCAGCTTCGAGATGTCGGTAACAACCTTGCGGACGTTCGCTTCCATTGTACTCTCGTAACGTGGACTCTTAAGCGACAAGCGCTTTTCACAAGATCCACCCGATCGCGGGAAACGACCCATAGATCCACGCGATGGGATCCGAATTACACGCGGCAGTTGGTTGGTACTCGTCTTGGATGGAGAGGTGCACCCAGTGCCACCTGCTAAGCCGGACGTACCGTTGCCGGGTCCGTTGTGAGGAGGGGGCAGCAGGCCAAGTAGCGCATTGGCACTTCCTGAACGCGAACCGCTGCCACTTCCACCTCCGTTAACACTGCTAATACTACCTGACGACGAACCTGCCTTAACGTTGCCCTCTAGTCGCTGAAACTTAGGGTGTTGTACCATCGAAGGTGAGCTCTCACCAGTATCGCTGTCTGCACACAAGTCCGCTTCCCCTGTTGCTGTTCTATCTACCACGGCGTCACCTGCATCCTGTGTGGGTTTTCGCTTGTGACTGGGTGGAATCCCCGACGCAGCAACTGCGGCTTGTGCTGTGACACGACCCTCATGAAGACTCTTCAGTACCAATTCGTTGCGAATGAGTGCATCGGATTCCCTTTTACTATCACCGGAGGGTGTAGGAAGGGCGACTACAAGACTTAGATCCACACCGGTGAGCTTGAATAGCACCGATTGCACGTTAACGTTAATAGCACCAACAATGCATGACGCGGCATAATTGTTGGCACCCTTTGTCGCTAATGACGCACCATTTAAATTCAGATGCTGGTTCTTTTTCATGTATTGAGTGCTCGCCCAATCGTGGCCATCCACAAGCAGACACAGTAGTGCGCGGCTGCGCGCCAATCCCACAACACTGAGCTCGCGCAGCCCCAAGAGGGACATGTGGGTGTAGCTCAAGTCTAGAACCCGCAGCTCGGTATTCTGGGCTAGCAGTGCTCCAAAGGCACTGGCACCCACGTCTCCCAGCGGATTGTGATCCATGTACAAGTTCTGCAGTCGATTTGTACCGCATAAAGAACGAGCTAATGCAATGGCACCTTCCTGATCCACGCCATTTTTTCCTAATTCTAAAGTCGACAGCGCGACATGACCTGTAGCAAAAGCTGAAGCCAGATGACGCACACCTGCACTTCCCACTTTATTCTGTCCCAGTGTCAGCTCCTCGAGCGACTTATTTTTTGTTAATGCAGTTGCTAAACTCTGCATTCCTGCAGCACCAATTCCATTTGTACCCAAATACAGCGCTCTCAGTGCTGTATTGCCTGTAATTCCATCTGCTAAAAGTCGAGCACCTTCTTCGCCAATATTGTTGCCACTGAGATGTAAACTACGCAAATGAGTATTCTTGGTCAATGCCTGTGAAAGTGCACAAGCACCAGCGGGTCCAATGTCATTTCCTGATAGGTATAAACTCTCAAGCGATGTGTTCGTCTCCAATGCTTTTGCCAATTGTGCTGCACCCTTATCTGTCAATCGATTAAAACCAAGATCCAGTGTACGCAGCCTTGAAGCACCATGTGCCAGTACGTCTCCCAATAGTCTCGTACAGGCATCACCGAGTGAAAAGCCACCAAGTTTAAGTATACTATAAGGAGCTAGATCTCTTCGAATACGTGTACTTGCAGCTTCCCAGTCGGTTGTAATCTCAGTAGCAGCAGTAGTAGTAGTTGTAGCAGCATTGACGTTTCGATAATATCGACGAATATGGCTGTGAATCAGTTCTCGTGATGGACACGCATCGGATAATTGCGTTGGTACAACATCTTGTGCAGTCGATGAAGTATTAGTAGTAATAAGTGGTGGTGGCTTATTCTCTAAATTATGATTGCTGCTGCTGTTATGATGGCTGTTGTGGCTGCTGTTGCTGCTGTTGAGACTTGCATTTCTCTTGTGTTGTGCCTGAAACTCTCGCTCACTGTATTTAAAGCGTGCACTCACGTCTCGCATCATCCAGTAGAGGAAAAAGCGGCACGCAGTCGTAGCGTGGAGATAAAAAGAAAAAAGAGAGAAAACTAAATGATACTAAAAATTGTGCTTTTTTATCAACTTCCACACACACACACTCTGTCTCTCTCTCTATATGTAGGTCAAGTGTTACTGGTTTGAAACGTGCAGATCCACACGGTGCGTTTAAGTAAAAAAGACGTTACACGTCGATAATGGCGCGAGTATGAGAGTGTGTGCTGACCACGGCTATAGTGTCTGAAGAGGGGAAGGGGAAGTCATACAAAATTCAAGTTTTTTCTCTGCGACAAAAAGACGACTTTGGATTGGTCGTAAGATAAATAGGAAATTATTAGCCAATCGCAATATAGAATGTGTGAAGAGTAACAAGCATAACGAAGCAATGCGATTCATTCGTGCTATTTCCATGATGTTAGATATATAGCGATGAAGTTGATAGTACTGTGTACTGTTTGTTGGAGCTGAAGCAATAGCGTTGGTAGGGTACAATCAATACATGGGCGAGTAGTAGAAAAGGGGATGGGCTAGAAGTGGTGAAAGGAGGTACTGTTGCGACTGGTAGGCTACGATTGGACAAAAGCTTCATCAGAGCAATTTCTATCTGTAAACCTTTATAATTTCACCAATAACAAGCCTAAATATTTAGAAATTTTGATATCATATTTCTATATGCGACCAAAGACTGAAAATCTACGGTGTATGCCACGCATTCTTACCTGTCCCTTCCTTAACCAGACCTCGAGCTTACACGGATGACATGGCTACAGATGTCTGTCATCACAGACTCTCTACTGAAGTATTTTTCAGTCAGTTGAGCTCTGTAAACATGCTCGCACGGAGAAATGATCAGCATATCAGTCAACATTTCTCCATGATGTCTCGTAGTGAACAATATCAAAGTAAATCACGACATGTAGGTCATTATGAAAAACATCTTTCGTAGTGGTGTCCAGCTGCAAAGTACAGAGCAGGTACTCAGTAGTCGCAGCTGTAGAAGGGGCTTTCTCTTTCATGAAGTGTTCTCACATTTCTTCTACCCGTGATCAGTTCAGGCTCGATTTAATGGAACCATGACACTTACGTGTCGATTTTCATACAATAATGAGCATATTTTATAGCAGCGCAGATCATAAAAAGCAAATCTTTTGCAGTCTCCACTGGCTGGATATGTGCCACTTCTTCGTGTACTTCATGCGTGCGTGAACGCGTGATGAGGCTGCAAATCTTGCGACCTATTGCGAAGCCTTTGCTATGCTAGAGGTTTATGCGTTATCCATTTTGAAAATTTATAAACCCTGTCCTCACTTACTATCGATACTAAAATGACGCCGTGTCGTAGGTCCGCCATTGCTTTGTTGAGGTCTTGAATGGATCAATGTCACCCATAAGGCACCTAAGCCAAAAGTTTTCTGTTTGTAAGTTTGGTACTGTTTATTTCTACAACTCTTTGAAGTAGACTGCAAAAAACATCACATAGCCGAACATCGTCCGACGTTTTTTGCCCTGCGATAAGGAAGATCCAGACTTTTTGAGAAAGCTATGATGGCCAGGATGGATCTCTGAGCAATTTTTACCAATTGATCGACGTGTGCGCGGCGATGGAAGAATAGTCAATGGAAATGCGCCAAAGCCGATAAGAAGAGGAACAGAAGCTACAGAAAACAGAATACGGATTATAACATGCGGCCATTCTTTCCAAAATCACTCAAGAATCTTGACTAGGAAGCTATAATAGGCTGCATGGGATTCCAGTAAGCGCGGTACTACCTCGGTAGACGCGATACTACCTCTAGTAGACGTGATAGCAATATCAATGCTCAAGGTATACATAATCTGGAGGACAAATAGAATGTAATACACCATGTGCAAATAGGACAAATTGTTGCAAGAAGTTGCATATTTTAGGATAGGCCTGATAGGACATCAAACAATATAGGATTTTTCTTTCAAACGCATCAAGTTGTTGAGTGCACCACATCATTTGCGTCACAAAAGAATAAATAAACCCTTCTTCTCTAAGAGCTCATCTATCACCATGACTCTATCCGTGCGCACGAAAAACTTTGTCTTAGGTGGTAGCCTTGCCACTTTTGCATCTGCTATCTTTGGATACACTTTTTATCAAATGGGCCAGGTATGTTTCCATAGCTATGCGAAACGTGCTGCTCTTCTAACGTCGATGTTCTAACTCGTTACTATTGAATTAATAATACTATTTACAGGACGATTTCAAAGACCTGGACACTGTAAAGGTGAATGTGCATCAGAGTGGCATCAAACCTTCAGCTGTTGGCAAGAATGACAAGTAGACGTCATCAGTGATTGTGAGAAAAATAAACAGAAATCAAACGTTTAAGGTCTTGCTTGGTTTTGCTCAACAGCTTCCAGCGTGAGGCAATTGATTGAAGAAATATTATCAACAGATCTATTGCTGAAGAAAGATGAAGAATGCACATGCGACTTGGACTTGCAGTGTTGTGTTGTAATCGTTCATATAAGCTAGCAATCATGTCAACTGTCCACGTAGACCTCGAGTGGGCTGGAGTGATCTTACATATCGCATCGGCTCGTTCCTGGCAGCTCTTATCACAACAAAAAGAATCGTCATCTTAATACAAATGCTAGCGCCGCTTGAAAAAAATGCTCAATGAGCTTATCGGAATGCAGCATTTCGCTGCGCAAGAACCTGGATCGAGTAAAGAATTAGTCCATACATCCTGTTCATTTAACAACCTGCTTGACAACGTCACACCTTTTCCATGAGGCGCAGTGACTTGATTGGCACTTTACTCTTCAGCTTGCGAAGGTTTTGTGCCGTGCGATCAGCCTGCATTAGCTCGCGACGGGTCTCTTCCAGCACCTTCACCTTGGACGTGCTAGACACCTTTTTGTTCTTCTGTCGGAGTTTTCTCCGGGCAGTTTTGGACATTGTATGATCACCTTCCAGTGTCTTGCTCTTGGATGATGTATCCTTCGTTGGCTTGCTGCTTGCAGAGCCACAGTTCTGGAGAAAAAGCTTGGTCACACGGGCTGCCATTGTTGCTTTCTTTGGGTTTATGGACAGGACTGCCTGACTACCAATCGTATACAAATGCTCGGCTATAACCTATCATACAGCATAATCTAGAACTTGGAGAAAACATTAGCATACAGCTGCACGCGACTTATAAATTCAGTTATGTAACAGCACTTGATGCACTGCATTAGCGCAAAATTAATGAAAAAATCTGTAGTGAAGCACAGATAAATGTTCGTCACAAGATAATGATCAATGAACTATTATGACAAGTCTCATGCTGTTTGAAAGTTGCTAACTTGTGGTACAGTCAAATAATTCTACACACAAAATTCAATTTTACAATAGGCTGATTTTTTTGATTATGCACATTTCTGAGATTGCTCAGAGCTTTTGCTGCATCAGACGGACAAAAATGTCGGAAACAAGACTATTCGAGTTTCTCACAGTTGTTAACTTAGAGTAGAACAAGTTTCATCAAACACAATGCAAAAATTCCGCACATTTAGCGAAATATCATAAGTAATAGATTACAGACACAAGTTAGATTACGAAGAGCTCGAAATTACGAAGACACTCAAAGTTCATTTTTTGACTTTATCAAAACGCTTGAAAAGAATTGTCACAGGCCAAAGATACTTATTGTTTGCCGACGCGAGCACATCCGTAACAACAATAACGACTACTTTGAAGCGGTGCATTACTGATTTGATTGCTACCTTTTGCGCTGAAGACCTATCTCATGAAGATTCTGAAGCACGAACCACCGCTACCGAACATTGCAATGAGGAATACTAGGGAGTATCTCTTTGATTGTAAAGTCATAGCTTACACTACTTCATCAGCTTCAAAGCACTCAGATCCTCCTTGTCCTCGCGCAATACTCCACTTCTACACTGTAGCAATAGGCTTATAAGCCCAAAGAAGGCGCTTAGCACTGTTGTTAGTGTCTGCAGCGGTGAAATAGATTTAAACGAGCGATCAGGTGACTTTGAGACGTCGCAGTCGACCGCTCACTCAATCCACATGTGTGCAGGGAAACTTTGATCTTGTTTCCTTCTAGATTAGTACGACAAAACCATTGAAGCATGTAGACCATGGTCGAATCTAGTACGTATGGTGCGTATAGACGCACATGATGACAGCAGCAATTTCGGTAAACTTATGGTCCTATTGGTTGGATCTAGTGTAAAAGTGCGTTACTCTTTCGATCAAAACAAGTATGTCCATGAGCATGCAGATCGCCCAGTATTGTGCGCTGTACGTGTCAGTGTGCAGCCCAAAGACGACAGAATCGATTACCATGAAGCTTGTCTGTCTAACCTTAACTTCTAAAGCTTCCAATAACAATAATGTGGTTTTGTGTTTAGCAATCCATAGCTCAATCTGGATGATATATCAAAGAGAAACCGTGAAATGCTTAACAAGATAGTAATGGAGATAACGGTGCTGCACGCTCATATCAGACAAGCCCACCAATCAAAACCTCTAGTCGAAGTAACTTCCTTACCATCTGAAGGTCACAACTTGGTAGCAAACGATCTTTTCATGACACTAATTCTTACCCTTATAGCGGCTGAAATATTACCGTAATTTAAAGAAACTGCACTTACGATCTCTAAACTGGCATCCATCATAAATCTAGAAGAAAAAAAAAGACCTGAAGCGAACTTCCAGTCAGAATTAAGCGTTTCTCACGTCAAAATGGTGGAAAAAAGTTAAATTAGGTACGTCCAGTACATTTTCCGTTTTGTAACGCACACAATATTACCCATTCCCATTACAACGACGACGTTCTGTTCACCTGTCATTTTCATTGTAGCCACATGAAGTCGATAGGTTTTTTATTTCCTAGTAATGGCATTTCCATGCTTCAATTTATGACACGACGCTGTAAATATTACGTATTTATCAATGCATTTATATGCAGTGTTGCCATGGTCAGCTACGTTTGTGTATCATCATTAAAGCTTCCCATCGAGTTTTCTGGCCTATTGACGCTACAGCTCTTGATGGTCTACAGTGTTAGTGTTCTACGTATTCTAGCAATCATCAAATGGTTTGAATGGATTGCGACCAAGAAACATTTGATTAATCAAGACAATCGCATACAGCTCACGGACAAGCATATCAGGAGCATCTACTACCGTATCTTGTGGCTCGTAGTGCCAACCGAGTGCATGTCCTTCTGGTTTGCAGAACGAACTGCTCTGTCCGTGCAAGGTCACATTAACTGGCAATCATTCCTTGCTGAGTACATCCTGTTCATCCCCAAGTCTTTGCTTTTTGAAATCATCTTTGACTTTTTTCACTTTATGATGCATTGGGCTTGCCACTCAAGCTTGTGGCTCTACCAAAACGTGCATAAGCGTCACCATTTGCATCTTCACCCGTGCCCTTTGTCAACTTACGAGCAAGACGGATTGGATTTATGCCTCACAAATGTGCTACCATTCTGTCTGGCATGGAGCCTTGGCTCCTTCTCGGATCTCCAGCTGCACTTGTTATTTGCATACAAGACGTACGTGGAAGTCGCTGGTCACTCTGGTCTGGACATTAAAGGTTTCTCCTTCCCACAGATGCCACTACTGAATAACGCCACAAGCATTTGTCTACGAGTACATGATCATGATGCTCATCACACACATCCACGCTGGAATTTTGCAAAGCGCTTTTCACTTTGGGACAAGCTTTTTCGTACGTTTCGTCCGGGCAAATAACGAATCCATGAAGGACTGACTGACTGCCCACAAGTGTCGCTCAAACGAAACGGCAGACAATTAGTACTGCTTGTTGTAAATAAAGATTCCAACTGCCTCCTAGCTATTCTTTGTATTAATACGATTGAATACGTCAAAGCTCACGTGACGATGCTTAAAGCAGCTATATAACCTGCGCATTGATTGAGTCAAAAGTCGTGTGTTCTTTTGTTTTTTGTAGCGTTGATTGATGGCACCAACGATTTCGTATCTGAATGACAAAGCTCTTCAACGTGTTCTTCATCGCAAGGAGGCAGTAAGTAAACCTATAACGATCTGCTGATGGAAACACGAACAAATGCCCATGACAGCGACACATCAAGAGAATTAAAATTTCGCCTTTATTCTCCATACTCTTAGAAACAAGTACCCGAGTGGTTTTGTTCGTTGCTGCTGCTGACAACAAAATCCATGACAAACTGTGGAACTGAGCTGCCGAGCTAATGAAAAGCACTTATAGACGACCACCAGCACCAGCCATCGACTCGACCAGTTGGTCCTCCTCACGAGCAACCTTAGCACCCTTTTCCTCGGCACCACCTTCGTGGAGTTCCATCAAACGTACCAGATCAAACTTAGGCTTCTTGAGGATCTTGCACTTGCGAATGTACACATTCTGGAGCGGGTAAATGCCCTGAGTAGCCTTCTCAATCTCCTTGCCAATGATTTCTGGCACAAACTTCAGGAACAGGTCCTTAATATCACACTTGGAAGCTTCCTCCGTCATGATCGATGTCATCTTCTTACGAATAGCACGAATCTGAGCCGTCTTGGCGTACGTAGTCTTCTTGATCTGGTTCGGACGTTTTTTGGTAAACGCAATGCAGAATAGACGCACTAGGTAGCCATCAGTGGTCTTAACATCTACAAACGCCTCGATAAGCGTCTGCCACTTGCGAATAAGGGAGCACAGCTTATCACGGGTAAAGTCCATGCCGTGAAAGCCAGTGACAATCTGATTGCCCTGGATCTCCTCAGCACAGAGGCGGATCTTACGGAAAGCCTGGTCCTCGTCCTTGTTAAGGTCAGCAAGGCAAACTTCAAACACACGGCCACGAAGTCCCTCTGACGCAATTTTGGTACCAGCCGTACGATTGACCAAGGTTTTGCCACAGTTGCGGTCCAAAAAGATAGCAGGAGCTTTCACATCGTACCAGTCCTTACGTGAAAATGGGTCCACACTGTAACATTATCAATATCACGAAAGAAGATTAGAATCACATCTAGAGAATCCAAATGAAATGAATACTACTTCATTCTAGACACCACCGTACACTTTCTTCTTGCCACCCTTTTTACCCTTAGTTAAGCGTTTGTTCTTTCCTATATCGTGTAATCACATGACATGCAGCATCACATATTAGACATCAGTCCGCCAAGTGTCGTCTATACTTTAAAAACCGTAGAGCATCCATTGCTCTCTTGCTTTCTTGTTCTGTAAACGTATCATCAACACCACATTCAATCGACTGCTTTCTTCCATCCTTCTCCCCATTCTTTTTTTTACTACATTATCTCCTTTATTCTATCAATGCTGATAGTATTTCTCTATGCATCTTTACATTGTTTCCTGCTTACTATGACTAATATTGTATCTCTTACTAGATGTATCATTGTTTCTTGAAAGACAAGAATGGAAATAAAAGTACGATGGAGGAACAAACAGCAAGAAGACGTGGTGGTGATTATCTTATCTAAGAACACGTTCACACGTCTCTTTCTTTCTCTTCTACCTTTATTACTTACCCACAGCCATAACTTGTGTGTCTTAAGTCTTTTCTTAAAGGCGAAATGGAACTACTCCTTTGTCTTCTTTATAGGTAAGAGAGAGACATGATGGATGATATCGACTCTAAATGGCTGGTGCTGCGCCCACGGGCTATATTAGAAGAACCGGTTCACTGAAACCGGTTTCAGCATAACCTATCCCTAACTGTTCGATATGGTACATGGTACCACTCCTTCGATTGAAGTATGGAATGATGATAATGATGATGATGGAGCATCTTCCTAAGGCACTTGTAATACCTCAGATTCAGTTATTAAAGGCTCACGAGGTCATGTTCGAGCAATCGAACGTTAGTACGACGTTTCATGATGTATATATACAAGCACTTTATCCATCCTATGAAGCAACAGCTCTTGTTTATTGCAAAAATACTCAATATCCTACTCCTCCTACTAACGAGATCAAATGGCGTCGTGCAGATTTACAAACATTCCTCATTCATTATTTCCCACACTATCAGGAACAACCACAAGCTTTGGATCAACTGTACGGCTCACTTTTAACCAAGATAAAGATAAAACAAGGACGAGATACTAATGAAGAGAAGGTGAAGGACGAAGAGGAGAAGGGTACGAGGTTATTACTAGACAAAAGAATGGATGAAGAGACTGCTGATGCTGATGATTCTGAAGAACTTGTGGTTACATTTGATATTCTCAAGAATGTACTGATAGAGCAGTATCAAAGTACACGACTTGCTGATAAAGATCCTTTTCCACTTGAATCTTGGATGAAACTTAAGTCAAGACGGCTTTCAGTTTGGATACCACCATTTGTTCCAGGATCAACTACTGGGACGAATAATCATACAATGGTTGATACCATGTCTCATTCTGTACTGTGTGAATTCCAGGCAGAGGTAGTGAAAAAATCCAAAAGCTGGTTAACAAGAGGGCGAGTACGTCATTTGAAGCTACGCTGGGGAGTACTAGAAATGCACAAGCGCAGTCTCACTGTAAGACCATTTCGTCATCGCTCATCAGGGACTAATCCTAGCGCTTCAAGCACCCGTAGCCGCGTGATTAATACCTCAAGTACTACTTATCCTACGACTTCCACGATAGAAGGAGCTAAAATTGCCAACACAACGACGTACTATCTACAGGATCTAGTATCGATGAAACTGGAGCACATGTGCGATGGAGAATCTACTTTTGCTCGTAAGGCGGTGTTGACGCTGAAGTTTCAGAGAATGGTAGCACCATTGTCCAATAGTCATAGCAATCTTAGTGCCACGGCCGCTCACGATATTAAGACGCTAATACTAGGAAGCGCTGAAGCGTCAGCGACGCTTTCTTCAGTGCGGGACTACGTCGCTACGTTTGCGCTTTATCTGGAGCTTTCACGACAAGACCGCCTGCCATCAATGGCCAAGATACGTCGATATCTTGCTGCAGGGGCCATGGTGAACGTCCATGTCCGCATTCCTCGCACGTTTTCGTCCAAAGCCTTGAAAGAAGGGTTTAGGAGACGAAGTCAGACCAAACAGCCGCCGTTGGGAACGATGACAGCTCTACAGCTTGCATTCCTGCAAGATCCACGAGTGTCCAGTTTTGAGAGCACGATTGAATTGCTACTCAGCGCCGATGCAGATCCGAGCAGTCTTTTGTACTGGAACAACGCGACGCAGGTCGTTTTCTTTCTGCCATCTGCTAGTAGTGGTTGTGAAGAGAAGAGTAAGAAACATCATGAAAGGTGGGAATTACGAAAACGCCTACTCCTTCTCAATAAGGTAAAATGCGATGGTGATGAAAGTGCAATATTTTCGTGCTTCAAATCTCAGGCTGACGACGGGGCTCGATGGAATCTGCTCATGTATTTGTGCTGGCTTGGGGACGTCAAAAGTGTAAAGCAACTGCTCGTTGTGACGGGGGCTGGAATCACTCGAGGAAGCCAGGTCAGGTCATCAGGGCGACAGCAAGCGACCTGCCTCGGCCATATCAATGCGACAGGCGATACGGCGCTTCATGTTGCCATTAAATCCGGACACGAGTCGGTGGCATTATTGCTTGTGGAAGCAGCACTCTCAGTTAATGCTCAGGCGCTCCATCAATGTGATGGGCGAGGCGAACCTGTGGTCCATTTAGCACTCATCGCGCACCACTGGCGCGTCGTAGATGCGTTGGTGACTGGTGGTGCTATTGATCCTCGATCTTACGATGCTGTGAGAAATACAGCGCTACATCTTGCAATCGAACTACGAGCACCCTTGGCGCTTATTGCACGTCTCATTCAAGTGTATCGCCACTCACCTCCATCTGCAGGTCTCGACGGGCGAGTTGGTCGACGTGGAAGCAATGACACCCCACTATCATTGGCAGTCAAGAGCGGTCAACAAGAAGTTGTTGTCCTTTTGCTTGCTTCCGGCGCCTCTCCTTCGTGTCAGATTGTCAATGATGCGAGGCATTTACCGAAAAGCAAGAAACTCGACACGAAAAGGGGTGTTGGAGAAAAAGGGCTTATCGGGAACAATGATAGCGCTCTTCACGTTGCAATCAAAGCAGGGATGGAGCTTGCTGCAGCGGCACTGATTGCTCACAGAGCCGACATTTATGCCGTTGACTCCTGTGGTGCTTCGTCCTTGGCACTTGCAGTTCGCCACGGATTGTACGCGCTAGCTGTAGCCCTCGTCGGCCAGCATCAGAAGAGACAAAGTCATGCATCAAGTAAGCATTGGTGGGTTGATGGTGAAACAGGCAGGTCTGTGGTGATGCTGGCCTTCCAAGCCGGGCAGCTTGAGCTAGGAGCTTTTTTGCTTGATTGTAGCCTCCATGACCAGGACAGCCAGCGTCAAATATATTTTGCACAACTTCTTCCTATGCTGGTGCAGACAAGCTCCTGGATAGAAACTTCATATAATAGTGACTCTGGTGGCTGCACCGTTGCGCAATCAGATGTAATCTCGATTAAAACCAGAGGCACCAGGGACTGCAAGGTCAAGATTGATGGGTCTTTGGAGGAGAGAGCGTAGTGGCATCCAGGGTGCAGTTGAAGCCTGTCAATCAGTCAATGTGGACAAGAATGTTGAGCATTCATGTGGAAGTGAGAGTCGGCCAACTCCACTTCATCTGGCGACACCTATCCGTGAGCAGACTACTTGTAATATGCCATGCGCACAGCATTCATCATCGATTGATGCGCCAACACAAGTAGCAGACACCAGTGTTCATCCGCCTGTTTGAATGACGGTCCCTCGCCCTCCTACAGAATCAGTGCCACTGGAGACAGCCCAATACCTTCAACAAGAAGAAGAAGCGACCTTAACACTTGTGGCTCAGGAGGCACGGAGCGAGGCACAAGACTGGCTTCGGAAACGCATTGGCCAAAAAAAGTTGCTATCTGATGCCCATGCTCAGCTGCAAAATGCTAAGAAGCACAATCGTACTGCTAGTGGAAGCAGTGTGAGCAGTAATAAAGACGAAATTGAGACATCAAATCTCGACAGTCGCGATGGCTTCTTCCAGAGTGATCAGCAGTTATTGGAGGAGTTGAAAGCTGCCGCAGCAAAGAAATTTGTTGAGAAGCACGTGGCCGAGGCAGTGGTGGAGGCGCGGTTGTCTATTGAGCGAGAAAAGCTAACACTTTTCCAGGAAACTGGACTGTACCTCGGTATAACTGCAATCTCGAAGAATAGCACGAATGGAAAACGTTGCTCGCTATTTGTGCAAGCAGCTACTTCTACTACTGGTTCGATTTTGTTGCCTGCACCATAAACATCAGTGACTTCTGTTTTTAGCGAGGAGGGTACACCGGCTTAATGGAGTGATAACTGCTATGGAAGTGCAAGTGTTTGGTCGACCAATCGCGGCACGACATCTTTGAATGATGACACCTTAGCTGTCTATCAGTATTTATTCGCAAAGGAAGGCCACACCGAGATCTGTCTGTGGACATCAAATGCTGAAGGATGATGTATGATGGAAGTTTAGACCGCCGTGTATCGTTCGCTTCACGAAACTTTGCGGTGAAAGATGATATCGCCAGATATATTGGAACTCCCATAAGACAGAAGAGTACACCAGGTGCCAGTTCCGCCATCCACCGGACTGGCCAAGAATGTGTCTAGTCCACTTGACCGCCCATCGTTTGTTCTCTCACGCGATGCCAGAGTGAACATAAGAGCGTGAGACAATATGGCGAGCTAAACACGCACTCTTGAAGATAATACTTGTAAGCAATGCACCTGACATGTTCAATTGCACAGCGACACAGCTTAATCATGGCCCGTTGCATTAGCTGTTTGTGTGTTTGAAGAAGCCCATCGTAAGAAAAGTCACCTAAGATAGATCCCTGTCAGCAAATCGATGGAGTAAACAAACACCGACGTATGGCCACCACCTGAAAATATGTCAGCAGCATAGAAGACATAAGACAGCACTAGCCGTCTGCAGTTGGTCACACTTTCTGTACTGATAGGAGCTGTTACCTGTGCTCGACTTGTTATGACTCCCGTGCATCCTGTTGGGCCTGGATGACCTGCTGAATAAACATATCGGAAAGAACGATTTTGTCCTGCGCGCTGTTTTGAAGTTGCTGCAGGTACTGAACTGCATCAGCCGAGCTAGCGGTTGCCTCAAAAGTTTCAAAACGCATGTGCTCCTCCAACTCCGTACGGACATGCATCAGGAGGCGATTCAAGTATCGCCGGTGCGCCACGGAGGCTCGATTCAGTACTATAGTCAGCTTGGAAAGTTCAGGCGTATCAGACGGAGCGGATACATTCAACGATGTAGCAGGTGCTGGCGCTGGTGGCGAAATGCATGGGGATGGTTCTGCCACATTTTCTGCAATTCCATTCGGTTCAGCAGCTCCATCAGCTTCTGCTTCATCACCGAGCTCCACTGCACTAGCAGTACTACCCTGGACCAAATTGTCCCCGTCTTGAGTTTTCTGTTGCTGCTGAAGCTGGTGTCCATGCAGTTTAGATCCTGTCATTGTTGGAAAAACTTGATGCGGGCGCGCAAAAACGCCGTGCTTTGGTATACATCGAAAGTAGTATCTTCCTTTCACGCTGCCATCGTTCTTGCCGTACGCTTCGTCCAGTTCGATGCCTACCCACACTCCTTTCATACCACTAATTTCACCCAAAAATCGCACAAAACCAAAGAGCTCTTTATCTGGAATGCACACCCGATCACCAACATCCAAGTTTAAGCCCGCTAATGCTTGTACCTGTTGCACCATTGCCACATTGTCATCTACACTGGCATTCGACGCTGAGCCTGCACCTTTGATCGGTTCAGCTACATCCGACGACACCACAAGCGTCTCGAGTCGTTTTTGAATCTTGTAGTCAACCATATTCATGATAACTAGTGCGCGTTTGGGGAACAACATTTGGAACATCCTGAAAAGTTCGTGTGCCTGTGCTCGACATGAGGAACTAGCATCGTACAGAGCATGCTGCAGTCCTTTTTCCAGCTGCTGTATATCGTTTTTGTCCATAATAGAGCTCCACGTGATAAGTGCACGACGTATACATGAGATGCAGCATAGTCGAATAAGTTTGCTCTTACTCTCAAGCAAAATGTCCACAAGAAGCCGTAATGTCGCACCTTTTACTACTGTCTGGGTGACAATAGTCTCAAGACATTCACCACAGTATGCAGCACATACTTTATTACCACTACCACATACTTCAACAAGAGTAGGAAGTATCTCACGTAGAAATGGAGCCATAGCGTCTCGTGTAACGCGTGAAATAGTCGTAAGTAGTGCACACACTTCCTTTACAATCTGTGATCGAAGATCTTGTATCATGCTCTTAAGTGGTCGTAAGATCTTCCACACCTCAGTAGTTAGACTACAAGATATTGTAGTACTACTAGTAGTAGTAGAACTAGGACTAGTAGTCGATACTTCTTTTTCCAATTGGTCAAAAGCACGCTGCATTTCACCTAATGCCGCCATACGTTCATGCCAATTCTCCATATTACACGCAATACGATCCATTTCACGAGCTAATGTTATTGTAAGTGCATTCTATTAGAAAAGAAGAAGAAAAACATGATAATGAGAAGAAGAGCAATCGAAGAAGAGAGAGAGAGGAGAAGACCACGTACTTTACTCATTTGCCAAGAGCTCACTTACTATTTACTCACTCACTTTGTAAGCTACTGACGGGTGAGAGAGTGTGGGCTTTTAAGAGCAAAAAGTTGGGGATATTATACTGCATACGTTTTTAGAGCATGAAATCATTTAGAGAACTCTATTTTCAAGTTATGGATAAAGTTGAAATTGAAGGGAATGGTGGTTTCAAATAGATTTCAATGAATTACAAAAATCACGCAGGATCCATCGTAAAGAGTATGAACAAGATTTGATATAGAGTCATGTCTGCAGAAAAGGGTCCATTCACAAAGTCCTACATGTTGCTTATAGGAATCTAAATAGAATGATACTAACGGCTGCTGCGTCTGAAAACTTTTTGTATCGGACCAAGAATGGAGAATACGTTTTTAGCGTTATTTCAACGGCTATTATCTCTTCTGTTGGTGATGTTGAAGTGTGTCAACTCGACAGTCACGCACGACATGACAGAGACGACACAATGAGATTATGTATAATGATGGGCACTGACGCATTGATAAGCAGAAATGTCGTAAAGTGATATGAACAGGATTTTAAATAGTGCAGCGTAGCGAAGTAAGGACCTAGCTAACATTAGTTCCCTTTCATTTTACCTGCTTCTAGCTACAGAAGATCGAAACATTATTGGCTATCCATACAACTGATTGTCTCCTTCTTCTTGTGAAATACATTTTTGCACAGTCATGACATGTTGACGTAGTAACCGAGTGATTAGACTTGCTCAAAGTGTTTTGTATTGCATGCTGCTCGATGAAGATTGGTTGCTCGACGACTGGCATAAATATATAACAACAATCACACAAAGTCAGTACTGCGTAAGCACAAGCTAAGGTAGAATACTTTCTTGTGCTTTTCGTCTGCCTCGTGAGCACCGCGCGGTGCGACGTGCTGTAAAAACGAATAATATGGACACAGAACTTATCATTCATACAGGCAGGTTTCGATATGATTTGTTATTTCATTTTTATTGTAACGGTGTATCCTGTTGCTTTGTTGCATTCTAAGTTCTACATACAATTAGGTGCATATAACAATCGAATGGGATTCTTGACTTTCCTATGTATTTTATATATTGTAATACATGAGGAGCACAATAACACGTTATCGTCAAATATGGATAACTTGTTGCGTACCTATAACTGTAATGATAGTATCAAAAGATAACCATTGCCATAATTAACTGTAACCATCTCATCTATTTTCAGGATTTAGCGTACCCACTCTAGGCAATTCTATTAGTAAACATAATTAGCTTGCTTATCCCGCCGGTTCATTCTCACAGTCAGTCAGTGGGCAGAGCCGTGTTTTGTCGTCTCTAATAGCTACTTTAAAAGCATTGACATTGTCATTAAACACCCCTCTACGTGTGCATTATTATATTACGTATCGTAGGATAGAAAGAGATGACGTCATACTTGCCTTTTGCACAATCAAATCGGTTTCGTACAAAGCGAAAAATGTCAGGCGCGATGAGCTCCTGGAGTCCACTGGATCAAAAATCTTCTGTATCATGGCCAGATATGAACAGACCACCCGGAAGCTTTGGTGGTGGAAATAGCTCTAGAAATTGGTGTGATGCAGTGGATTACCGTGAGGTCGCAAGCTTTGTATTGTTTGCGCTATTCATGGTGGTCGATGTAGGTCTTGGCGTCACGGTCTGGGTCAAGTTTTTCAAATTTGTTGTTGAACCTGATCAACATCGTTCACGTGCTACATGGGGAGGTATTTGGTTACTTTTTACTAGTATTTTCTTCTATGTACGGCGTCTCGTACGCTCCCGAGCAGACACACACTTGCGTTGTATGATGGACCACGCCGAGATCTTTATGGCCATGTCACTTGTCATGGTTTTCTCCATCAATATTGCTTTTTATCTGCACGTGCCTACCGTCACGCCTCTCAAGGACTTGGGCTTTATGATCATACCGGAGCAAGGCCTCCACTCCAAGTGGCGACCTGTGAGCGACATCCTCACGGCCGGCGTGCCCGTTTTGTTCTTGCTACAGACAGTTGGTATGACGCGTCCTAACCGCTGTCGTCTCGTCTCGTCTTTTTTTCGCGTTGCCACAATCAGCTACTTTCTCCGTATGCTAACAGTGCCCGTGACATCGCTTCCTGGTCCAGCGCCACACTGTCGCGCCGGTAGCCCAGACTACATTCCACCTACTTCCTGGATTGATATTGTTACGCGTGTTGGACCTCTTTACGGCAATTATAACTCGTGTGGTGATCTAATCTTTTCGGGCCACATGGCGTACACGAACGTGGCTGTGTTGCTATACCTGCGGACGATGGATCGCAATTTTACCAACTCTACCGTTTCAAAGATGCGCTGGGCTTGCGGGATGTCGTATCTTACGATCTTGGCGGTATTGTGCATCGCTGGACGCAAGCATTACACGGTCGACGTTGTGCTGGGATTGATCATTTCAACACTAGTGTTTTTCCACTTTGAGCACAGCTGGACACCTCTGTGCTTCCAGGTCCCGTATGGTCTACTACCACTGACAGACTTGCAGTTAATGTATGGTTCACAATGGCGGAAACGTTTTAGTATGGATATAACGGATGAGTCATTAAATGAGTTGGATGATACTGAAGAAGGCGAAGAATCTCGACGATTGCTCAAGACAAACGCATCAACATATACCCAAGTGCAGCTTATTTGCTGATAAAAATAATGGTTTTCATCTATTGCTGTTACTTCTTGCTCTTGTTTTGCTACGAGAAAGTCTCTTGAATGTGCTTTCTTGACAAATTAAACAGATAAAACAAGTGATTTATGATCAACTGGACTTAGAAATGACTTACAATGCAGTTTTCTTACAAAAAGAATGATTAGTAATAATTATATGGATGTAAGAGATATGATATCTACTTGTTCTTTTTTTGTTTTCGATTCAATTCAATTAATCAAAGGTTAGTAATCAAGCATGACGCATTTTCATTGGTTACTATGTTTTCTTTTCTTTCTTCTTCAAAAAACCGTGTTAAACTCTAAATATACATTCCACTAAAACTATAAAAGTAATTGACTACTTTTCATCACCTTGATTAAACAACGTCTGATGAATGAAATTCCTATTTCTAAATCAAAGTACAAGTTTTCTAATCGTAATCTTAATACGATTTATAAAGCACCAGTCGGAATAAAACCTCGATTTGCTCATGCTACGAGACCAATAGAGCGCCACACACGTCACATGCTTGTGCTTGGAAGAACATCAGTCGCACCTCCTGCACCGGTCAATACGTTAAGTTTAAAAAGTGAGAATCGTGTGCATAATAATGTACATGGGAGTCTCGTACCTGCAGGTTCTAATTGGGCTGAGAATACGGAAGAGATGTTGGAAAAGGAAGTATCAGAGGACGTATCACATGCAGACCATGTAGCGACAGTGACGGCAGTCTCAGATAAGGTGTGGACACGTCAAAGTGTTGCTGAACATCTTCATCCGTCAAGTTCGACAGTATCAATTGCAAACTCTGGGCGGTGGGGAGATGATGCAGTAGAGAACGACATTGGTCAGAAGAATCTTTGCTGTCAGATTCAACAGGAAAACGAGTTTCCAGCATTGAAAAATCAGTGGAGAAAATACAGACAGTGTATGAACACGACCATTTTTCTGCTGTCAATAATATACAATCGATGACATTGCAGCAGGAGTTTGGACAGCGCCATGGAAGAGCAACGGGTCGATGGGCTTATTTTTAACAAGGAGGAAATACATCATTTGATGCAAATACCGGTAGCCACTGGTCTGATGATCAATATGGACGAGATAAAGATGATTGGTGGTCATGTGACAGGTTGAGGTACAAAGTTGAGAACGACAGACGAGAACGCCGACTGCATGGGGCTGAAAGAGACACACTTTCACCAGACTCTATTGGCTATTACGATCACTTTAGCCGCAGTGACGTTCGATCCAATATATTGAGGTCTGGCGATCATGACTGTGCTTTGGAACACATCCCACATTTATGGATATGAGCAGTACACCATTGCATCGTCAAGATGCTTCTTGGTCTTCTTCGCTAAAGGCAAGCTCCTGTATGGGTGCTTTACAGCCTCATGGTTCGTCATCCCCCTCTTAGCACCAGCATCCATTTCAATAGCAGTGACTTTGTCTATTGAAAGGGAAGATAAGGGTCTGACCGTGAGAGGAGATTGTCATAAAAATACGAGCGGCGGTAAACAAGGAATCGACTACTCGCTTGGCTGACGAAACGCAAAGCAGTACAGGATCGTCGTCCAATTCGCCATCAAAAAGCAATGTATCGCAGCAAGTTCAACTGTTAACACGTCCAAAAATGTTATTCGACCCCAAGACCGGTGGCATTGTAAGTGTCGAAAGCATGATGGGACCAGACAAGCAACAGAGGGGAAAGACTGGAATATTGCTAATAGCTCTACTTTATTTGGATTGAAAAGCGCGAGGACAAACAGACTGCAAGCAAAAGGGACAAGCTAAAGCGCCGGCTTTGAAGTCGAAAAATGTGAGAGCCGAACGTAAGAAGGCAAGCTTGACTCCTGTCGTTGACGATACAGACTCCAATCTCAGGCAAATGGTTACCGTAGCAATCGAGCAAGACTCTGTTCTCAAGAGCGCTGCGTGCACCAGCGAGACATCATGTGCGACATTGTTGAATGCTGTAGAACTGACGTCCCGCAAAGCAAACGTTAACGTGGCTTCCAAGGGTAACAGGACTAAGTGCGATGATAAGCGTGTGACAGCAAAGCAGTCTTGTCGACAAGAGAAGAAGCCGCGGGAAATAAAGCCTTTGCGTCGTTCGACCTCCCGGACTAAGCGACAGCATCGCAACGTACATTATAACACGGCTATGAATGTGCGTGGCTCTTTGACGCTAAGTAGTGGTAAGACGGCTGATCGCAGCGCCCCAACGAAGTGCGATCGAGACGAGGCAGGGAGTAAGAAGCCAACCCAGCTCAAGACTAATGCGAAGGAGGGAGATAGGCAGACGCCGAATATGGATTTTGGAGCAACTGCCTTGCCGACGTATACTGCGGATGGATCCAACGGTTGCGAGGAACAAGGTGTCGTGGTTTATCGAGAGGATGATGATGGTTTTGAGACGGTCAAGTCTCGGCGAGCTCTGATGTTGGAGAAAAAACGACTTCGTGAACGAATAATGGCCACAATGGCAGATGCATCTGTGCTTGGTGAAACGACGCTATTGAAGGAGAATGCAAATGTGCAGCGCGAAAAAGCTCACAAAAACATGGACATGGCGGTAAAGGCATCCAAAGTAGCTCCGGCACAGTCTGCTTTGAGCCCACATGAGAAGGCGGCCAATTCACGTCAGAGGAATATTGACAAGGTGATCAAGGACAGAAACTTGAAGCATTCGAAGGAGACGACGACGCGCACACGTGGACAAAAGAAGGAGAAGAAGCCAGCAAAGACAAAGGTTTGTATTGGTACGAGTGATATTAAATCGCCTGAGCAAGTGGCTTTAGTGTCTCGTAAGCAGGTTATTAAAGAAGTCTCAATGGAGGTCTTGTATTCAAAGAAGAGTACGAAAGCGACGGAAGCGTCGATGAAACGGAGGAAGACAAAGAGACAGAGCGACCAAGTGCGAGACGATTTTGATTCAGATCGTGAATGACTCGAAACCGTCTTTGAATATTGCCGGACCTTTTGGAACCAGTAGTAGAACAAGCGATAAGGTGTCAAACGGTTTGCAGGATGTGAAGATTGAGCGACAAGGAAGCTGTGAGCACCAGACGTTGAAAGGAAGGTCGAAAGTAAAACAGGTCCGAAAAGTGTACGTCGTAACACTGGCGTCAGGGTCGGTCACGACGATGTTTACAGTATTTCATGTCATGAGAAATAGGTTCAATTAACATATAGGACGTTTCATTATGTTGAAGTGAGTAATTTTGCCTTCAACTGGGGTACACAATGCATCTGTTTATGGATAGGCCACTTGTGCCTTCGGTGCTACTTGCAGTGAAACCATTTGATACTGGCTCTTGATGTTGAGACAACACACAGTCTTGTGTGTACGGTTATTACTGTCAAATAGACGGCCGAGATTACTAAAGTTGTCGATGGCGCTACTAAGACAGTGGCATCTGAAGCCGTAGTGTTTTAATGGCTGTCATGAAGAATCGAGTCAAATCGTAAAGGTTCAACCTCTGACACACACGAGTAAACTGACGATTGTCTTGTTGCGTGCTGTTGTGGTGTATCTTTATACAAAAAAGGCAGTATGCGACCTTCCCACTATCGTCAATGTTGTGCTTTTTTATCTCCCATAGTTATGAGATATGATGAGGCCATTTGTTACAATCAGTCATCAATTACATAACCCTTTGCTTTTCACTTCAGCTAGTCGTGTAGTATTCAAGAGAACGTAATCACACATACAAACCTGATGGCCATAGATAATATAGATAGATATACAGACAACATAACAGCAGGCTCTTTCGGAGTTAAAAAGGTCTCCAGAAAGGCTCATCTATTTGACGATCAGTGAGGTCAAGCACGTCAGCAGAAAGGATGGACCGTAAAGACCGTAAGGAAAACGTCAGAATCGTGTGGTATCTTTCAGTATGGACGCTAGTATAGCCAGCACTTGTTTGGTGACGGTCATGGGGGTGACATGACCGACCGTTGTAAAGGGACCCCAAAGCTTTTCACTCAAGTTTGAATTTGCGTCGACCAGATCAAGCCCGTGCACCGTCACTCGCTATGCAGTGCCAAACTAGCCTCATCTCTACTAAAGACGGCATCACCGACACGACGCCGCGTGAGGTAGCACCGTTTCTTAAAAGCTTGCGTCGTATGCTGCAGGACGAAAGCGCCGCGGTCCTGCGCTGGACACTCAACGGCCGCGCGTTTGAGATTCACGATATGCACGAGATGATGGCGCATGTGTTGCCAAAATATTTCAAGCACTGCAAGTATACGAGTTTCCAGCGACAGCTCAATTACTTTAACTTTCGTAAATGGACCAAGTCAAAGGCCGTTGTCTGCACCTTTTCAAACGACTTCTTCTTGCGCGATCAGCCTGAGCTTGCATGGCAAATCACGCGTAAAAAGTCGCTGAGTCCATATTCACTCACCAAGTACCACCGACCTGCTGCTACCAAAGCGTCGGTCATGCCATACTGGAAAAACGAACCCAGTACAGTTCTATCGGCTCCTCCTTTGACCTTTGACAGCTCCTACATGCTGCTGCCGGGCGACGCGAGATGTCACTCGCCCTATTTGTCCTTACCATTTCCGGACACGGACCTGATGCTCAAGCAGCACGATGTCCGATACGCACAGCAGGTTCGGCGCAGCTACGACTTCAATTTGATGGCACCAACTGATGTATACCCTGCTATCAGATGCAACGACGCAGTCGCAATCGACAGCGTGGAGCAGCAGACTGAGCCACTCGACTGGATCGACTGCCTGCTGCCACCGACGGACGATACCTACATGTGCATGTACCCACCGCAAGTCGCGATTACGCCCTGCACGACAAACTCGCTCAACATGCGCAGAAGCTTCGAGTTTGTACCCTCCAGTCTGTGAACGTTCGTGTAAGTAAGTGTACGTCGTCTGTAGCTGTAACGAAAGAGAGAAAAAAAAGTATGCGATGTCGCAGCCAACACACCTGTAAGTATGACAAAGCAAGCTTTTGTATCTGCCATCTCCTCAAAACCAACACCTTCACCTTTCAGGTCAGGATAGCAAGCGGCAATGCGGCAGATGACAGCCATCTCACTTGCCTTGCGCCTTAAAATGACTTAGAAGAACAGACATGAGTCAGACGTTTGCCCTCGACAAAATTTCATCTCAGCGCCGCAAAATCACTGTTAGCGTCCCTCAAACCTGCTCGGGTTGCAGCCAACTGCTCCTTCTGTCTACGCCCAAAGTTGTTATCAAGCTGCTGTACTTGCCAAGTATTTCTCGACTTTGCCGAATGAGGGACGGCCACGGCCATGTTGACGAGCATCTAGTAGAGGTCCTGGGCGCTAGAGCTCAGCCTCACGCTGAAACTTCCTCTCCGTCTCCGCTGTCCCTCGCACAAAGGCATTCACTAGTTCGCAATAACCTTTTGCCACATCAGCAGTGGCGCGCGTACTATGCTCGAGCGAGCTAGCGATGGCCAGCAGCACCCGTCGCTGATTAGCTAACAAGTGGGTCTCTTTGCCATCGGTCAAAACCTGCTGCTCCAGCGCTCGACACCGAGCCGCTTCTTCCTGAAACATAGTGGTGAGGTCCTGAAAACCGCGTGCCATGCCAGCAGCAGCCACTGAGCTTTGCTCCACTGACCTAGACAGTGACTCATCACAGTTGCCACCACATCCATAGCTTCGTGCTGGTGGTCGTTTTACACTGTTTCTTTGGACGTCTTCCTTGCACTTCCTCTTATGTTGCAATCTTAATGCTATTGCCTCCACTTCGTCACTCTGCTGTCCAGCTGCAGGAGGTTGTTCCATGATAATGCCAATCTCTTCCTTCACGTCATTAACTTCCTGTTCTTGCTGCGATTTATTTTCCTTCTCCTTCTCCTCGCTCTCCTCCTCCTTCTCCTCGCCCTCGTCTTCTTCCTCCTCCTCCTCCTCCTCCTCCTCTTCCTCCATTTCTTCTCGATCAACTGGCATCCAAACTTGCTGTTGCTCACGTTTTGACTGATAACCTCCAACAATGGCCTTCATTTTTGCTTCAAAAACCCACGGTAATTTTCCTTTAAACGCATGAGCTTTATGTCGAAGCCTTTTAATACCATTCCACCAATCATCACTCAGTCCTACACCGTCCTCTTTAAATCCTGCTTGTTTACTTAACCACTTGAGCTCTACATACTCACTGCGTAAATTCTTAAACTTAACGGCTACTTGACCTTCCGTCCATGGCTGTTCACGGGGAAAACTTGCATTTAATGCACTTGTGAGCTGTTCACGTGCGTGTTGTTTTAGTAGAATACCATTATTTGTCACATTACGTGGATCATCACGCAGTGTCTTGTACAAATCCAATAGTCGCAGTGTCTCGGTGACGAGGAATAACACCATGACTTATTATAAAGTAATTTCTATATAGATAAACAATACAACGAGACAAGAACTGACAAGTTACGGTACGACAGCTACTAAAATAGAGCTAAAACGTAGAAACTTAAATGACAAACTACAATTCTTGTTTCGAACAAGTGTACAGACACACGTTAAGCACTAACTTGCTGCTTTATTTGTTTGGTTGGTTTTTAGGAGGAGGTTTTTGGTTTATAATACTGATTTTTTTAATTTTTATATATATTAGAATCTATTCAATCGTTAGGTCAATTAACAAAAGATTTACATAGAATTGATCATAATTTTTCCATATTAGAGGCGTTAAAAAAATTGAATGAAAATTTAAGAAAATGTAGTCATCATTGCTCTAATTTCTGTAAATCACACTAATTAAACCCTTAATAAGGAGATCACAACTACATTGATTAACATCGTTCACAAGCTGAAGCGGTTAACGTTCAAGGCCGTTGCCGCCGCTTTGTCGGACGAATGGGCTGCATCATGACCAAATTATGTCGGAAGAAAACTAAACAAGACGTGGTCATGACGGACAACGACCTGGCATCGCTCCAGTCTCGTCGTGTTTCACACGCAAAGACGACGCTCATGGTGCTCAATCTAAATGACGTTACGGTGTCTACAGGATTAAAGATAATGGAGAAGAAGGAGAAGGAGAAAGAGGAGGAGGAGACGAAGCAACTGGACTTGATTGTATATGGAGGTGGAGTTCCTGGTGTTGCATTAGATGCCGATCGAGTGGATTTACCAGAGTTTACGGGTGTCCGAGAAGGAGGGTATCGGTCGGTTAACGGCCGACTTGAATGGGGTTCTCGGACTAGAGCTGGCAACGATTCGTTGAGACGTCGGAAGGAGAACCAAGACGCTTTCTCCATATGTGACGCACTAGGCAAAGACTCGAGTGCCACGTTTTTCTCGGTTTTCGACGGACATGGACCTCAGGGAGCGTTTGTGAGCCATTTTGTGAGAGAGCAGTACCATCAAGCAGTGGCAAAAGCGTACGTTGAGCTGCTATCGTGCGCGTCAGATGGGAAAGAGGTTAATGTTGTGGCCAACACGACGAGCGTCATGTGTGACATTGTAGCGAAAATTTTCCAGCAGGCAGCGCAAATGGTGGTGCAAAAATTGGATGCTAGCGCGATCGACATCAGTGTAAGCGGCACTACAGCGGTGGCTATGCTCGTGTGTGAGAAGGGCTTGTTTATTGCGAATCTTGGGGACAGTCGAGCTGTCGTTGCCAGGTATTCCGAAAACGAGCAGCGCTATGTTTTACACTGCGAGACAAAGGATCACAAGCCGAATATACCTGAGGAGTGTGCGCGGATTGAACAGAACAACGGGCGAGTGTTTGAGTGGGGGTCTTACCGAGTGTGGTTGCAGGATGTAGATATGCCTGGGCTGGCGATGTCGCGGTCATTTGGTGACTCGGTGGCCAAAACTGTGGGCGTGACTGCCGAACCGGATGTGACGATTGTTGAAAAACTAAAGTTTAGCAGCAGTGAAAGGAAAAATGGTGGTCATCCTGCCGCGTTTGCGGTGCTAGCCAGCGATGGTATATGGGAATTCATGACAACGGACGAGTGCATTGATTTTGTTTCTACTTGCATTATTGACTGTGGAAGTTCATCTCAGGAGGCATGTAACGCCCTTATCGAGGAAGCTTATGATCGATGGGATGCCGAAGAAGATATGGTGGATGATATCACTGCAGCCGTAGTTTACTTTTGAACTGAATATTATGGACTGAACTCCGTGCTACACAAGATAAAGAGGTCCTTGTGACTGCTCGTTGTAAGTGTCAAAAGAAGCCAAGACTTCACTATTGGCACGCGCCCAGACGTTCGATTGATATGTCTCAAAGAGAAGGTTACATTTGGCTACTAGTGCTAAATGGACCCGTTGCCAGATGCCCTAGCTGACAAGATGCTAAGACTGAGGTGAAGCATTGTATTCTCTCAAGTGTCAACGAGCGGTGTTACATGCTGTGGCTGCGATGCAAGGTATTTTGTCATCGCGGGTCGACGAATCAGACCGAAACATAGTTTCTGAGGTAAGCGCAATACCAGGAAGTTCATCTATCTACGTGCTGAAGCTGCGATATGGAGCCTGATTCGTGAAGTGCCGACTGATCCCATTGCGCTTAGCTATCCTCGCGTTCATAGGCGCGATATGGTGGAGTTTGAATGTTATTTGAGAAACAGATCTGATTGGTGTAACCCCGTGAGGACTGCGAACGGAAAAATTCTGCATGACATGTAACGTGGCAGTTTCGTTTCTATCTTTCAAGAAACGTGTTGGCAGCAGCAAGCTTTGCAAACGTTCATCACATTTTATTTTCCTGAGAGCTTGTCCCGATTGGATTCATTTTGATACGTGGCAAAGAGCACAGCGATGCTTGACAAACCGAACCTGCGACGTAGTCAATATGGCTGGCATTGTTTCATGCATATGGAATCTGAAACATACGCCTACCAAGTATGTTAATGTGGTGCGTCAGTCTAAAGAGCTTTGCAGCAACATGAGCAGCAGGGCGCAACAAATGCACCATTAATCACTGTAGCCAGTGTACCACGAGTAATGGCAACATAATGTATTCATGATGGATGCATTACGAGGCCAGTGGTGGTTGGTATACATTGTTTATACGAAATGCCAGAGCTGCTCACTTTTCGTAGGCAGCCTTACACATTATTGGCTCTCACTATTCAACAAAATGGGGTTCGGAAATGATGACAAGTATTTTATAGAATCTAGCAGTTTGGAGCTGGTGGTAATGACATGGTGCTGCTTAGAACTTGGAGGGTTGTTGTTGCTTGCACTTATATGATAGTGTAGGTCAACTGCTGAATCATCACACTGTTGCAATCTCTCTGTGCGTCAAGCTTTTAGCTAGTACTGTGCTCCTGAACAAAAGGATAACACCAGATATCTATATCTTGACACATTCCGACTCAGCTTTCATGCATGCGGTTGCGAACCGACGCCTTTGTTTGTCGACTCGTTCCGTTCGGATATCCGCCGTTCCCTTGTGGAAGCTCGAGTGACTGGCAATGGCACATACAGTCCATTATTCATTTATTGGACCCACAGGAAATTGACGCCGACATTAAGTGCATCTGGTGCACGCACTCGTACATGGATCTCTTTCCTGTCACGATACAAAGAAGCTTTCCTGAGACAGTGATTTGTTGTTCGGCGGCTAATACATGGCGCGAATCTTTTCTTTAAAAGACCGCTCATGTAAGAAGCTCATTTTGAACCTTACGGATGGACATTGCCTAGGCGAGTATGTTGCACGTCATTTACCGTTTTCCGAACACAAACGCCTTAAACTCTTCCATCCCGGCAACATGTTGCTTACGCAGACTGCCCAAGAGAATGGTCAAGGCTTTTTCATCAAGTCCTATGAGTCATAAGCTCGGCCACATCTCGATGAAGAAAATTGTGTTTGCCAATGGGCTTAGGCCCGATACAGTAATAGGAGATGAAATCGGTTCCTCTATCTTGACATTTTTGTTGAGGAACTCAAGTTTGCTGTAACTGCTGACGCGGATAATTTCGACTGAACCAATCTCAATGGAACAGCATCAGCGCGCGGATCACGACGCAAGAACTTGCTTAAGCGGCCACAGAAGATGACAAGAACTACCAGTCGTACTCTAGGTTCTCTTTGCTTTTTGCGACAGCAACAAATGACCTCCTGCTTTTTTCTTCCAGTCGGCCGTCAACGTTTTGAGGCACTGATAATGGATAGTCTAAAGTCTGCAATTAGCGCTTCTCGAACCTATTTGCTCTGGTTGACAATCGACCCCCAGCAGCTCCTACACTAATGTAGGAAGTTTTCCAGAAGCTTTGTGTTTTCTGTACTTGTGCTTTAGGTTTCTCATGGCTTAAGCGAGATCAATATCGACGGCATGACTCGACACTTGTGTCATTGTTTTTGCGACAAGGTTGCTTGCTACTTGTTCTGCCAAAAAGTTTTTTGTAATGAAGCGCCTAATCTAGCGAACACTTGAGCGCAGCGAAGTTCTTGAATGACCCCAGCTTGTAAAGGAAGCATCGTTCCGATAAGGAGCGACATTGTGGTGCGGCCACCTTGTACTTCACTCCAAAGCTGTGTACAATACGTTCTTAATGCTAACATACGTGATACCAAGGTGACCTGGCCGTCGACAACAGCTCCGTGAAAAACCCTCCTTGTCCGCGTGCCCAGGTGCGACTGAAGGTTTGTAAGCCAATGAATATTGCTATAGCAATTGGCACACTGGCCAAGAGGTCTTAACCATTTTGGTGCAGTGGCAAATTATACCGAGTCAGGACTCTACGTCTGAGAGAGCTTCGTCGAGACAGCATCACTTATCAGGTCACGATGCTATTGGAACTGCTCGTGGACACCTGAGCGCCAGCAAAGTAACTTTCTCAAGTTGCTATAGATGAATGAGGTTTGCGTGCTTCTTCCATCAAACTAAAGTCTTTAGTCTTTGACGCCAGGACTCTTGCTACAGTCACAACAGACAGCAATGGAACATAGGACGGAAAGAAGCTGTTCACATTGCTAGCGACTGCAGCAAGTGCACAGCATTTTATTTCGACAACAGCAACGTCACAATTTGAGCAGTCAAAACACACAACTAAAAGAATCAAAGCTTCATTCTCATGCTTTTACGTTCCATCAATCTGCAGCAGCATATAGCAGCACTTTACTCAAGTGTCTAAAAAAAAAGAGCCGTCGCCACAGCCAGGAGTGACGACATGAGCACCGCCGATACGCCGTTCGTGGCCGAGGCCGAGGCCGAGCGCCCCTTACCTGGCGCGGTCGAGTTATCTGCCGACGTGGCATCTCCAGTGCCGCCATTCTCACCCACAGCCTTCTGCAAAGTAGGGAAGCTCCAGTCGCTCGGAGGAGCCTTGCATCCTTCTGACGTCGAGTTGCAAACCGTGCAAGTGGAGCCAAACAGCTCGCGTTTGCAGCCAGCTTCCGTGTTGCACTTCTTAACATTGAGATAGCACGCCGGGTTTTCAGCCGCAAGTTCCTCAGGGGTTGGCAGAGGCAGCATATGCTTGATGATACTCGAATCCAGGCTCAATGTCTCAATAAGCCCATTTGTGAGATTGTAGTAGGCCTCTACAAGCTTCGTGGCACGTTCCACGTTGGCCTCTTCGTCCTGCGGGTTCTCCCAAAACGGAATGCTTTGTATCCATTCGCCACTCTCCGTGGCCTCAAACTCTACACCGCCATCCTCACAAAACTGCGTGAAGTTGGCATACGTCTCACCCGTTGTGTTGCTTTTCATGGACGTAATGCCCACCAGGTCGTCGATCGGGAGAAAGCCGAGCACGCGGTATGCAAACGTACAACTATTACCATCCGGCATAACGCCAATATCGCAGAGTCCCTTGCGGGTATTTTTGCGGCACTCGGGCGTCTTCTCACTCCATTCCTTGAGTGGACACGTGTTAGGGAACGAATACCACACATTGTGTGGGTACGGAGCACGCGGGTCCGTCTCCTTTGTAGTACCGCCCACGAACGGACCGACGTTCGGCTCACCCTCGTCGCCATTGAAGTAGTAGCAAGCCGTGGGGAACACCTCACCGCCCGAAGATGTAATTGAGTCGGGAGTGCAGCGTCCCGAGTCCATGGCCAACATATCGCCATATTCGTTCTGACTTGCCACGTCCTGATATAATGCCAACGTCTCGTTGGTTTGAGTGATGGCAAATTCATAAAAGACAATGTAGGCCATCTCATTCTTACGCACGCATCGATTTTCTGTCGATCGTGTAGCGTAATTGATACATTCTGCCTGCACGTACATGAGTGCACCTTCCACTGACGCCGCATTTATCGTATCCACAAGACCCACGTACGCATCAGTCGGGTCATCATAATACGATGACACAAAGCGTTTGAGCTTGTCATTCCACACAGGCACATCACTTTGCACGCGGGCTAGTACTACGTGTACGGGCGTCATGCGGTATGTCCCCGATGCAGCTTTCGAGGACGGGTCAACGGTTAAAGAGCTCATGAAGTCATTGGTGGAAGAAGTTCCCGTCGGTTTCTTAATGGTCTCGCGGGGCGATGATGGGCTTGATGAATCTGATGAGCTGGATGAGCTGAATGAACTAGATTCATCCATTGCGTCGACTGAATCAACCGCGACCGTGCCACCAGTATTGGACTCGTTCGCGACCGTGCCACGGGCATTAGAATCAACCGTGACCATATCATTGGCATTAAACTCGAATAACTGCGCGTGGATAGTCACGGCCAAGGCGGTTGACAGCACAAATGTTGAAAAGACCTTCATGATGCTTAATGTAATCGACAACCCCAGACACGAAGTGCACTTGAGAAGACAAATTCGGAAGTGAATCTCGATCAGAGATGGTCGGTGCACATCATTCGACAAGTCAGTTCAAACGCACTCGCAGAAGGAACATAGCGACGACAAAGACAGAGAACAGATGGTCAGAGAGAGAGAGAGAAACTTGACTACAGGACATTGCGACGGCTGCCTCAAGGTACGTAATGCTTCAATTTTGGAGGAGAGATTGGACAAACATTACTGATCAAATGGTATTCATTGTATCCGATATGAGCAATGGACAAAGTCATTATCGAGATGATATCATTAGTCCAGGGATCCTGGTCTGGTGATGTCAATATCTAATTCTTTCGATTCTTGTCCATGCAAAAAATGCGACCAAAGTCTATTTCGTCAACTGCACCGTCACGGGTTGCAGTGGCCGTGATTGATACGAGATGTGTGTAAATCATTGACGCAGGTTGTGATTACATATGCATCATAATAGCGGAAGGGCAAGTGCGTGCATGAATGTAGTCCCGGGAATGATATGCCCATTCCAAGCACAATCCTACAACTCGCATCTATATGTTCAACGATGCACTGAACACTTGATTGTACGTTACGTGGTACGTAACATAGTCGCACGCTATCTGTGTTGACCGTTAAGAAACGGAATTGCAGGCAAAAAAAATTGATGGTAAACACCACTTGTTCAAGTTTCGGACTTTCAAGTCAAGCATGGCGATGGCCTCATACTTTTCTTTCACAGTGTACATTTTAGCTTGCTTATGGTACACAAACGCAAACGGATACTCGTTCTGCCACAACCCCTTGCAAAATATGCACTCTCGACGGTGTCGCCGTCCTGGGATTGATGTGTATCAAACAGGGATATTGTATTGCGCTCGAAGTATGTAAAAGATCCATCATGCTGCTTCCTTTTTGCTCCGGTTTGCTGTATGTGTTGTATGCAACTTGCGCTGCTAGCGACGAGATGCAAATTGCACTTGCGTACTTGAACCCTTTGTCACTTTGCTGCAGTATCTTGTTAGTATTTGTGGGCAATTTGTAGGCAGCTCTGACGTCGATGTAAATTGCCACCAAAGCTTTGCAGAGCAATGGCGACGATGAGGCGACAACGCGTAGACACGAAAGTTGCAATGCAATAAGGAGCTTTTCGCAAATGGGTAAAAACAGAGCCCATGCCATTTGCCGACGCTTAATTTAATGGAAGTTTTGGTTCTGCCGGTACAACGACGGAGTCGGGTCTTTATGTTAAGATTACGTGGTGATGATGCAAACATCACTTTACTGCCACGATCTAATGTACTTGGCCAAAAATGACAAGAGTTGATACTGGTCATCAAGCATCAGAACTGATCGAAAAACCTCAACGTCGACGCTTCGTACAAAGTATCATACAAATATCAAGTAATTATAAAAATCTATCGAAATTCTGATTCGCCGTCTCTGCTCCAGTCATAAGAAAAAAAACAACCAAATGGCGCAAGGCAGTGGATATCTCAAGAAAAGCGTCAAGAAGAGTGTCAAGAATGGCGGGTTAAAGCCTTCTAAGAAAGCAGTTAACTATTCACATAAACGATCAGCTTCAAAGTTTACGAAAAAAGGAAGTACGTCATCCATTCTGATCAATGTCAAACGTCTTGAATGCGATGAAAAAACGACTGAGTCTTGTGTTATTGTTTTGTTTTTTAGACCCGACGACGGAGATCCGACGTGGTTGTAGTGGTATGAAGAACCACGGAAGTAAAGCAGTGACAGGTTTTATTAATCAGAATCTTGAGAATATTATGGCAAGTCGTGTGCTACAAGCTGGTACACAATTGACCTTAATTGATGTCAAGGCCAATGGGAAAGAGCGACTCAAGGAGATTAATCTTCAAGCACGTACGAAGAAAAAGAGTCGCGTGGCGCAAAAATTAGCAGCACTGGAACGATCAATTAACGATCAGGAGAATGGAAGTAGTAAGCACAAACGTCCAACGGCTGCGGCGGTCGTCTCTCACTAAACTCGTAGATTTGAGCCACATTGATTCCAAGTGCTTTCTTTCTTTCACTTTTGTTTACTTGATGACTTTGAGCTATTTCTTATCGTACGTGTTAATGGTGAAGGTGATGCGACAATGGGAGACATTGGCAACGTAATCAAGCTGGATGCATCATCATTTATCGCAACTTCTCGAGTGACAGTTGTGGCGACATTGATTCCTGAACGAGACACTCGAGGCGGTGCTGTTCTTGTCTCTCGTGGTGTCTTCTTCTTGCTTTTGAAAGGGGTTGAATTCGGAAACAGGTGCAGAAGAAGCTCGTCGGAAATGCTAAAGAGCAGATTCTTTACAAAAATCTCGTGCTGCAAGAACTCGTGCAGCTTAAGCGCCGCATTCTCACATGCAGTGTCGCCAAAGAGCGAGAGTGCCTTGGAAGGGAAACTGGCAAGGATAGCTTCGAGGCAGTCTTTACGTAAAACCTGCATATCGGCATTTGCAGCGGATGGAGCGACACTGACATCGCTCATGTCGGAGAAAATGTACAGTTTCAGATCACTTATCCAGCCTGAAAGCTTCTTTGGATCCGTAAACGAGAGAAACTGTCGCTCTAGCATTCGGAAGTGTGAAGCACCGAGGAACGCCTTGATGAATGATCGAGTCATTGAAAATATCTGGCGACGCACCATGCCGATACCATCAAACTCAAACACTTCGCCTAACACAGCAAAAAGGCTCACTTCAATTTTTTGCAAAAGACGCATCTTCGTCTCCTTCGACTTCGCGTCCGGCCCTTTTTGCCACTTGCCGTTCTCCTCAAGCACATCTCCAGTACCGCTTACTTCAGGGTTAGTGCTTCCAGCTATGTTGCTGAATGCGCCACCCCCGGTGGAAGACGACACAAACGGAAAAGTTGAGTTTTTACCAGCCTCCCATCTCGATATCAGGGGGCTGCCCATTGTTCGAGATGTGCCGTATGTGTTCGCAATTAGGAAAAACTTTTGCACGACCGAGCTTTGACACAACGTACCACACGCCAGCAGTTGCTGCAAAAACTGCTCGAGAATGTACAATTGCTTCTCGTAAGATATACTTGCAATCGCTACTGTCTTTAGGGACGACTTGATAGAAGTCATCTCCATGTAATCAACACCTTTCAAATGACACGCTTGGCATCCAACTCCAAACTTCTGTTCTTGTTTCTTCAGCTTCTCAATCAACTGCTTCTCCAGCATCACAAAATCGTGGTACGTCTTAGTGACACTCCAAGCGTACGCACTGTCGCCCTTCACCTTCACGGCGATCTCGAACCTAGTGCTATTTGTATGACCAACAGTTGAGCTGACACGACACGCTGTCTGTCGCGATGCTGCCGAACTACCAACGCCTGAAACGCCACTGTCACTCGTACACGAAAGTGGGTGACTCGTGCTACTGTTTGCAGCAGATCTGCTCGAGCTGATGTCGGGTATCTCACGTTCACGCTCCTTGACCAAATACTCGCCTACATGAGCTTCTATACGCAGCTTGTACTTGCTCACCAGACAGTTGTAGCAGTTTCCGCAAACTCGTGCTTTTTTAAAAGTTTCAAAAGGCGGAGGATACACCATGAACGCATAGAAATTGAAGCACGAAGCGCACACGCGTCGGTGGCAGCTATGGCAGGTTCCCACACCCAGGTTAGACGCTGGAAAAGCTTTAAGACAGCGAAAGCACAAACTGTCGTTATCGTCGTTGTCATACAAAGCCCTAGGGTCACCGTTCAAGGAGGATTTCGCGGACAGTGGTTGAAAATCACAGGAGAATGACTTGGTGCGTTTGTTGCCCGTTCCACGCCGTAACGAAGGGATAGACGCGCGGGCTTTCATGAAAGTCGAAGCTTTAGATGACGTTTGCTGCAGTTCGTCTGAATCAGTTAGACCCAGCGTCGAATCGCTCATCGGACTGTCAGGCATCTCTTTGTCACTCCTCGGACGACTTTTCAGCATTGACTTGTTTGCCGCTTTTCCTTTGTCGTTTCCTTTGTCGTTCTTCTTTTCACAGCTCACTGCGTCAAAGCGCTGCTTCAACTTCCCCTCCTTTTTCGCACTGCTAGGAATAGCTGAAGAAGCCAACGGAGAGGAAACACCAGAATCGTTAGGGGACACCGGTAGCGATGGCAGAACCAAAACTGGCGGCAGCTGGCATCGTCGACGTACCCACTGTCGCCGCCGCACAGAATCAAGCTTCTTTTTCTTCTTATGGTAAGTATCCTCATAATTCTTAGCATACTCCCACATAGATTCCGTCGCCTCGCTGTCCGATGATTCTCCTGGACCGTTTGCTGTATTTTCAAGTGCCCAGTCGTCTTCCCAAATCCATTCTGACGACGGGAGTTCCTGCCACCGTTTGTCTGTCGCTTTTACCCACCTATCCACAGGAACATGGCGTTCGATCTCCCATGCTCGTTCCAGCACACAAACAGGGGCACACGGAGAGGCCATGTTATGGGGCCGCCATTCGTTAGGAGGTGAGCCACTAAACTCCTGGTCACTGTCGTTGTGAAAACCTGAAAGAAAAGGTACGTCAAAGCAAACGTTTAGATTATCAAGCTGGGACAATGCTTCCAGCACGGAATCTGCATGTGTCGTGTCAAGCAAAAGCGCAAAGCTATCGTAAAATAACTCCGTGATATCGCTGTGTGCATATAACTCAGCGCACAAAGTCCCCAAAAATCCTTTTGCTAAAGCAGCCAGTACCCATTGAACTCCACGCGTCGAAACAAATGACTCGCTAGGACTACACGTTGGGCACTGGAATGCCACGAACCTCCAGTGCGTGTTGAACGATTCCGCGCCAGGTCTGTCTTGCGCAAGATATTCCCAATAATACTGATGGATGTCCTCATCTACATCCAAGTAGCTCGGACATCTCTCCGTATCCTTGCTGTCGCGACGAAATGTCAGCTCATCTTTGACCGATGCTACGGAAACACACGGCCGAGCATTTGGAGACAATGGGGGAGTTGACGGCGCTTTGTTGTCACCTTCGTCTTCTGTATCATGATTACGAAAGCCTACCATAAAAACGTTTTCCATCGCTGAAAGAAGATCGTATAGCTCACGTGACCGGGATGAACTGTGCATTTCAGGATATTCGGCGTACATCTTTGTGTAGTTCGCTACCGCCTTTACCAAGTGACGAACAACACGATCCCGCACCATCGCCATCTTCATGGTATCGCTCGTCGTCCGTAAACTCATACCATCGTCATCCTGCAGCGGGCTTACGAGAGAATTCAGCGAGCTCGTGATACGGGCATTTCTACGACCTCGAGTTTGGTCCGTCGGAGTTGTTGCACCATCACCGAATGAAGAACTCGGTGAGCTAGCACCTGACTCACCTCGTTTCCAAGCTTTTTGTAATAGCTGTCCCTGCTTACGGAGCATTCGGGCTGCTGCGCCCGCACCCGCGCCGAGAGGAGGGGTCGACAAGGGATCTATTTGATAGCTGCCAAGGGTTCGAAACCGCCTCTTGACCTTGCCAATAGACGAGTTCAAGCTGGAGCCAATATTGGTCTTAGCATTCTTCAGGTCATCCATGTGACCACTTATACGACCATTATCGACAGTCGTCTTGTTTGAACGTAGTCCACCTGAAATCAGTCCAAGAGGACTCATTAATTTTGCCGTCTTTGCAATATTGAGGCGGTCGTCCATTGCAAACATTAACGGCATCGTTTTCCTTTCACCAGTGAAGCCACCTGAGTTAGCAGCAAACACAGCCCCACCAAACGCAAATGGATTATTCCCTGGATCAGTCCAGTCGTCACCTTCCAATACCATTTCTGCAGCACCAGCTGCAGCCGAGGACGCTGCATTCGCTACAGCCTCGACAACTGCCTGAAAAGCTGCTTCTGCCTGTTCCCCGCTGCGCCTGCTGGCCTTGTACAGGATACTGGATGTTGATCGTAATTTGTTCAGCGTCAGAGTTGGCACCATTCCAACAACGTTGCCAGTGGAGGACGTGCTTGACAATACAGGTTCAACCACATCTTTTTTCCCATCGACAAGCGCTTGGAGGCAGGACAGCACAATTTCGTTCGCGTACCGCGGTTGCAAGTACTCAGACAACGGCTTGAGAATCTTAAAGCTAACTATTTCACGCAGTAAATTCATGGAAATAGATACAAACACGTTGGTGTTCTGCTGCTGACCCAGCTGAGGATTCAATTGAGTCAGTAGTTGCGTTGCTACATGACGAAGATACGCTTCCTCTGCATTTTCTCCACCATCCTTCTTCACACTATCAGGCGTGAGTAAAGAAGTTGTAGCCCCAGCTCCCACGCACCCTGGATGAACAAATGACGATCTCTGCACAAACTCGATGACATATTCCTGTCGCTTGAGCAGATTCGAGTCAATTTCGTCGCCTTCAAACACGGCTGGATGTTCGTCCGCTAATTGCGCATAAGCTTCCCGAAACCATCCCAAATGCAGTCTCAGTATCTCGAGACTCTTCGCAACTAACGTGAGGGCTTGAGATGGATCAATCTCAAGCACCCGCGAAGCTACAGCACCCAGCAAGTCTGCCAGCAAAAACTTGACGTCGTTAGGAAAGTCTTTATTGGGAGAAATAGGCTCAAACCAAAAGCTGACATAATGCTTCACAATAAGCTCGACAAGATCTCCAATCTCTTCGCAAATCTCACGTGGTAAACCCCATGATGTACGCAAATGTGCTACGATCGGTAGCTGCTTAAGAACTCGCAATTGAAAGCCTGCATCTGTCATACGCCTTCCAGAAAACACATGATCATTGCCAGAGTTAATGTTGAGCTTATTGCTACCAAACACGCCCACAGGATCACGATATCGTCTATAGAAATTGAATTTTAACAGTGCCTGGTCGAGCAATTCCTGCTCCTGTTGTAATTGATACGAGCGTAGGATCCACCAGAAACTTCCACTGCCTACAAACAATACTACAATCTGTAGCAATCTCGTCATCATCCACCAGATTATATGCACTAATACAAGCGGAGCCCACGAGTAACGCACGCCTAGTAACACCAACGTTAGCATTAGGAACAGCCGCGTCATCATCTTTGAATAGTCCAAATCACGTGACTACGTTTCAATGATTGGATAAAAAGACAAGAATACGATGTACCTCATTCGTGGTACAATCAGTCAGTGGCTACGGTTTCATGCGACTTAGTATCTATCTATTACCAACACGCCTGAGATGAATATGTGGCGTGGATCACAGATTCTTCGTCGTAAGACGTTTGTGCAAGTATCTTCACGTGTATCTTTACTATCAACAGTCTCTTCCTCTGATATGGTCATGGAAAATCTAATGAATCCATCCAGTACAATGACGTCGTCGTCATCGTCGCTGACTGAGAAAAAACGAACGGGATTACTGGCTGTTAAGATTGGTATGATGCCTGTATGGGATCACTATGGCTACCGTCATAATTGTACAGTCCTACAAGTAGAGGAATGTCAGGTTACACAAGTAAAGACAGCAGATCGTCATGGATTTAATGCACTTCAGCTTGGTGTAGGGCTACGTAAACCCAAGAACGTAAGCAAACCTGTGTTGGGTCATTTGGCAAAGGCTGGCGTACCGGCAAAGCGTCAGCTACAGGAATTTCGAGTGTCGGAAGATGCACTTTTACCACTAGGTACAAAACTCTCGGCGTTGCACTTTAATGCTGGTCAATACGTGGACGTGTGTGGAATTAGTAAGGGCAAAGGCTTCCAGGGTGTCATGAAGTTGCACAATTTTGCGGGTCAGCCAGCGTCTCACGGTAATTCCAAGACACATCGTCACATGGGCTCAACTGGTCAATGTCAGGACCCTGGTAAGGTGTTTAAGGGTAAGAAAATGCCTGGTCGTATGGGTGGCAATCGCGTTACGCGTGACAATCTTTGGATCGCTAAAATTGACGTTGAACGCAATCTAATCTACGTCAAAGGTAGTGTGCCAGGCAACAATGGAGGGATTGTCCGTGTTACGGACGCTCGGAAGAAAAAAACAGATGTGCCACTTCCGTATCCGACCTTTGTCCCTGTAGAGGGTGAGGCATTACCATTGGAAGTACTGGCGCCTCAAGGTGATGTCGATCCATACCATTACGACGATAAATAGAAAAAGAACCAGAAAAGACGGGCAAGAATGTGGAAACTACTCGTGCAGCTAAAAGTTCTATCTTGTATCCAAGTTGTTTGTACCATCATCATCACTCATTCATTCAATGAGGCGGACTCGTGCGGTCGAAAGTTCTTATGACTAGTGATGATTAGGTATGGTCAGGCTCACCTTGCTGCCTGCTGTCTTTCGAAAATCACTAAGGATCTTTCCTTCTACTGTCTCTTTTGCTGATACATCTTCAAGCATTTGTCAACTACAGTATGATGCTGCACTGTTTGTTGGCTCAGTTGTAACTATTTACATGATCTTAAAAGTTAGACTGTCGCTGCAATGATAAATGTTATTGCAACGATGCAAGGAGAAGCAAAGGAGAATGTGATGCTTGGTTATACATACTTCCTTCGATCAAAACCAGATAGTGAGCAAGCAATTGGCGCTTGATGGCTAGTCATATTTGCTATACGTTCTCGGACGGTTCAAGCTCTTCATGCAACGTCTTTTACGTCGTTACTTTATCAGTCAGCTGTCATACGACCTTATAGAGCGGTTGCTACCAGTCTGTACTATCAAACGCGTAGGAAGAGAGCTACAGCAATGTGCAATAGTTAGTGGATGGAAGTATACACGGCTGGCTAGACGCAACAAATCAAAACAGCTGCAAAACGTTACAACGCGCCATCATTTGGCCGGAATAGATGGATGCAATAAGTGCCACTGGCAACTAACTGGCTGCCAATGAACCAGATGCTGCATGGCAGGAATGCTGTCGTCTTTACTTATAATCGCCAGACTTCGTCACTTAACGGTTAGCCGTATCATAAAGCCATACATATGAACGGCCGATACACATGGCTTCATCGAATCAAAACATGCGTCTTTGTTACTAACGTTACGTACGTACTGAGCCAGACGGTGCGGTTGATGTGTTCGTGCTGACGAGAGAGATTTTGCGCTAAAAGAAGCTGGTGCTCGATTTGGCAATGCACCGAAAGCAGCAGGTTTGCAGCTTGCCAATGGCAAACCCATGTGGCAAAAAAAACAAAATTGCTCCTTTGCCATCTGTCCTGATGATGGTGCGTTCAAATCACCATTTGAATGTCGTCGTCGGCAAATCCTATCTGTATGAACAATGATATTTGAGCAAGAAGGGGTGGGCAACCTCACAACCTCGCGCAACCATTACTATACCCGAAATCTGCTGGTCCGGTCAGATCAACCACACTATTGCACAGCAAACTTATCATTGGAACGATCTTCGATGTGCTGAAGAAAAGAAACTGTCAGCTTTATAGACTCTAGCGAGATTCAGTGAAGGAGCGACGTCGCGATATTTTGAAAGATACGGTGGTATGCAAATAGACGCTATCGTCGTCGCTATCATTGTTCTGGTCGGTGGTGGGCGTTCCCTCTACGTCAAAAATATGCCATGAGGGGAAGTATAACAGAGGGACGAGAATGTAAGACAAGATGACGCCAACAACAATCTCATCTGCTGGGATGGAGTAGTAGTAGTAGTAGTAGGATCTTGCATTTACTAGCACATACACGACATCCGTTCGCGCAAGAGTCGTGTACTTTTTAGATCGCACGACGAGTAAGTGATGATGATGATAATGATGTGTGCCTTGCGTCCCGTCTGTTGCAACTTCGATTTGGAATGGATCCACTCAATGGATGGGGTTTCGTGGACGACGACGTAGGACAAGAGCCGGGCGATCTCAATAGCATAAAGCCGCGACATGGCCTCGCAATCCAACATTTGTCTGAGTTTCGTATGTTCCGTTTCAGCTCACACCCGGTGCGACAGCCACCGATAATCTCAGAGCCAGCCGTTGTCTCCTGTCTGCCCTTTTCTACCAGCTGAGACCTGAATTGTCCAACGTCGCTTTGAAGAAGAGAGCAGAAGCAGAAAGCAGCGCAGGATGATGATCGATCGATCGATCTATCTGGCTGGACGCGTGACCAGAAAAGCCACTACTACCATCTTGCCTCGTCCTGCTCTACACAGCATGACGACAAAAAGTCACTGCAACAAGCCACAAAAACGGCAAAGGTCTGCAACTCCGTCATATTTCAATTTGCACTATTGCCACCAAGTGAGTATCGAATCAAGCAGACAAACAGACAAACTACTAAAAACAAACACTAGACCAGTAAACACAGTCATTTGACGCATTGAACCAACTACTCTTCACCATGCCACCAACGACCTCTTCACCCGTAGCTAGTACTAGCAATAGCCCCACCAAGACACCTCTGTCCATGCAGCGTCCCAAGCTGTCCCCTCGCAAACGCAAGTTCAGTGCCTCGGACGCTACGTCACCAACATCTCTGGATGAAGTGAACAACAACAGACCAAGCTCACCGCTCGAGGGGCGTGTGATCTCGCCAAAGAAGAAGGTCAAGGCGGAAGAACACGGCAGCACGAGTGACCTGAGCAAGTGGGAGCACCATGTAGTGGCCAGCATCGCCAACGCACTGGATCTGGACGGCATGGAGACGGCAGTCGAGCCAATCTCGTTCTCGCTGGCACCTGCAGGTGATCTTGCAGCTGACGAGCTGGAGATCCTTTGCTGCTTCCTGGCATGATTGATACAGTATACCAAGTGGGATAATAACCACAGAAGAGATTGAGCAAGTTCCAGCTTTTTGCGTGTCAGCAGCGCAAACCTCAGCGCCGGCTTTAGTAGACCAACAGACTACCGTCTGTCTGTCTGTCTGTCCGGTAGTCTGTCATTCAGTAGCAGCCATCTTGTTTCTACTACGATGGCAAGCCTTGGATGACGTACATGTCAGTCAGTGCAGCACTTGTGCAGAAGCTAGAGACAAGTGGCAACGAGTGTGACAAAGTGTAGTCAGTCTATCTAGTAGAGTCAAGATAAAGAGTATAGTAGCTGAGGGAAAAGTGCATAAGAGCTACAAGTGCCCGATATAAGTCTTATATTTAATGAGAATAAATGCAGTGTCAGCTATATGAAGATTCATTGTTGTAAGTCCACAAGTTTGTAGCAACCGTGTGAAAACTCTACGGCTGCCACTGGGTCAAGAGTGAGTTCATACCAGCAGCTTTAGATGACACCATTTCGTACAAGACAGACATAAGGTAGCAACGGCAACGACAGGCCGTACTCATTTCCATACGCCAACTCGTTGTTTCGTGGCGCTTCAAACCTCATATCTCTGATCGGTCGTGATTCCCAGCTGCTCAACGTCACTACATGTTACATGTACGAACAGAGTAGAGCAAACCCATCCAATGCACCAGTGCGGATCGTTGTACTTACTTGACCACTCTCTCGGACCTTTTTTCTTCTTAGCCAGACCATACTGATAGCAGTGAACTAGGCAGCTAAATACAAGGCAACAGCAAAGCATCATTACAAAGCCGCAGCATTTTTATTGTAACAACAAACAATAAACAGTACTAGCGCTTGCTCTCCATCGTCCATGTCTCTCCATCCACATAGACGCTGCATCTCGCCTTTTTGCTCGGGCTCACACATTTGTATCTCGTGCTGCTCTTGTGTTCGGTTGTCGTCGCTGTAGCCACTGTTCTGTCAAGCTTCTACCTTGCTATTGTTATTTCCTGCTCTGTTTCCGTCTCACTCATAGCCAACGTGTCAGGAAGCCAATTACAACGCTGAAGAAACGTCCCTAGTGCACCGAAAAAGCCCTCGTGGTGAAAAAATTGCGCCTGCATTTCGCCCTTGGACCAAAAGCTGATAGCGTAAGCCAGCTGCCGACACGCTAGTTCATTGCGTCGTAGGAAATTGCCCGAGAAATAGATCCGTTTAGTCTCCATGCGACGAGCATTCAAAAATGCCAGCTGACCTAGGTTCTGCGTGATCATAAAGAGCAGCGAGCGCGCAAGATCAACGTCTCGCGGTGGATGTGGCAAACGCCGCGCGCCGGCCTTACCGAAGCTACTGGCAACTGTATCTGGCTTGAGCTGGAATTGCTCATAGCCGGATGTACCGTAGATATCGCCCACAGTCATGTCGACTGCATTCGAGTCTCCCTCAACACTCGCATCCATTGCTTCGTCAAATGTGCGTAGTTTAGACAGTGCACGACAAAGCCCAAGAAATGTCCCGCCACCCAAACTCGTTCCGGACACACGCTCGTATTGGGACTCTCCTGTAATTTTGAGAATACTCACACCAGAACCGATATTCACAAGCAAGAACGGGTACAATTCATGCTTGTCGGGCTTTGGTAAGATTTTCTTCGTAGCGCTTCCCAAACCCTGCGTATCTGGAATCACATTGATAAACGTATAGCATTCATCTGGACCATGTCGGAGAACAAAATTAAGTCCCTGAATAAGAGCATCCATTTCATCTGCTTTCTCGAGCTCAATACCCAGACGCGACTCAAACAGCGGAGAGAACTAACAACAACAACCATGAAAAAAATAAGATCAAAAAAGATACAACTTCTGTTCTCAACCAAGCAAATGAAAGCATTGTACCTTAAAGGCGCCACCGCCCGTACACGCAATCTTCTTGATGTATCGGTGGAAGAAACGACGACGCACAAAATCTGTAATCTCGTCCATTTTTGCTGTTGGAAAACTGTAACGCAATAGTCTCACTCAATTTGAAGCTCTGTCTCCTCTTGTACACCATCTATCTATCAATCAATCTATAGCACGCACTTGATAAAGTGGATAGTGCCACCTAACTCGGGCACAACCATTTGCAGTCGGTCTTCCTCACGCTGGGTCTCATCTGTGGCGTAAAGGCTCATAAGAAAGTCATCAATAAAGGCCAAACTACCTTCTGCATAGTTTTGCGCACTGAAACTCATCCAATCCGATCGATGCAGCTGTCGTTCCATTTGACGTTGCTGTGCGACAGCAGCACCTTCCAGTGACTGGAAATAGACCATTTTAGCCAGTGAACCGCCAATATCGAGCGCAAAGTAGCGACCACAGTCTGCTACTTTCCCGTTGAGAATATGGAGATGAAATCGATGGAGTTTACGGCGTCGAGCAATGATAAGACCCGCTACGCAGGACGCACCAAAGAGAAATACACGCATCCAGAACACATTGCTCTGCCGCCCGGATGATGACGCCATGAGAGAGAGATGTGTGCTAACTCATGTGGTAGACGTCAATCATGATACATAATTAATCACTAAGTACGACTGTACCCATTCTGCTTTAAACTTGAAGCTCGATCTAACGTCAGTTTTGTTGATTTTTTAGAGAATAATTGCCTGCCAAAAATTCCGATGGATTCTGGGTCTGACGGGAAAAGAAAGAGAAAGCCATTGGCACGACAAGGAAGAGATAAGAAAAATCACATTTGCCCTACGTACGTTCGAGCTACTACTGCTTAGGAAGAAGATAAGAAATCATGCAGACAAATCATAGTAGTCGCACACATAGACAGTCTTAAATTTGGGATCCAGCGACGAGCGGAGAAAGATGATGTGCGGATGGAAAAGAGACCTGTGGGTGTAAATCAGGTCAGGGCGTTTTTCTGAGACTTTAGAATCAGGTCAGCTTGCACAGTCCGCCGTTGTCAAACAGATGTGACAACGGCATGAGTTACAAGAAACGGCCTGTACCCAGCACTATCCTACAAATGATGCGATGCGGTGCCTGTTATTTCTTTATGCATGAAGAAAAATTCTTCTGCATGCCGCAGGATTTCTGGCTGCACAAACTGGCCAGATCATAAACGTCGCTAATTACTATACATGTCCACTCTCTTGCGAAATGAGATATGTCAATGTCAAATGGATTATTCTGTCTTTGCAATGTCTCTTGCATGCAAGTGTTGCGTCTCTTGTTATTTAGATTGCTGAGAAGTATTTTCGGCGTAGCAATATTTTGTTTATGTAAATTACTATGAGCCAGATTTTCAAGCGGACAATTTCTGGTAGAAAAAACAGCCTTTTAAGCGTTTTACGTAGCTAGCTAGCTAGCTTTTGTTATCCAATGAGTAGACAATACTTACGCGACTGGTCTTTTCATGTAAAAACGTAACTTGATTGAAGTAGGCTAAGATCTTTTTTGTCAGGTGGACTAATCCGGATGCCTTCAAAATTGGAATGAAAAAAAAGGACGCTACGATGCTTTGAAGCTTCGTGACGACAAAGCCTTTGAAATATCCTGCATGGTTTTAGATTCGTTAAATCATATTGACATGCTTAAAGGGCTGTTGTTTGGTTTGCTACCGTACTTGCTGGTAGCATAGAGATATACTATGCAGGTTTGGACAAATATTCAATATGGTAGTAAAGACGTACGCACAAGGTATGCATGCTCTGGAAGGTTCGATGACATGATTTTGTCTTGGCGACTATACAGCACAAAAAGCACTCATCTTTGTCTCAGGAGGCCTAAATCCCTCTTCCAAGTACGCTAGCGACAGCATTCTCTCCCCCATCTCGAACGGATGCTTCATACGGTGGAGAGCAGAGGTCACCGGATATTATCAAGTTGGAGCCAACAGCACGACAACTTCGATCCGTAGTTTGCGTCATCATTAGAAAAAAAAGACTGTCGTTGAGTAAGAATAAGAATCACGTTCTTTTTTTTTGTTAATCAGAATCTGCGACACTGATTTCGTGTACACACTATTGATTCATCAATAGTAGTGTTATAGACGAGATCCTAAAGGCGTTGCAGATTGAAGACAATGTGTCACACGTCGAACAAATCAACACTTGGCTCAGAGCCGAGCGACTTGCAGCATGCAAGGCATTATCCATGACAGCTGCCATGGCATTATGATGACCTATGCGGCATCTCGCCTGCCAAGGCAACAGCAATCTGGGCAGGAACTGGTCCGCTCGCTCTATCTAAATAAGGAATCAGATCACCTTCTAGAACGTTTCTAGTGATTTACAATGTGAAACCGAAGGCTTCGACGTTTTCTTTCAAAATTTTGAAACGCTTTTACTGTTTTGCTTGACTGAGCTGGTGCCACGTCAGCTGTTTTGCAGTGATAATGTTCTCAGGCCACTGCTAATCCATGTGTAAGCGTGTTGTGCACAAGGACTTTTCCATACTTGCCGTTGTTTTACAATTGTGCGTGTACGTATTTGTAAGTGGTAGGGCAAGCGATTACAGGCGGAAGAGGCGCCACCGTGTCAAGAGGCGTGACATGATGGTCCGCAATGGTGCATTGGATGGGTTTGCTCTACTCTGTTCGTACATGTAGCATGTAGTGACGTTGAGCAGCTGGGAATCACGACCGATCAGAGATATGAGGTTTGAAGCGCCACGAAACAACGAGTTGGCGTATGGAAATGAGTACGGCCTGTCGTTGCCGTTGCTACCTTATGTCTGTCTTGTACGAAATGGTGTCATCTAAAGCTGCTGGTATGAACTCACTCTTGACCCAGTAGCAGCCGTAGAGTTTTCACACGGTTGCTACAAACTTGTGGACTTACAACAATGAATCTTCATATAGCTGACACTGCATTTATTCTCATTAAATATAAGACTTATATCGGGCACTTGTAGCTCTTATGCACTTTTCCCTCAGCTACTATACTCTTTATCTTGACTCTACTAGATAGACTGACTATACTTTGTCACACTCGTTGCCACTTGTCTCTAGCTTCTGCACAAGTGCTGCACTGACTGACATGTACGTCATCAAAGGCTTGCCATCGTAGTAGAAACAAGATGGCTGCTACTGAATGACAGACTACCGGACAGACAGACAGACAGACAGACGGTAGTCTGTTGGTCTACTAAAGCCGGCGCTGAGGTTTGCGCTGCTGACACGCAAAAAGCTGGAACTTGCTCAATCTCTTCTGTGGTTATTATCCCACTTGGTACTGTATCAATCATGCCAGGAAGCAACAAAGGATCTCCAGCTCGTCAGCTGCAAGATCACCTGCAGGTGCCAGCGAGAACAAGATTGGCTCGACTGCCATCTCCATGCCGTCCAGATCCAGTGCGTTGGCGATGCTGGCCACTACATGGTGCTCCCACTTGCTCAGGTCACTCGTGCTGCCGTGTTCTTCCGCCTTGACCTTCTTCTTTGGCGAGATCACACGCCCCTCGAGCGGTGAGCTTGGTCTGTTGTTGTTCACTTCATCCAGAGATGTTGGTGACGTAGCGTCCGAGGCACTGAACTTGCGTTTGCGAGGGGACAGCTTGGGACGCTGCATGGACAGAGGTGTCTTGGTGGGGCTATTGCTAGTACTAGCTACGGGTGAAGAGGTCGTTGGTGGCATGGTGAAGAGTAGTTGGTTCAATGCGTCAAATGACTGTGTTTACTGGTCTAGTGTTTGTTTTTAGTAGTTTGTCTGTTTGTCTGCTTGATTCGATACTCACTTGGTGGCAATAGTGCAAATTGAAATATGACGGAGTTGCAGACCTTTGCCGTTTTTGTGGCTTGTTGCAGTGACTTTTTGTCGTCATGCTGTGTAGAGCAGGACGAGGCAAGATGGTAGTAGTGGCTTTTCTGGTCACGCGTCCAGCCAGATAGATCGATCGATCGATCATCATCCTGCGCTGCTTTCTGCTTCTGCTCTCTTCTTCAAAGCGACGTTGGACAATTCAGGTCTCAGCTGGTAGAAAAGGGCAGACAGGAGACAACGGCTGGCTCTGAGATTATCGGTGGCTGTCGCACCGGGTGTGAGCTGAAACGGAACATACGAAACTCAGACAAATGTTGGATTGCGAGGCCATGTCGCGGCTTTATGCTATTGAGATCGCCCGGCTCTTGTCCTACGTCGTCGTCCACGAAACCCCATCCATTGAGTGGATCCATTCCAAATCGAAGTTGCAACAGACGGGACGCAAGGCACACATCATTATCATCATCATCACTTACTCGTCGTGCGATCTAAAAAGTACACGACTCTTGCGCGAACGGATGTCGTGTATGTGCTAGTAAATGCAAGATCCTACTACTACTACTACTACTCCATCCCAGCAGATGAGATTGTTGTTGGCGTCATCTTGTCTTACATTCTCGTCCCTCTGTTATACTTCCCCTCATGGCATATTTTTGACGTAGAGGGAACGCCCACCACCGACCAGAACAATGATAGCGACGACGATAGCGTCTATTTGCATACCACCGTATCTTTCAAAATATCGCGACGTCGCTCCTTCACTGAATCTCGCTAGAGTCTATAAAGCTGACAGTTTCTTTTCTTCAGCACATCGAAGATCGTTCCAATGATAAGTTTGCTGTGCAATAGGTGAGCGCTGTTTGCAGCACCGTTGCGGACGGTCTGACCGGACCAGCAGATCCTGGGGTAGCTGCCGCAGCATGGACTGGCGCGAGGGTATGGAGGTTGCCGCAGCATGGACTGGCGCGAGGGTATGGAGTTTGCCGCTCGGACTTTATTCTTCATGCGATACGATTGGTGATGCTAACAATCTAATGACGTATGCACGCAGCCATGGCATAGACCTCGCAATTCAACAAACAGTCTATGTCGTATGGTCTTGCTACCTGTTGCTAAGTAGTCCAGCAGTATTTTGCTTGGAAGCATCGGCCAAAACGCGCCCCAGCTTTTTTCGCGCCCCATCCATTACTATCACGCATAAACGTCCTTCAAGGTGTAACGACATACTTACCAGTTTCAATTCGACTAAGTCATTTGGTGTTGAGAGATGGGGTCAGTCCAGACGCATCTGGCGATCATGCTCACGCTCCCGGTTATTGGTACAATAAAATGGCAGCGTTACTACGTGTATCGCAGAAATGATAGCCTGCAAAATTCTAGGCCGCCTGGTGGTCATTGACCATCTAGCTTCTGCTGCCTTAGCGGCCAGCAACTGCCAGTTGCCAGAGGCAGCCACAGCGCATCTATCTACCGCACGACGGAGACAGTACGCCAGCGCGTCGATTCCTTGGCCAATTAGCTGTAGAACGCCACTTTGTGGCGACATTTGGGCAAATGGGTGTTGGTAGACAGATGGACACTCAGCGTGGACAGTTCGCGACTACAGTGCACGATAGGCACTGGCGTGTGATAGCCATCATAAAAAGAAAGTGCTTTTTATTGTAATTGATGCGCTCCCGTTGCTAATATATGGAAAGGCTCCGTAGGACGAGAAGACCACTGCAGTTTTCTCACTAACGTCGTACGTTCTCCGTATGAAAGAGGACTGCTGCTATCTTGAACGTATAGTCGATATCGCGTATCTATTCATGTTCAGGACTGCTATCTTGATTGATGCAGCATCGTTACGTACGTACTTGTGACTGGATCTTTGGGTTTGCAAGAGTCATGCAGCGGATTTCACATCATGTTGCAGTTTGCAATTGCACATAAAATGTAAAAGCATGTGGGTGTTGGATCCAGTTACTGCACATACTGCATGTAACATGATGGATTTAATCTGCGTGAGTTGAATGAACATGGTTCCATAAATATTAGGAAAAAAAATCTGAGTCTACATGTATACCAGCAGGGGGATTTTCCATCTCTATCCTCAATTGCAACCCTATATTACTAATCCGTAGTGTAATGCTGCATATATAACAGCAAGACATTAAAAGGCAAGCATTTATAGTAAAGCGAAGGTGTTACATCTACTCATAAAAGTTCGAAAATGCGTGTCATCCCTATAAAGCAAGCTATAAAGGGCTTCCTTCTCTAAACCTTCGGCTTTTTACTAAATTTTCTCATGCTATCCCTAAAATCTTGACATTTAAACATTAAAGCACCTTGTATTGTTTTTTCACAGCATCATGGGCAACATGTCTCAGTTTGATATCTTTTTAGTCCCGCCAAAAAACATGGTCGCGAATAAACAGGCCACTTGTGTCATAAAAGACGCTTCAGTGACCATGATTAGCATCATAAAAGTGACATATCGTAAACATACAGACAACTGACAACTGCATTCTTCCTTTTGATCTTGAAGAACCAATTGCCAACCAACCAACCTATATCCAACTATATCGTCATGAACTCCACTAGATATCGCCTCCTTCCCATCCTATCTACAAGCTGGAAGATGCATCATATCCAGAGCTTCAAACCATCGTCTTTCGTATCTCGTCTTTCCACTCATCCTCAACGGTCTAAAAGTACAGCAGCTAAAAGTGCTGGAATCATTGCACAGATTGAAACCAAACGCGGTCCTCGTTGTAACCCCGGTCTCGTAGTCTTTGATAAGGATGGCACACTTATTGACTTTACACTCATGTGGGGTGGTTGGGTCGAATCACAGGCGTGGAATGTTGAAATGACGACAGGATTACCCGTTCGAGAAAAACTTTTTCAAGCCATGGGCTACGATTGGATCAGTCGCTCAATTAAATCCAAGGGTGCACTATGCTGTACGCCCATGGGTGAACTCTACAAGCTTGCAGTACGAGTATTGGTAGTAGAAGGCATGACCCAGTCAAAAGCCAATGAGATCATTCAGCAATGCTGGAGTATGCCTGACCCCGTGCTCACTAGTCGACCACTTGCCAATGTCCCTGCACTTTTCCGTACTATCAAGAAAATGGACATGAAAATTGCCGTCTGCACGACAGACGATCGTCAACCTACAGTTGATACACTGCAGCACTTGGGTGTGTCTGATATGGTAGACGCATTAGCATGTGGAGATGATGGATTACCCGCTAAGCCCGCGGGTGAACAGATTTGGAACATCTGTCGTAAGCTTCACGTGGAGCCGCATAACACCATTATGGTCGGTGATACGTCCACGGATATGATTCTAGGTAAGAATGCAGGCTGTGGTCTATCCATTGGTGTTTTGGGCGGTGCGTCGTCGCTTGATGATCTCGCTGAAGACGCCGACGTGCTCGTACCTTCCATCGATCGGGTTATCAAAGTACTCTTCCAATACGGTCAGCAGGCGCACCGTTTTGGTGATGCCAAGTGAAGTCATGCATAGTACTTTGACGCCACGAAGCTACAGTTCTCTTATGCTAGGCATATGCCGGGATAGCATATCGACTAACACATGTACTCATTCAGCTGTCTACAAAAAAACATCTACTACGGCAACGCAACAAGTACAGCGGCCATGTTGTCAAGACTACCACGCACGTAGCCCTCCGTGAGTAATTTCGTCGCAAGACCATTCAATGATGCACAGTCATCGTGTTTGTTTTTGTTGTGCGGTTCTTCTTCAGCTTTTTTTGCTTGTTGTTCCTCAAGGAAACGCACGACGTCACCATTACTCATAGTTTCCCACAGTCCATCGCTGGCTATCACAAGAAGCCCACCGAAAGATCCCTCATCAAGTTGTGCATGAAAGACGGATGGTTCAGCTGTCACGTACTTGCGTAAATGGCGATCACCCAAACTGCGAGAGACTGCAAGCTGTCCCACTACTCTCCACAGACCAGAAAATTTTACAAAGCCTCCGCTAGACTCAATTCGGGAGCGTTCGTCCGGATCATTCGGCCAATGATCTTTACTCAGCAAAACAATACCGGCTGTACCATTGACCTCGTCAGCTTGCTTGGTAGACGTACTAGGTAGCCATGCTAGCGCGCGTGAGTCACCGACATTTGCACTAACAACCCGCTGCTGCCGACGGAAATGCAGCACAACTGTGAGCGTGCACCCTGAGAAATACTCACCAATTACTGCAGAGCCATTAGCAAAGTTATTGTCAGAAGTCATTTCCAGGTCTTCCTCGCTTGGATGCTTATCAAGAGACTCGAGAAAGCTTTCATGCAGTTCGAGAAAGGTCTGACGCAGTGCAAACTTTTCGGCAAGCTCAAGCTCAGTAGATATCTTTGCTGCTTCACCAAATGCGTTTGCATCTACTTGCGTTACATCATCCTTTGTCTTTAGAGTGGCAGCATAGTGATGACACAATACACGAGGCAGATTATCCACAACAAATCTGGCTGCTCTGGAACCTAAATGACCATCCACCACTGCGTACAGATCGAACCCCAATGCGTTAGTACCATCTTGGGTGCTCCACCTTTGCTGCAGCTGCTGCTCCGAGAGCACCAGTACAAAATCCTCCATGTACTTCTTTCGACCTTGAAACAATGCAATACCTATTGCCGGTTGCTCTGGTAGTGGATGAACATGCAAAGGTTCCGACTCCGTCCGAATCGCGGCGGAAATATGAGGGGCGTCAAACTCACAAAAGCTTGAGCGAGTATTGTGTCGACGTGCATGAGCATGCTGTTTGCAACTCTGAGCCGTGGAAAACGTGCGCCGACAATATGGGCAAGTAAAGCGGTCTGGAAGCTCATACTTTGCACGAACCATGGACGCGAAAACGCTTTCTCGCGCACGTTGGACCTCAAGATAGCGTTCGTGTAGCAATAGCTCCCCGTGCGTTGCAAATGGACGAGCAGACTCGTTGCATACGTAAGCTCCTTGAAAGTACGCATGTTGTAAAGCCTCTTCAGCCGATATTCGTTCTGACGGATTCCATTGAAGTAGTCTCCACATGAGATCTAGTCCCCATGAGTCCTCCAGTCCACGCTTGAGCGGATCACGCTCGACAACAGTCTGGTTGAACCGTCCAAAATGGCAGCTCTCACTCACAAGGGCGTATTTGTCCCACAATGAGCGTAGCTGTCGAGCTGCTGGCTGAAAGATACAGAACTCTTGTGTAAGTACGTGAAGCAAGTAAGCTTTCGTACGCCATCCCGATTCAGGATCCTCCTCGCTGCCGTGTCTTCCTTGCTTATGTCGGTAGTTACGACGCTGAGCATCAAGCATCAGATCCAACTTGGCCCTTTCACGAGGTGAGATGAGAAACACTTGCGGAGAGCCTAAAACCATCTCCAAAAAGACGACGCCTACAGACCATAGATCGTATGCCTCGGGAGCTGTGTAATCGTATGGCTGGCCATTGTCGCTAAACAGCACCTCTGGAGGCTGATACTCACGTGTTTCTTCAGCTTGCGACGGCCCCGAAGACGCCGTGGAAGCTTCGTCACCACCATTCACAGTATACAAATTCTGTAGCGTGTAATCGTCAACCGCCGAGCCAAAGTCTGCCAATTTGACGAGCGGCATTGGTTGCACTACGGAAGTCGACGTGACAGGGGGAATTGATACCAAGATATTTGATGGTTTAATGTCACGATGTGTAATACCACGCGCATGCAAGGCTGTGACACCTTGTAGCAACTGGCGCATGATCTCTCTCAGTACGTTTTCACCTCGGGCATCGGTGCGAAGTTTTTCCCAAAAACGTGACGGTTGCAAAATGATTCCAGCGCCGTTATCAGCATGTCCATTTCCAACCTCTAGCTTCTCGTACAAATATTGTCGCAATGACTTGCCTTCATCATAAAAGACAAGCCAGAGTTCAGGTGTTGTCGTGTGCGGCTTCTTCACGTGATCTTCCTTGTGTTCCATTACTTTTGCTGGTCGGAAGAAATACTCGACAAACCTTGTCACATGATGCTCAAGACTCAAGAGTGCACCAAAATGTGCTTCTCGTAGCCCCATTTGTACCATATTTTCTCCCAACTCTAGAAATAATCTCTTGAGCACATAATGTTCTTCCACTCCACTTGCCTCACGTTTTGTTGCTCTCCATATTTCCCCATGAGATCCAGCATCAAATTTCTTCTTTAGACGATATCGAGCATTCACATAAATATGTTTTGCTTCCTCCATGACGTAGTGATACTCAAGTACAGGTCCATCTAAACTCTCAATCTCTTGTCCATCTAAACTCTCAATCTCTTGAGCTTCATCTCTAGTACTCGTCTCTCTTGATTCAGGTGATGGTAATGGTGGAATCGGAAATTCCGAAACTGCTCCAGGTAATGGACAAACCAATGCTGTCTTTCGACTCCATGGGACTATCTCCATCTTTTCTCGTGTCTTCATTGGCCATAGTATTTGTTCACTCTCGTCCTGTTTACAGACTCCTAATAATCCGGACCGTTCGACTAATTCATAGCCTTGAACTGTTAAACCAGGATGTAATGGATCACTTATAGATGCACAGACGAACGTATTATCATTATCATAAGTAGGAGGAGGAGGAGGAAGGATGCGACGTGAAAGTTCTCGTGTCATTTGATTGTACCATGTACAATCTGATAGTAACGTATGACATGTGACTTGAACAATAGGTTTATCTAGTGCAAAGACCATTAATACTTGTAGTAATAGAAAGGATAGTAATTCCGTCATTCGATTCGTATTCATAAAGGGTCAGGAAGATGTATGGAATAATGTATGAATGAGTAGATAGTTTCATTAACAAGACAAATGCGACATAGATAAACCAAGCCAAAGGAGCTCCAAGTACTATATATCGTCGTCTCCTTCCTCTTCTTCTTCTTTTAACGGTCAATGAACTTAAAATTAATACCCAAAACTTCAAACTCATTTGCAGCCATCCATCCATCTCTCTCTCTCTCTCTTTGCTCTTTTCATTGCGTCTTCATCCGCCGCTTTTTTCAGTGCCAACTCCGTTTTGTGTCTGCTCTTGAACCACGTCATCTGCATTATCTGTCATCCATTTTACCGCTTTTCTGATTTTCTATCCCTTGTCTTCTTCCGTATTCTACCGTAGCTTGCTCACTGCCAGGTTGATCAGGATTATGTCGAGCATATTGGACAAAGATGGCGTCAGGTGGTGTGCCCTGCCTGTGGTGCTTAGCTGACCTGACTGTCTCTATCGCATTACATCCTCCAGCCATTCCCCTCTGCACTCTCTAAGATGCGTCCGGCTTTTCGTCCTCTTCCTCCTCTTCCTCCTCGTCCGACAGCACCACATCTAATGATTCTACTGCGTTTGATGCTGATAGACGGATTGCTATCGATAAATTCGCCTCGGTAGATTCGTTAACGTCCTCGTCCAGGTCCGACTCATCCGTCTTTGCACTGCTATCCAATGTTTTCCCATCCAATACAAGTACTGATGACGTTGCTGCAGCCTCGTCGCTGTCGTAACCCATATTATAGTACATGGTGTAAGTCTCCTGAGCCTTTTGCTGAATCAACGTATTCCAATGTCCTGTCACTGCCTGCTTCAGAAATGGCTTGATCACATTAAACATGCCTTGCCCCAACTTCTCGTACTCGTTCATAATGCGCAAGCATGCCGGCGAGCTCCAACACGAAGTCGCACGTTCAGCTACCTGAAACTGATCACTAACCATGCACTGCCCTAGTTTTCGTGCTAGTTTGACTGAGATCGCGTCAAAATCTGTCTCTGCTAGCACATGCTCCAACATCTCCTCAAACTCCACGATGAAGATTACCTCCTTGAACGAGTTTCCCACCGGCCAGTATTTGATCAAACCGCGAACAATCGAAGTGAAAAGCGTGTGGTCCTTCGATACGTACTGAATCATGCAGTACGCGAGCTGTTGATGGTACGAGATGAAGGCAGGTGTAGAGTGCAGTGGGATTAGCGCCTTTTCCAATAACACAACGTGCTCTTGTTTAATCGGGCATGCAAAGCCATTGACGATACTACCAAGAATCTCCAACAGCTCCGCCACGCCGTAATGGTTCGACGTCTCATAAATATACTCGTAAAACGTGTTGGCAATTTCCTTCCGAATAGCCGACCGTCGCTGAGTGAGTTTATAGTACAGTCGATGAAGCACTCCCTTCAACACCTGCCGCTCCTTAAACGACGGCGTCTTAAACAAATTAACCAGCTGTGCAATAAATCGCAAGGGGAAAAACTCCTTGCGCACATGCTTTTCCAATTTGTCAATGTGCTCGATCGCTTTCAGCAGTAGGTCGTAACATGCCGAGAGCAGTCCCCAAAGCTGCTCTTCCGTCGTGTATTCTGAATATTTGTCCATCGGATTCTCTAGCATACTCACCTCATCCGGATTTGGCTCTTCCACAAAGATATTACCAGGAGACGTCGACTGCAGCCGAGCAAATGGCCGGAAAATGTAGCAACCTACAACATGCAGTAGTTCTACAAAAAGCTGCGGATCATCCAAGATCATTGGAAAGGAGTCGCAGTAACTGTTCAAGTCGCATAGTGTTGTCAATCGCTTCTCATTCAGATCGAAAAGCTCCGCGACCGTGTACCCTGAATCCTCTTTTCGAGGCATACAGAATGCCACCTTCTGACGAAAGTAAAAGGTCCGTTTATACGGAACCGCATCCTCCAGCGCTGGCGTATTAAACAACGATTCTAGTGGCTCTGTCACTAGAAGCATTTTGCGGTCAGCCGTTGTAGGCATCGCAGCGGATGTCAAGCTGCTCATCCAAACACTGAGATCTGCCTCGCTCTTTGCCATGAGATAAATAGGACGAAATCCCTGCTTTGCACATGCAGTATATATTGTCAGCAATCTGGAATATAGGTATTTTCATCCACGCTCAGACGCACCGGATGACAAATCTCAAAGCAATTTTGTCGCTTGAATCGCGCCGAGTCAATGGGCGTAATCCGAACTCCTTGCAGTGGGATAACACCTCGTGGATACGAGTCCTCGCCAGACTATACACAATATATACAATAACAACAGCAACAACCATAACCAAGACAGAAAAAAACACAAGTAAGTAAGTATCTCCAAAACGTCTTCTCTCTCTATCCTTTGCATGTCAACATTATTTTTCCATACCGTGCCCGAGACATAATAAAACAGCGAATGTCCTTTCAATACCATCAAACGTTTCTTCCATGTTTTAAAATGATTTGCCTGTTTAATAAGTACACCTGATTTCGAGATAGGAGCCTGGAAATCATCCAAATAAGTCTGTACACCATCCATTGCATTAGGACTTGTGCCATTTCCGACTTGTTGTTGGTTTGAAAATGGTACAATAAGACTTGGACGTTTGGATAAAATACTTTGGTGTGGATCACTTGGTATGGGCATTCGCTGTGGATCATCTCGTGAAAAAGGCATATGACCGTTAAAACTATGATGTTTCACATAGTTTTGTAGACCATTACCATTATGACCACTACTGGTTGTAGCACCATCACTTGGACTGCTCTGATTATACCCACTACTCGTGCCACTACTTGTACTATCACTTCGTTGTGCCTTTTCATGGCGATTCGCCAATTGTCGTGATGAACTGCCAATGGAGGTATACATTTTACGAAAGAAATTACTTTTCTCACCCTTATCTCCTCCACGCTGCGACATTGTCACTTTCTACTTGGAGAAAGAGGAGTCTTAATCTCTCTCTCTTCAAACAAGGGGACGTGTCTTACGGAAGCTACTGACTACTAAGACCTCGCTCAGACTCTGCCACTCTCTGCGTCGTGTCGTATGACGGCGGTAGACGATGGTGTACGGTTGAATTCAAAAATTTCAAGATTATACGAATTTTTAGATTTTTATTAAAAAAACAGCGTGACTGACTCCATTTTGAATATTAAGAACGTCGCATATGAAGTAATCTAAGGATGAGTTGAGATAAGGTCCGATAGTGGAGATTACAAAAAGACCTTGGGGAAAATACGGAATGGATTTATAACGATAGAGGTACCCTACATGTATGGAAAACCGTAACTCGTCGTTGATGGAGCAGAAAAAGGATTTGGTTGAGTGTGTAACACACTCACAGCAACAGACTATAGTGAGATCAAGTAAGTAGACGTCGGCTTGTCGGATCGATCGTTGGGTTGAGCAAAGGGGTTTGCCAAAAGGTGCGTGTGTCTCAGTTTGCGTTGGGCAATCAGTACCTCTGTTCCAAGTGCAATCAATGTTGACGCGAAAAATATCGGAGATCAAGTATTTGCAGTAATAATATCGATAACGGTAATCGGATAAGGGTATTAATTAGACCGTTCTAACTTAACCAGTCTGTACCGCTAAAAATGATCAAATGCTTTGCTCTGTGTCAGTATCATTATTGATACGTATTGCTGATTATAATATATACTTCTTTGGTCATCAGTAACAATAGTAAAATAGATGTCAGGTATGCTTTACACTAAAAAGCTTACAATGGGCAAGTGAGACCTGATACCACCTCGTTACCATAGATAATAATGATAAACTAGCTCATACCGGTGCGCGATAGCTCTGCATGGAATGGAATGGAGTCTCCTGCACTTCCTTTGATAAGTTTTTGTGACGCGCACTACCATTGAAGAGAGATTCAATATCTTCAAGCATAATACCAGTGGTCTCCGGGCACATGTAATACACAAACACCCCGCTAAGAACGCATGTGCCCGAGAACAAAAAGAACACACCGTTAATGTTTAGAGATGGAAACAGCTTCACCACCCACGTCATGACTACGCCCATAAGCCAATTGGCCATTGTCGAAAGCGCCACCGCAATCGATCGCACGTTGAGCGGAAAGATCTCGGCTGGGTAGACCCAGCATACAGGTCCCCATGAAATAGCGAAATTGAAGATAAAGAACGACGTGGCAATGATGATTGCGTACCCCGAAGTCTTTGAACACCCTGCACTCTCAGTATTCCCGTCACAACCGAGGGTGAACAGAATAGCGGAAACGAGATGACCGACGACCATGCCCACAGCACCAATCAACAACAACTGACGACGGCCGTACGTGTCTACCCACCGCATGGCCGGAATGGTACTGACAAAGTTTACGATCGAAATGATAAGCACGGACAATATGCCATCACCTACGACATCTTTGAAAATGAGACCACCGTAGGTAAACACTGGGTTGATCCCTGTTCCCTGCTGTAACACCTGTAGTAGCATAGCAATGATCAAACGCTTGAGTACTGACGGTTCCATTAGCTCCTTGCACCCTCCTGGCCGCCCTTCTCGCGCAATCTGTGCACCAATAGCCCGTAGCTCTCGTCCTACTTTTTTTGTCTGTCTCAGCTGTTTCAACACAGCTGAGGCTGCATCCTTGCCCTTTTGCAGGTACGTCCAACGAGGACTCTCCGGTACGAAAAAAATGCCAAGCATGACGACAATAGGTGCCACCATAGCTACTCCGTTGGTAATACGCCACCCTCGACTGTGGTCCTTAATGATCTGATTCACAATGTTAGCAGAAAGCAGTCCTGTAACGACCGTCATCTGCATGAATCCTGAGAGGAAGCCACGCAACTCCTTTGGAGCCATCTCTGCTCCAAAAAGAGGCAGTGAAAAGGACGAATTACCAACACCCATGCCCTGGAGAAACCGCGCGATAAGAAGCGAGCTATGTGCTTGACGAGGGCAGAAGGCAAGCCACGACGTGCCTATACAAAAGAGCGATCCCGCCTGAAAAATCGTGAGACGACGGCCAAACTTGTCGGCAATCCAACCGCCCATGATAGCGCCAACCATACAGCCAATATTGTACGTCATATTGTACCACAAAGTGTAGTCGACCCAGCGTTGTGGTAAGTCAGCTGCAGATCGCGTACAGTCCGTCATTGTCTGACTGTGCCAGCCCACGCAAAAATCGTCCAGGAACGATTCCATAACCAACACGCCCCCCGTCATTCCCTGATCGTAACCAAAGAAAATACCACCCAACGACGCAAAAATGCATACAATGATAGCATACGTGCGACTTCCTTCGGTAGGTGTCAAGTCCTGGCGGCCCTGATCGTCGTAATAGTTCATCGCGACGCCCACCATTTTGGCCAGTTAATGCGATGATACAACAGAGAGCTGTGAAAAGTGTAGATTTATGTGCCTTGAGACTGGGTATGATCAAGAATTTGATGTAGATGTTTAGGTCTATTTAAAATGTCTTTGCTCCGATCAGTCACTTCTGGTTTGCATGCCATAGAAATGAGCAAATGCCACGTTGTCATTTTTGCATGTCAAAAAAGTCAAAAAAACAAAGCCAACCTGTGACTTTACATACTCTGTCGATCTGAATTCTATCCAGTTCTAGGATTGTTCAGTCAAGTGAGAGGAGACATGTAATGAAAGTATTTTGTAAAAACAAAAGGTGGGTTCTTTTCTATACATAGAGCGTCCAAGTGCAACCCTATCTACAACATGTTGCTACTAAACATAGTCCATCATATGCGGCTATCCTTGAGTTTCAGATTTATAAGGAATGGAAGACAAGAAATTTCTGTAATATACTCTTTTGTGTGTATCATGATATCGTTCTTGATGGCGATATGCTTACAAAGTTTGTAAACTCATTGTTACCAAGAGCGATAGAGAGAGAAAGCACTGCACTTTCCCAGCCTTTCTAGCAAAGTATTCCTATTGACTTTACTTGTCGTCCCACTTCAACTTAACAGATTCTGTCATAATCGAAAAACTATTTTAAAAAAATCGATGATTTGTTAAAATTAGTTTTTCATTACAAATCTCAAGTTATTACTCTTTTGGGCTTATCCAAACAGCTTCGGCGTTTCCAAATAACAGCTAGCAGATGGAAGTGGCGGACCTTAATGGACGTGCATCGTCTCGGTCGACGGCAGGGACATTGCAAGTAGCTACAAAGCCGTCACTATCTTTGGAGCTAAACGGCCGTTATCGTAGTAGTAGTCTGGACAACGAACGTTCGTGGCGTCCAGCGAGTGGCTTTGCGTCCAAGCACCAGGCCGATTTGGAAACCAAGTGCCTTCATCGGGAACGCCAGATGCAACGAGCTCGACAGATAGAACAAATGCAGGACGATAAGAGAAATCTTGATGCGGAACTTAGTAAGGTACGAAGATCGAATAAACACGTGGTCCTGGACGAGAGCAAGCGGAGGACTACGATTTCTCATGGTCGACGGACGCGCACTAACCGGGGGACAGCACATGAAAACTTGAGTACTATTCTGCCATCAGCTCTTGGATTCAATCGTCATTCTATGGGTAGTCCGTCCATTTCAGTCGCAGTGAGTGCTGGATGCTTTTTGAGTCAAGACGAAATGGAGAATGCCGATATGACGAAGAGGAAGAGGAGACATCAAATGAAAAGACGACAGCAAAAACCTTTGACGCGAGTGGAAGGTAGTACGGGAACGACGGATGGAGTTCCGCATCCATCCTTGCTAGGAGAAGTGATGTTTGTACGACGCAGCAGCTTGCAGAGACTAGTGGATGAACTTCACGTGGATGACATAGTTACAGTGCAGAATGGAAGGAAATCGAAAGGCAATGCACAGCGTCGCCTTCCTACAAGTTCGTGTTACCCGTTTGATTACAGTCTGAGGAAAGCAAAGAGCACATCGTCCATGACAACACATCAAGGCAACACAAAAACGTATTATCACACTGAAAGCGCCGACTCAAGTCCACGTGGACGCGGGCATCAGGCAGGCAACCGAACGAAGCGACGGTCTTTCTCTAGGGTAGACTCGCCTCGATCACCTCGTTCTGAATCTGATTCTCACGGATCACCTTGCAACAAGAAATGTGGTGATAAACGCGACTTTTTTTTCGGAATCTGGCTTACGAACTTCGCAATCAATTGCAAGTCGACGAAGTTGCAGCATTCAGTGTAACTGACTCTGAAATGGCGACGAAGATTTCCCAAGCCGTGCTGGATCTTTTCGTTCCTTCTAAAGACGACATCACGTCGGAGAGCGGAAACGAGGATCACGAGGATGGCAAGAGGACCATCGAGGAGCGCAAGAAGTATCCGCTTGTAGTGACCGATGGAACTGCGTGCGTTGGAGGCAATGTGCTGTCGTTCTGTGATTTTTTCATGCACGTAAACGCGATCGAAAATGATTCTACGCGCGTGCAGATGCTGCGACACAACCTGCAGGTTCTTAAGAAGACGAACGTCACGTGTATGCACGCCAACTATCTTGACGTGATGCTGGAGCTACAGCAAGATGTGGTCTTCTTAGATCCACCATGGGGTGGCCCAGAGTATAAGGATCTGAATAAGGTGGATCTTTTTCTCGCTGATGTGCCGCTCCACGAGATTTGCACACGGTTACAATCGAGCACCAAGTGCATTGTCTTGAAAGTACCGAGCAATTTTGATGATGTCAAGTTCTCACGATACGTTCCTGGTAATGTCATTATCCGACGCGACTTTAAGAAGATGCACCTTGTGCTCCTTGACTTTCGGTAGGCACTCCTGAAGTAGTAGTAGTATTACTGAAGTAATACTAGGAAGCGAAGGAGGTAGCGAAGAAGATGTGCTAAAATAAAAAGAAATTGAATGATTTTTAAATTGGTGTGGTTTACGCGATGATTCCTGGCTAAAAAGCAACCACGAACTCCTTGCCATACAAAATACAAGAGAAACTGCTGAGAGGGAGCATTCATTCCGCACTCTCGTACACAACAAGTCCACAGCGCGGTAGAGAGACCATCATTCTGTATGTCATTCGGTGGATTCGGCAGTTCTAGTGCGCCTACAAGCGGTGGCTTTGGAAGCTTTGGATCAGGTGGTACCAGCAGTGGCTTTGGAAGTTCCGCGGCTGCTTCTCCATTCGGTAGTGGCGCAGCTACCGGTGGTTTTGGCTCAGGGACGTCAACGTTTGGTGCAGGAGCTGCTAAGCCAACATTTGGTGGCTTTGGAGCTGCTACACCGACGACAGGAGGTGGTTTTGGTGCTCCACAGACGACGACGACAGGTTTTGGTGGGTTTGGAGCGGCGGCAAATCCTGCAACGACGACAGGTTTTGGAACTACGTCATCATTTGGTGGTGGAACAGCCACTGGCGGCTTTGGATCTTCCAATACATCGGCATTTGGAGCTAGTACTCCATTTGGTGCCAAACCAAGTACAAGTCCCAGTCCATTTGGATCTACAGGTGCATTTGGTGGCAACACTGGAACAACGAGCGCTTTTGGAGGAGGAGGAAGTCGTGGTGGTGGTACAACGGGTGGATTTGGTACACCAACGCCTGCTAGTGGCGGTATATTTGGCAACACGACATCGAGTGGATTTGGTGCACCTGCAGCCAAGAGTCCGTTCGGGACAACGTCGACGACCACCCCGACGGGAGGATTTGGTGCGCAGACGACGGGTACAACGGGTTTTGGAGGCTTTGGCTCACAATCTACAACCGTTGCGGCTCCAGTGGGACAAGTACAGGTTGGCACTGGCCAACCACCTTATCAACCTACACGTGAGATGGAGCCTTCAGGAACAGGCGGCACGGCCAACTACATTTCGATCTCACGCATGCCAGCATATGCACACAAGTCAACCGAGGAGCTGCGTTATGAAGACTACTTGAAGCGCACAAACCCAGCCGCTGCACAGGCAGCAGCTACGCAAAATGCACCAGCGCCTGCTGCGACGTCAGGTGGATCGAGTGCGTTTGGAGGTTTTGGCGCGCAACCAACTACAAGCTCGGCTTTTGGCGCTACAGGAGGCTTTGGCACGGGCCAGCCATCGGCATTTGGCGCACCAGCTACTGGTGGAGGTTTTGGATCATCTGCTTTTGGCTCGGGTACATCAGCTTCGACGACTGGCGGGTTTGGTGGCTTTGGAATGCAGCCTGCTGCCCCGGCTACAAATAGCGGTATGTTTGGAAATACTGCTGCTCGTCCTACTACGGGTGCGTTTGGTGCACCATCCACAAGCAGCGCGTTTGGTGCTGCACCCGGTGCTACCTCAGCTTTTGGAACCTCTGCCACGGGTGGCGGTTTTGGAGCATCAACAGGTGGATTCGGAAGCAGCTTTGGTGCAACACCGGTAGCACAGCCTCAGAATAGTGCCTTTGGTGGCTTTGGTGCAGCTACCCCAGCAGCATCTACGGGCTTTGGTGCCTCAGGGTTTGGCAAACCCGCGGCATCTCCGGGATTTGGAGGCTTTGGAGCCACGACAACACCTGCAGCAACACCGGGTACGGGTGGATTTGGCTTTGGAGCTACACAACCACAAGCAAATGCGACTTCATCTCTTTTTGGCGGATCCGGAGCAGCAGCACCCGCTTCTACGGGCTTCTCGTTCGGTGCCTCCGCCCCGACGCCTGCAGCATCTGGAGGTTTTGGTTTTAATTCTCTTGGGGGTACTGGTTCATTTGGAAGTACAACTGGGAGTGCATTTGGAGCTGCCACTGCACCCGGTGCTTTTGGCACCACACCTGGGCAGACCGTTCAAGGCACTACTTCTCCCTTTGGATCTTCTGTTCCAGCTGCTGGGTCAACTGGTGGTTTCGGTTTTGGGAACGCGCCGTCTACCACACCTGGTTCGACAACGAACTTGTTTGGGGCGGCTAAGCCTGCAGCGACCGGTCTTTTTGGCTCGACGGCGAGTGGTTCGAACACGGGACTTTTTGGAGGTGGTACAAATACGGGTGGATCGTCTTTCTTTGGTGCACCCGCTGCTACAAACACTGGAACGACTGGGTTTGGTTTTGGCGGCAATGGTGGTGGATTTGGAAGTAATAGTACTGGTGGATTTGGTGGCTTTGGCACCACTGCTACTCCGGCTACTCAGACAGGAGGATTTGGCACAACAGGCAGTTTGTTTGGGCAGCCACAACAGCAAACACAGGTAACTGTCGCGCAGCCACCCAATTTGGTAGCAGCTCCCGATGTCAATCCGTACGGTACGGGGTCGTATGGTGCCGGGCTGGTTGAGCAGAATGTGAAGGCTGCATTGGATCTTCAAACGATTAAGACGGGTTCTAGTGCGTCTTCTCGTTTGATCACCTACGCGGATGACGTGGGGCTTCCGAGGGGTCCATTGGATCCACCTCTGGTGACTCGGCGCCAATCAATGAGTAGCCGTCATGCCATTCCGGTTTCGTTCATCCGTGGCTCATTCAAGGGTTCTAAGAGTCGATTCTCTACTTTTTCCGCCCCAGCACGTTCAACCGGTCTTTCCAGTGGCCCTCGACTTGTGGTAGGTGGCGATGGTGATGCTACAAAGGACGAATTCAAGTTTACGTCATCTCTGTTCCGCAACTCAGTGACAAAGAGGCTGGTGATTGACAAAGCAGAGCAAAGCTCTGCTCGAGGTAGCCACGGAAGTTCGCATGTGTCTGTTGTGCCAATATCTGATAATGACGGCGTTGATGTTTATAAAATCGGAAACAGTCGCAGTCGGTTGTTGAAGGCTGACGATGACGGCAAGTATAGCGTCAGTTTTTGCAATCAAACGAACAAGAAAGTGTTTTCATTGCGTCTTTATCCGACTCAGACGGTCAAGCAAGCCAGAAATGAAGTAAAGCTGTTGCTTCGTGAGAGTAGCGCGTCGACGTCATCCTCAATCGTCGATATTGAGTTGGTTTTGAAGGGGCGGATTTTACACGATAATAGTACTATTGAAGAGCTGCAGTTGCAGGAAGGGGACTCTGTCGGCGTTGTTGTGATCGAAAACCGTGCAGACGATAGAAAGCATGACGATCAGAGCGCTTCACTTGCTTCGTTGACCAAGATGCCTGAAGCACAGCCTAGTGACGAGACGGTACCTCCCAAGCGCTTTATGACCTATGACGAGTACTTGGCCTCTGCTAGTCGAGACGAGGCTGATTTGTTTAAAAATACTGAAGCGAACGACAGCAGTCGTTCTTCTCCTGCCTCATCGTCGTGTCCGACGCTAAAGAACAATGATTATTATACCATTCCGCCGTATGAGCGTCTGCAGGTTATGACCGACCAAGAGTTGTCGGAAGTGGATAAGTTCACTGTTGGTTGTCATGGCTTGGGTGCTGTGGAGTGGATAGGTAAGACAGATGTGCGCAATCTTGACCTTGACGAGTTGGTGGTTTTTGAGAAGAAGGAAGTGATTGTATACAAGGATGATGCGAAGAAACATGAACTTGGTAAAGGTCTTAATAAGCCTGCTATTGTCGAACTTCTGGGCATTTTCCCACCGCGTAAGTTGGCCTCTCCCGAGAATTACAAGGAGCGTGTAAAGCAGCGTACGCAAGATATTGGTGCTACCTTCCTTGACTACTCCATTGACAAGGGTATTTGGCGGTTTCGAGTTGAACATTTCAGTCGATACGCTTTTGAGGATGACGAGGATGATGATGACGACGATATTGTTATGGATGGTCCCAATGAAGCAGCAGATGCACAGAGCAAGGAATTGCACATCGATGAATTGTCACAAAAGTCGAGAATGACTCGTCGGTCTATGGTCAGTCGAGTTAAGGTACCGTTTTCTGCTGATCGCAGTGGGCTATATCGTCAGTCGGGTATCTTTAGCGGTGATGTGAAAAGCAGCAGTGATGTCGCATCATTTGGGAGTCATCGAACACCTGTTGCCGTTAGTGACGTTGAAATGAAGACTGACTTGGAAAGTGTGACACCCGTGGCGAATTTGCATGTGGATTTTAATGTTGCCGAAGACGTTGTGACGACGAAGAGCGACCAACTTCCAACGAGTGAAGTATTTCCGGTCACTCCGTACACTTTGAAACCTCTCGGCGTCGATAATGCTGATCGTTGGTCCGTTAGAGGAAGATCAGCGACGTATCAAATAATGCTAGAAGCTTCTCATCAGAAGCATGCGCGAGTTGTGCGCAACTATGTTGATGGAGGTATGTTCATGGCTCGCTCGTTTCGATGCTCGTGGGGTCCAAATGGCGAGTTGGTAAATCTGGGAAAGCTGACTTCGCGTCCGGAGAACTATTCGGATGTACAAAGTTGCGGCCGTCGTGTTTGCATTGAGTTTCCCCTCCGTCTTGCTGCAGACCGGAAGCAGGATCTTTACGAGGGGCTGCAGTTGCACTACGATCTCACCTCGCAGAGTAAAAGCCCCAACGATTTTGTTGATCGAGAAGAATTTGATGTTCCTACCCAGTATGCGCTTCCTGTGCATGATGCGCTAATGAATTGTTTGCACAGGTATGTTACCCATGCTGAAAGTCGGATTCAAAAGACACCTAACGGCTCCTTTGAGAAGCTTAATTTGCTTGTTTGGAAGTTAATACAAGCTTTGTGGGGCCAAGAACATGGTGCCAAGATGGGCGATCAACCTAGTTCTGCGTTCTGCCCTCTCATATCGCGGGATGACCCTAGTGAAGTGGAGACTCTGGACACGTTCCAAACTATAGAACTGCGCAGAGAAGCTATATCTCAGTGGTTTGAGGATGCGTTGAACGATGGAGAGGCCACAACCTTATTTGACGGTACTCCTCCTACCCCTGAAGGCGTCCTTCGCTTGTTGTGTCAGCACCGAATTGGAGAAGCAGCGGATATGGCTACGGACTGCGGCAACTTGCGCCTGGCAACGATTATTGCGCAGGCGGCGTCCTACGAATGTGCTGGTTTTCGAAGTCTGATGGAGACACAAATGGCACAGTGGTATGATAATGGATCGCTGGAGTTCATGGACAAAACTTTGGTTCTCGTCTACAGTGTGTTGTCAGGGAATGTCGAGGCGCTGTCTGCTCACAAGAGGGCGAGCATGTCATGGATTGAGTGTCTTGCGCTATTTTTGTGGTACAAACGTGGCCCTGCGTCGTCGTTGAAGTCAGCAATGGCGCTTTACAAGGATGCGGTCAGTAAGCATCAGGCTTCTCCTTCACTTTCACAGTTTGCAGCTGCAGGCACTGATAAAGACGATGTTTTGATGGAGCTGATGAAGCTTTACATTGAAGATGTAGCTTCACTCTGCAAAGTGTTATCACCTAGTGGCTTTATGACGCAAGATTTATACCATTTGGACTACGAGCTGTCGTGGCACCTGCACAGCGTTCTACGTGCTATTGGCTACAAGCTTGATCGCCAGTGGGAATCACACATTCACCAGAACTTTATTTGCCAGCTTGAGGGGTATGGTCTTTGGGAAGACGCATTATATGTTGCACTTAACATATCTGATGCTATTGAGCGTGAAAATACATGCCGCGAGCTGCTTTTTCGCCGCGCAGATGCTTTGGCTTTGAACTCGTCTATACGGGAAGATCTTTGTGAGCGTCTGAATCTACCTGCTGAATGGATTAGCGAGGCACTGGCGGTGAGGGCCATTGTCAAGCAGGAGCACCACGAAGAATTTGCTTACTGGATATCTGCTCGACACTACGAAGAAGCTCATGCGTGCTTGATTTCGCACATAGCGATGCGCTATATGTTTGCCAGTGAGAAGGACGCTTTGATGCAGCTGCTGCTGGAGCTAGAGCCTATGTCAGTCTATATTCCGTTATGGAAGAGCTGTGAGAAGGTGGATACTATTGGAGGCGGACTGTTGTTGGAGTATCTTCGCCTTGAGCAGCAAAAGGGACTGGAAGTTGGCCATGAAGACCAGTTTCTCCAACGCATTATGCTGCTTTCTCAGCAGCTTTCTAGCGCCCAAGACGCGTCGGCGAAGGATGGGGGCAAGAAGCGCGGGAAAGACGTGCTGGTAGCGCAAACTTGTGTGTCATCAATGATTGTGTCATTGGCTACGCAAGCTGTGCAAATGCGCTCGCTTCTGTCGTATACGCAAGAACGTGAGCTGATGGATGCTTCTTCGATGTCGGCACCCCTTGAACTGGAGCCCGAATTTTTACTCGGGCTTTCCCGTTTGGTGACTGGGCGTGAGACTAGCTTTGTGGAGTCCTATCGGACGAGTCAATTGATGCATCTGTGCACTACTTTCATTGATTGGCGAGCTTAATCAGTGCGTGACAAGAAGAAAGAAGAGTATGAGACCAAGTTGATGGCAGCTTGGAACTGTATTTCTGCGTGTATTTGCTCATGAATGGAACACGAGAGATGTTTGTTGGACACTTTTGTTGATTGAGTCGTGGTAGACTGACTACTTTACCGACTAACAATGCCCGCTTTGGTCGTGTTCACTTCGAATGCTCAACTAGAAGATCGAAACACCCTTACCGTCATCCTGAACCCATGAAGTCGTTCACAAGTTTGTAGCCACTTTTGCAGTAGATGAGTTGATGGTTATTTCGTTAAAGAAAGTTGGCGCCACACTGTTCATATTAAGCTGGTACCAGAGCTGGTTCGACGTTTACGTGTTTAGCCGGTTAAACTTATACGTATGTATACACTGACCACTGTAATGCCGCCTGCGTTGTCATATCAGAATAAACAAACTCTATGATAGTTTATACGATGTAAGTGGTGTGCAAATACTCGCTAAAGGTGTCGGACTATCACAAGACGGCCCTAATTTCTTTGCAACCACACAGCAAATATAACGTCTTTGACCTTTTTACCTCAAACAATATGACAATTCTATTCTTCCATGTGCATGCATGTATATACATCCTTACAATAGCTTTAGTCTCTTTCTTTCTCTATCACCTTCGTCAAATTGATAGAAAGCCCTAGTTGGACTGGATATTGTCCAACATCTATCTACGCTTTTTGTCGTTGCCGGAAAAAAATAGGCTGTACCATCATGGACTTTTCATTATTCAAGACACTTTCAGACCAAATTCCGTATTGTTAACTCCATAGTAACAATCTTGCACATACAACAGACTTCTCTTCGTCATTACGTTGAACAAGTGACAACTTGTTGCACAAAATCTGTTGCTAATCCACTCTGTAACAACCTATTACACCCCCAATTGTCATACTGTGTATACTACACTATATTGAATGATTCTATACAGTATCATATCGATATACTTCATGTATGGTGGTGATTACTATAAACTGCTTCACACATCTTTCGCTTGAATGTTTATCATGTCTTTGGAATGTTCTAGAAACTGCAAGTCAACAAGTGCTTCATTGAATTCAAGTGGCACAATGTCACGTTGTATGAAAGAACTTTAATTTATGGCGCAAGAATCAAACGCATGGATAAACGCGCTAATCTTTTGTAGTATTATCCACTCTCTCTCTTTCTTTATACTAGAGTCAGCGAATGATCAATCGACACATGTCGTCCAAGTATTAAAAGTCATACTTCAGTACCACACTTGATTATGACAGCAAATGAGAAAGCCTGTGATATATGTTAAGAATAAAGTCGCTGGCAAACACGAATTACCAGTGACAAGGCTATTTTTAGAGTATCATCAAGAATCAAAAACATACAAAACCCTCCTCAGTATGACCAAAATTTTCTTCCATACAAAGTTGATGAGGTATCTTTTTTTTGTACAAAGTTACAAAAACATGATTTACCTGCTATAACAGATTCATTTGACAGTAACAACTTGTATAGGAAATGCAAGGTCAAGCTGTACCACGCTGGCGTTACACATCGAACAGGAGACAGTGTGCCAGTATATTAAAAGCACAAGTTGAGGCGCGTTGAGCCGTCCGTCCGTCCGTACGACTCGCCCTTTTGCAAGTGAGACACTTTGTTCTACTCGTTCGTTCTCTTCATTCCAAATCAAGTGTAAACCCGTGTGCCTTCTCTCTCTCTCTCTCTTTGGCTACGGTGTCTTGTATCGTCCGTAGCCTTGTCTTTTTGTGTCTTTTGCTCACGGTGGACTTACCGCGTGTTTGTCCGCCTACGCGGTCACTGAACGCGCGGCTGAAACAATATTAAAACCCCTATTTGTTGTTTACGTAATATCATTAGTATGATCAAGAGTGATGGTCATCAAGAAGGAAGGAAATGCATGCTATTGCTACAGATTGTTATGATGGTACTAGTACTTGGACATGTGACTGGCATTTCACGTGGCACTGCAGACTTGTCATATGCTGTCATGCAAGTACCTGATGTGGTTGTTGCTGGTGGACTTGATGGACGTGTGTATGCAGTCAATGCCTGGTCAGGACAAGTTTTGTGGTCATTTGACTCGGGTGGTCCTATGGTGGACTCGTCCCAGTGTTTGGGTGTGAATCCAGCTACATCATCGGATATGCCACCGACTTATCAGTCACCAGCTGCAAGGCCACATAAAGAAACAAATGAAGACGTGGGTGTCGATGGAAACGTCTACGTATTAAAAACTCGTCCAGATGATAAGAAAGTTGAAGACCGCTCGATCATGCAGCAACAGATGGCGGCAGCGCGAGCTGTTGCTGCTAGCACAGCTTTTATGTCACAATTGGTACCATCGTACGATGGCAGATTGTATCACTTTTCAAAAAGTAAGGTGAAGGAGCTGGGGATGACAATGGCTGATATTGTTAATCTCAACGGTCCTGTACGCGTAGCGGTGGACACTAGCGGCGAATCTACTGTGGACTCATCGGCTGCGGACATTTTACTTTTTGGTGAGAAGAAGGTCGAGATGTTTACGTTGAATGCAGCAAGTGGCCTCCGTCGTCCTTATTCTTCGTCTGCAGGATCGACTAGTGAGATTCTCTTTGGCCGTTCGGAATTTATGACTCGAGCTGTTCATTTTCGCAATGCTTCGTCTGCCCGGTGTTTTAAGATTTCGGAGTTCTTTTTGGAATTCACGCGCCAGGCGCACTGCTCGGTCGGTGACGGTGGTCGTAATATGGTTCCAGATATTTTCGTGATGCCCAAGGACCCTAATTCTGCTCTGGTGGATGAGGGTTCTACTATTGTTGCATTTGACCCTTGGACAGGTAAGCAATTATGGGAATTTGAAGTCCCTAATTTTGACGTACTTGCCGTATATGGAGTATCGACGATGCGTGGGTCAACGTTTTACAAGTGGAAGGTGGACGGCCCCTCCTCAAAGGCATCAAAGCGTGTTTGCTCCCCATCTCGAGTAGCTACGGATGATTCGCACCGTCGTCAACACTGGATCGATGCCAGCAGCTCGCAACAGTCAGGGAATGATGAAGACGAAAAGTTAGAAGGGGAAGATTCGAAGGTAGACCAGCAACTGGTACGTGTAGTTCCGCATACGTGGAGCGCGATGGAATCGCGTTTTCGGCTACGTCTGATGGGAGATCACTATTTTCTTGAATCCACTGAGGATGGTGGTGTGGCGTTGAATGATAATGATGCGCGGATCGCTTACGATTCGCCCACGTTCCACGGCCGACAAGATGACGACGTGCACGACTATCACGACGATACGGGGTCGCGGAGCCGTCGCCAAATCTTGTGGGAGCCAATTGTCAACGATGGCAAGCAAGGTGTGTTCATCACGTACACGCACGTGGGGGGCTATGCTGTTGTGTGTGGCTACGTTTGGCATCCTGCTAGCGTGGGGATGTTACGTCAAAGGGCTGTCAGCTTCATTAGCTCAATCGGCTATCAAAACTATGGATCAGAGCCAGTTCTTTACGTCTCATGTACATCGACTCATCATTCAGCGTCCAGGAGAGGAAAACATTACCATATCAAGTGTAATTAGTCGCTCACTAATGAGGATGAACGCTTTGAGTGTGGATGGCCAGCTGCCACTGCTGGAAAATGGCGCACCTGTAATCGCTCTGTCGACGGACATTGGCGCGAATGCTGGCACTGCAACTGAAGCAATGGTAATGGAAAAGTTCTCTCGCCTTGCTGTTAATGAAGCTGCGTCGATCCTTCTTAATGGTGGACGTATTGTTGGAAAGCAAAATCTGCTTCAAGATGACCCAGACGCAGACTCTGGTGTAACTACATCTACGTCCTCTGCGTCATCGTTGACCGACATGATTCCCAGATGCGTGTCGACGTCGTCTCCCTCAATCGAGATTTCCAGGCAGGGATCTGCACTTATGGGCAGAAGACTGTCGCTTTTGTACGTTGAGGACAAGGAGTCAACTGAAGTAGACGTTTCTGACGTTTACGAAGCACTGCTGCCTGTGAGAGAAGAGGATGCAGAGTATTTATCCCCGACTACGGACCATATGTTTGAGAATGAGCGCTTTGAGCTGGCAGATTTCGATGATAATATCTTCTACGAAGGTAATGACTCTGCGGCAACTATGAACGGCGCAAAGTCAATGAGTTCGTCTGGAGAATCAACAATGGGAAGCTGCTGTAGCAACAGTGACAGTGATAGCAGCCACGGTGTAAACAAGTTGCATGGTGATCATGATATGCAGTCTACGCAGGAAGATGAAACTACGGATGAGAAGTCTATGGAGGAGAAGTCAAGTGCTCGAGACTCGTCTGGATCATCCTCGTCTGAATCAGGCAGCTCTCCGAACGATGCCGAGGTTCTTTTTCCGTTTGTGTGTCAAAGCCGTTTTGTGAACGAGTTTGAAGAGCTGTCAGCAATTGGCAAGGGTGGCTTTGGTCAAGTTATGCTCGCTGAAAATCGCTTAGATGGACGCGAATATGCAATCAAGCGAGTTGGATTGAACTTGAAACACCAGACATCCAAGACTTTGCAGAAGTTTTTACGTGAAGTAAAGATTCTTGCGCTGTTGGACCACCCTAACATTGTTCGGTACTATCAAGCATGGCTGGAAAAGGTTGAGGAAAGCGCAAAAGCAATTTTAATAGCGCCTTCATCGGTTGTCTCCGACACGAGCTCAGTAGGTGGTCTCGCCGATGCTAAAAATTATTCGACAAGCAATCTTCTTGCACCAATCTCGGAACTCGAGTTTTCAGGGAATCAACGCCAGCTCGAGAGGTTTTACAGCGACGGAGGCGTCGTGAGCGACTATGACAACGATGATGGCTTTGATTGGGAACGCGGATCGTCTTCTGGCATCGAAGATGATAATGGGTGGAAAGAAGAGGATTTGGTTGTGCAAAACAAACCGCGGACAAGTAAGCTGCCTTTTCGTGGGTCTTCATCCGACTCACCGGCTGCTCATCACGTCGATGAAGATTCTTCGCTAAGTGCGGCAGAAAAATGTGATCACTGGCTGTACATCCAGATGCAGTACTGTGCTGGCCGCAATTTGGCGGACTATCTGGCTGTTCCGACTCGGCCAATGGAACTGTCGAGAATGCTCAAGATTTTTGTGCAGATTGCAAGTGCACTGATGCACGTACATTCTTGTGGACTGATTCATCGTGATTTGAAGCCAGCAAATATTTTCGTTGCTGACGTAGAGAGAGACGAGATTAAACTAGGGGATTTCGGTCTCTCGCGTTATGCTGCAAACGTGAACAACCTGAATGCGCCGACAAGTCTAGACGATCCTGCCCAGCAAGGTCCTGCTTCAAGTGGACTTCTGGAAACTCATTTGTCAACGTCGATGTGGTCCAATATGTCAGAGAGCAATGAGGTTACGGCAGGTGTTGGCACGTATCTCTATGCAAGCCCAGAGCAAGTAGCGGGGAAAAAGTACAACGCGAAGACGGACATTTACTCATTGGGGATGATTCTCTTTGAGCTGTGCCACGAGCGCTTTGGAACGACAATGGAGCGATATATTACGCTTCGTAATGCTCGAGACAGCAATTTTCCGACTGATCTTCGTGCTGCAAAGCGATGTCCTGAAATCTTGGACATGCTTCGCAAGTTATTAAGCCACGACCCGACGGCACGGCCAACAGCTAATGAAGTTGTGCAGTGGGGACAGATGATGTATGAAACGAGCCTTGCTCAGAAAGCTATGGATGTTGTACGCTCACCGCGTAATCTCGAGCGAACTCGGTCTGCAACTGGTGCATATCCGTTTGTGCCGGGTATTGATCATCTTATGGCTGGTGCTCTTGATGCAGTTACGCCGACATTTTCATTAAAAGTAGAGGCTGCAATGGAACATTGCAGTGGTGAAGACGGTGGCGAGCGTCGTTTGCCAAACCATGACTTATTGAAGCAAGTATGTGACGTGATAGCTGGCGTGGAAAATGGGATGGTCGAGATCAAGAAATGTGGACTGCATATGGAGAGCGAAGGCGTGACAATATTGGAGTTTGAACTTGATCCGCAGAATGCGCTTGTACATGCACCTGATAGTGACGTCGAAAGTTCTGTGATAATGGCTATTGAAGCACTGGCTGGAGTCCAGATCGTGCATCGTGTGAGCAGAATTGACTGAAATATGTCAAAACGACCACAAAAGCAAAAAAAGG